GATAATTGAAGTCCTATTAAATGTAATTAATTACACGAACAATAATATTTTAAGAGATAATTTTTTAACATTTTTTTCCATAAAACAAGTTACATTTAACATTTTGAGGAACTTCAGCACGAAAGCTCTTCCCTCCCCCGTATTTCCGCCTGTGTCCGTACCTAGTTACGCTATTTCGTTTAAAAAAGTTGCATTGTCAGTTCTATTCTTATTCATTTTATCAGTGATGTGATTCTAACTGTAATTTTCCGTAAAATTAATGGTAGACCAGTTACTTCCTTCTCAAACCAGGTATTGCAACAATCACAGGCGGATCTATGGGGGAAGGCAGAGGAGGATTTCGGACTGCAGCCTATATATATATACGGCCTGAAGAATATATACAAAAAAAAAAACCTTTCGGGCTGAAGCCCTCTCCCCGCCAAAATTAAATCCTGGATCCTTTAGGAGCAACAATTAATTATATTGACATAAACCAAGTTCAACAACATTGAAGGTAGATTTTAGATAGTGTTACTAAACTTATAGTTTACCTTCCAGCTTATAAAATTATCATTATAATTAGAAATAGGGCACAGATCTCTATATAGCAATTAGCCAGTCTGTCATTTTGAACTTAAAACCGAACATTATATAAGTGTATCTAATAGGTTACTCACAAGGAAATAGCACCCTGAAAAGCGACAATTATGGTTAGAGTCAGGACTATTAATATATTCATGCAGTTAAAATTAAGGTTATACAGGGTAAATAATGGCTTCAATAGATTGACCCATGTGATATTTTATCGAAATTATTAAATATAACGTATTATATATTATACTAATATAAAATAACATACATAAATTATATAACATAGTATGAAAATAACATGAACCCTTATTGAAAAAAGAGGAACCCTAAAATTAATTATACTTATTAATATTAAACATCACAATACTTATTTTACATGCATATAGCGAGGCTTATAGAGTTAAAACCAAAATTATTAAAAACGAAATAAAATAATAAAATCTGGAAGAAAAGCTAGTAGCTACAGAAAACATATATAATTAAGCTATTTCAGCAGAAAAGCATACGTTGGTTATATGAAAGAAGAATGGATTAGGAGTTTGAGGAAAACTTTGACGCTGCTTTAATGCTTAAGAAATGTATAAATACATTATATAGCCAGTGAAGTTCTAAGATAAGATAATTCCCAAAAGGAAAATACCAAAAATTGGAAGAATGATGAGCTAATACTTCTGGTAAACGAGAAGAATGGCAATCTAAAAAGGACAGTTTAAAGTTGAACGAAGTACACTTGCTTGAAGAGAACCGTTAAGTACGAGATATAGAAAACAAAAAATAATGGGAAATATTTATGCAAAACTTTAATATAGGAAATATACAGAAGCATGGAATGTTCTAAAAACATTAAAAAACACAGACAACCTATAAAACCGATATTCAATTAATAAGTGTTCGTGAATTGCAGGAATACTTTGAAAAACTGTTGAAGGAAGAATGAAAAAAATTCAAAGTGGAAACGGCACACCATCAAAGAGATACAACGGCAAATATCCATCGAAGATTTAAATAAGCCTTAAAAGCTGGTAAGAATGGAGAAGAACCAGAACCTAGAGGAATACCTCTGGAACTCTTGAAATACGGCGGTAAAAAATTGGCAATTGTCCTCACATGATTAATATAAAAGATCCTAGCTGGAAATGAAATGTCGAGGGAATTGAAATTAGGATATCTATGACCTATATACAAAAAAGGTAATGAAAAATGATGCACAAACTATAGAAGTATTTGTGTCACTAATCCTTGCATGAAACTACTGGGAAGAACTGTCAAAAGTAGATTACAAAGCGAATATGAGGGTACAGAAGACTAAAGTGGCTTTACTGCACTTCTTTACTTTATGAAGTTCGTGCATCGATCACATATTTACAATGGGACAGATCTTTGAAAATCACTTAAAAAAATCTAAAGACGTGGAATATCTCTGGACGTAGAAAAGGACTATAACTCGGTTCCAAGGAAGCTTTTGTGTAAAGCTCTCAAGGAAGCAAATACACCAGAGCCCTCAATAATATAATAAAATAAATTTACCACAATAATGCCTGATATGCAAAATTAGGATTCAGTCTCTGTGAGAACTACTTCGGAAAAAAGAAAGAAACTAAGTTTCCATATGAAATGGTGTTTAAGTGATTCTTTAATTCCTATTAAATGTAATTAGGTGAACAATTTTTTTTTTTTTTATAAAACAAGGTTATATTTTACCATTTTTGGGGAGGATCCCTTCAAATCAGTCTGAAAGCATCCCTCCTCGTAAATCCACCTTTGGGTTAAAAGCTCAGCGTAAATAAAGTTAAAAGCTCTCTCCACCCTCCCCTCTGAAAATTCTATCTTTATCTCCCTGGGTTCATTGAAAAGAGGCAGGGCGAAGTAATGGCGGTAAAAGCATTTCGGGATTAAAGTAAATAGCATCCCAGGAGTTGAGAAGAATCAAAATCAGTAGTGAAGGCAATTCTTCTGGTAGTAGAAAATCCGAATAAAAAGATCCCTCTTGTTGGAAGTTAGTAAATTACTGACCGACCACCAAGGGGCTGCCAGCAGGTATCTGTTCTGCGTCCTGCCTTGTGGAAGATAGTCTTTGACGAGTTGCTGGAGAAGCTCGAAAAGGAGCGGTTCTCTGTCACGGCCTATGTTGACGATTTGGCCGCCGTGGTGGCCTCACACAGCATAGCCGATCTGAAAGCAGAAGCTGAACGATGCGCCGCCAGTTTGGTAGATAGATGGTGGGAGAGGAAGAAGTTGAAGATGGCTGCAACAAAGACCCAGGGAATTCTTCTGCGAGAAGACTATTACCTCTTTAAAATGAAAATAGAAGGTTCGGCGGATCTACCGGAACCTCTAAAGATGAGAATTGAAGAAGATCCAAGAAGATGGAAAAGAATTATCAGGGAGGGCACAGTTGATCAATAGAACCGACGAAATGAGTTGTCAGCTTTATAGAAATTTTATACCAATCAACATTACATTAAAAAAAAATAAGCCTGAATATATTTATCTACAAATAAACATAGGTCTGGAAAACCATTTGTATCCATGTGATTATGTGTATCAGATACTTTTGGATTGTATCTACTGCTTATATCAGATACTTTTTGTCAGATACATCGGTTTCCTTCTCATATTCCATAACATTTAAATATATATATATATATATATATATATATATATATATAAAATATATATGTGTGTATATATATATATATATAAACATTTTAAAAAAACAGCAAAGTTGATCATGCCGGATATTTTCCCTTACACATTCGATTAAGAATTCTTCCACATCCATTGCATATTTTACACTGAACCAAAATAAAAGAATTTGAGATGTTGTGCAGCACAGGAGGATCTACGGGGGAAGGGAAAGGATTTCGGGTTGAAGCCCCCCCCCCCTCCAAAAATGGTAAAATGTAACCATGTTTTGTGTAAACAAATATTAAAAAATTATCTTTTAAAGTATTATTGTTCGTATAGTTACATTTAATAGGACTTCAAGAATCACTTAAACACCATTTCAAATTGTTAGTTTGTATATTTCTTTTTCAAAGTTTTTATCGTCATATATATGAAAAAAAAGCTTTCGGGCTGAAGCTTCTCCCTCCCCCAAAAAATTTAAATACTGGATCGGCTAGTGTTGTACAGGGAAAACAAGAGGAAAAAAAAGGATGACACTGAGGAGCAAAGCCGGTCAAGCAAAAGCTGGCCCTTGCTACGCCCGGTGGCCAGCCTGTCATTAAAAACCTTAAGTTCGGATTTGAAAGCTGACTCAGCTCAGTTCCGCTGCGCTTTATGTGGCCGGTCGACCATAAGCTCATGCTGGATGACTTACAATGGAAAAGACGAAATTCGCGGAAACGGATAATCAATATAGAATGCACAAGGTCTGCCAATAAAGTTAGACATTCTCCCAAAGAAATTAATGAGTTGAACATAGACATAACAGCTTTAAAAGGTCTAAGTTGCATACTAATTTAAGAAAACTTGGAGTCTCTTTGAAACTGATTCAGCTGATCATGAAGACTATGGATGGTAAAACATTTACTGAGAAGATCAAGTCATATCTCTCTCCACAGTTTGTTTCTACCAGAGCTGTTAGACAGGATAATGGCCTTTTGTTCAACATAACTTTGGAGAAGGTTGTAAGTTATTTGGGCATACTTACCTCTGACAGCATCTCATTCAGGTACTGCATTCTCTTACACTTATTCAACTTCTGCAAATGATGAGCAGTGGCTAAAGATTGACCTACCATAATACTTGTCTTGGAGACCAAGGATCACATCGATCTGTTGTGCTAAGGGATATGAGTTTCATCAAATTTCCTTAGTAAAAATTGTAATGTGTAAAATCAATGTTCACACAGACCAATTTAAGGAAAAAGGATTCTGCAACACCTCAGGGATGATCCTATCTTACATTTCAGTAAATAAATACATTTCAGTTTGGTATGACTTTTCATTTGGATCTAGGCTGTTCATTCACAGGCCATTTTGTGAGCCTTGGTTATTTGGATTTAGTGGAGATTTATTTCTGTTTAAGATATAAACCTCCACAATACTTTCCTGTACTATTTATTTCACAGGTTTTTCTTGTGAGGTTATTTATATGTTGATCATAGCTGAGTTCTTGGATAAAGTGTTATCATTACTAATTAAGCACTGTCAGAACCCTAAACATGAGAGGATTCCTCCTCCGAAAGCACACATCAAAAGCAATAGTAGGTTTGGAAATATAAATGAAAAGTAGATTATCAATTAACAGACCAAAGAATTCATAGCAAATTAATATAAGGATTATTTACTTCCAATTAAGGTTTTCTCTGGTATGTCCTCACTGTGCAGTGTATCCTCAATAAATTTGTTACAAATGAGTTATTTTTCTGATTTTAAATATTTTTGGCCTTAAAGAAAATTAATTATGTGTTTAAATTCCTTTTGGAATATTCTGAATATATTATTAACAAGAAAAAATAAGGAATTGAAAACAAAAGTTTATAAAAGTAGGAGTAATAAATAAAACAAACAATTTACAAAAAATTAGTTTAAAAATAATTTCTTTTTGTACAAAATATTCACTTGAAAGATTTACAGTAAACTATTTCCAAATGATTTTTCCAGTCTTAACATCAAGGCGACATTTGCCTGAGCAAATTAGTTGTACTGCTTTTGGAAGAGCTCTTTGTTCTGCTGATCTAATTTTATCTTGAAGTGAAGCTAATGTTTCCTTCATGTCAACATTGACAGCTTCTTGGGTAATTATGGCACCTGCATCGATATCGACCTGGGAAGGGAATATTAAGTTTACTACTTTTTCAATAATAAAATTAAACCATAGTAGGATAAAAAAATAGAAAAAATACCTCAACAAAGTGAACAGTACATCCACTAATTCTAACACCAGCATCAAGTGCTTGTTGCCAGGCATTAACCCCTTTGAAAGAAGGTAAAAGAGCTGGGTGAATATTAATAAGTGCTCCTCGCCAACGAGAAACAAAGTATTCAGTTAAGACCCTCATGAATCCTGCAAGGACAACAAGTTCAACCCTCTTGGAAATTAATTCTTCCTGAATAGCTTCTTCAAATTGTTGACGGCTTTGATAATCTCCATGAGGAATTACCTTTAAGAACATTATTATTAAAAAATTTTAACTACGCATAGCATATCAACTCAAAATTTAAAAATTCACCTTTGTAGGTATACCGGCTTTCTCAGCCCGTTCAAGACCTTGTACTTTTGCTTTGTTGCTTATAACTACAACAATTTCTCCTTCAATGTTTCCTGCTTGGATGTTATTGATCATGGCCTGAAATAATATGTCGACCATAGTGTAAATGATTGAGATAATAATTGTATGTACATAATTCTTAAATCTTTTCAATTCCAATTTTAAAATTGGACAGATGGTGATTCTTAAGTAATTAATTGGTTATGATTTCCTATAATTAAGATTTTAACAAAAATTTGTTAGTATAATTGAAGAAGATTACATACTTAACAGATTTTTGTGTAAAATACAGCTATAAAAATTTAAAATATGTTAAAAACAATTAAAATTGATTCATTATAAAAATTAATTTTTAATAGTCAAAATAAAAATAAACGATTAATTGAAGTAGTGATTGAATGTCCAATAGTGATACAATTTGAGTAAAACACTTGGTGCTCAGTACTCAGAGTAGCATTTGCCCAACTCTGGCTACTACAATACAAATGCAAAAAGTCCCGAATTTTTCTGATGTATATTTCCAAACATAAAAATGTTGTTAAAGAAAAGTGGTGGGGGTGGAGCTAAGCTGTTATATCTTTTAGTTTAGAAAAATGTTTCCAACTTCAAGACTTCCATCCGAGAAATGTCTTTTCCCTCACCCTTTCATCTCTGATTAGAAATACTATTTGTTTGATTGGTTAAGGATATTCAGCAAGAATGGTGAGGATTGCTCTTAATAGTGGAACTAATTGATCTTTTTATACTGAAAAAAAAGTTTGTAATACCTGTAAATTTGTTCCATTTCCAGAAATCAAAACTCCTATTCTCTTAACATTCGCAGCTCGCTTGACAATATATTTCACATATGGTTTCATCATTGGAGTTATTGCTTCAGTAAAATTTTCAACATAAACTTGTTCCTCACCTGAAACATGTCTAACAGGTGTTAGATTTGCTCAAACATTTGTCCAAATTCTCTCAATACATAAATCCTATAAAAATGTCGATTTACCTTCTTTTCTAACTTGAACTTCTCCTATAACTGAACTATTAGGTACTTCATTCACAACAATTCTTTTGTACTCTTCACTGACTATCAAAACCATTCCAACTCCACAATTAAAAGTCCTTAGCAATTCTCTTTCATTGATACCACCTGATCAGAAACAATAATGGTATTAAACAGATAAACTAATATGAGATTATTAAAAAATAAAACAAAATTACCAGATGCAGCAAGCCAAGGATAAACTTTGGGAATCATCCATTTTTTTGCATCTAGAACTACTTTTAAATCATCCCGTAATACCCTTGGAATATTTTCTAGAAGTCCTCCTCCAGTGATGTGAGCTAAAGATTTCACTAAACCTTTCTTTAAAATAGGTAACAATTGTGAAACATAAATGGCAGTAGGGGTAAGTAATTCTTCTCCTGCAGAAACATATTTCTTTAAATGAGTGAGTGAAAAAAGTAAATTTAACATTAATATAGTTAAACTTGCTAACAGGAACCTACCAATGGTTCCATCAGAAAATGGGCTGTCATCATCATAATCCAACTTGAGATTAGACATTACTTTTCTAACCAAACTGAAGCCATTACTATGAAGTCCAGAACTTGATAGTCCAATAACAACATCCCCAGGACTCAGGTCTTTAACACGAGGAAGCTGCTGATCTTTCTCGACTGCTCCAACAGCAAACCCAGCAAGGTCATAGTCACCATCTTTGTACAATCCTGGCATTTCAGCAGTTTCACCACCTAAATATTCACTTGATATTATTAGTAATAATAGTAATACCATTTTCTAGTTATTTGCTAATGTAAGTGAAAAAATGAATCAATTTCTGTAAAATAATAATAAAAACTAGCAGATTGAGTTGGTTGTGGGGTCTGGTAAAAGATGGAAATAATACACATAGAAAGGTTTTATTTTCTTGTATGCTGTCATTTTACGCCTTCATCAGGGCTATTCGTCTGAAATGAGCAAAACAAACATTTTTCCTGTACTCAATTACAGGTATTTTACCACACAGAATTAAATCCTTCGCAGTATGAAAAACCTTTCGAATGATGTTTTCCAGTGTTTTAAATAATATTACAACAAATAAAATAAATGTCAAAAAAAAAGAAGGATATTTTGACAAAAAATATTGAAGAATAGATTGTAGGATAAATTTACAATATTGTTTATTCCTTAACCCTTTAGATGCTCAAAGTCAATATAATGGCTCGCAGCGGTTGTGACACAAGTGCGCAATGCCAACATAGTGGCTCGGAAAAGACCATGCCCCTGGTTCACAGCTTCAGCTTTTTATATTTTTGTTGCTCAAAACCAATACTCCAGCTCATTATAGTGCTCTCTACTGAGTAGCCCATCAGTCATAGGCTGGTGTTGCAACCACTAGATAGCGTGAGATGTATTATTTAATCGCGGATATCCTTTAGGATGAGGGGTACCCTTCGTATACCTGCTACCACCCCTATATCACCTTTCTCTAAATACAGTTAGCCCTAAAACTAACAACAGTTGGTAGAGTTTTGAAGTGCGAAAGTTGAAAATGAGTTTTAACTTTAAAAAAAAAAATTTTTTTTTTTTAAAAATGTTTTATTGTTTTAAATTGAAGTATATGTAATAAAATTTATCATGCATCGAAACGTTTTTAAATTTTTCCATATCATCAAACATTATCAGAAATTGATTAATAATAAAAAATGTTAATAAAGTAATAAAAAGATTTCAAATGAACAATAAAAAAATAATGACACTATGTGTACCAAAAAAATATTAGAATGTATCAAAAATAATCTAAATGTTACAGTGTATTGTAAAAGTAATGTAAGACAATTAATAAATTAAAAATTAAAAGAAAGTTTAAAATTAAAAAGAAATATTTAACTATATATAGAAATATGAGCTAACATCATATTAAAGAAAAATTTATACGTTATAAAAAAATAAAAAAGAGCATATTTTAATGTGAAAAGTGCAAAAATATGGGAGCAATTCAATGAATAAATCCCGTGCACACGGGGTTAGCTAAACCTTCAGTACCCCCCACACATGGGACCTGACCTTGATTGAGGCTCCTCGCAACAAAAAGGTTAATACAGAACTAAGACAAAGACAGCTATCAAAATAACTCATTGCTGTTTTACAAGTTCACCAACAGATGTGAACCACTAAATATGATATTATGCAGACTGTAGGTGATTCACCCAGAAGATGGCCAACATAGTTGGCTAAAATTATAACACAAATTACAAATTTAAGCTTTATATGAAACAATATTTAAGAAAATAAGAGTTATGAGTCAGATTTTTGCTCCATCTTGATTACATCCCTATAATTCTTCAATATGAATACGGTTTTCTCATGTCATTATGTACTAAAAGAGCAGTTGTTTAAAAACATGTTACTATTTCAAGAGGATTAGAGAAGTTTCTAATTATGAAAAAATTACTTTTAACCACTATCATAATTGAATGATTACAGCAGCCAAGCAGAACAAATTAGGAATTTGTCCCTCTTGACTATTTAACAGCTTTTACATGCATTTAAAGCCCTCGTTCAGATCAATAAAAGTTAAATATGTCATTAAAATACTAGATACCATGAAAATAGAAGATCCACTTTAACTTATCCATAAATGAAATGTGTATTAAGGGAATTTAAACAATTACAAAAATCCGAGTTTTTAACCAAAATACATGTTTCAAGATCCATCGAGTCCAATATGAGTTAAAATATTGGAAAAGTATGTGTATTTTTACAATTTTCTCAAAATTAACACTAATAATTTTGATTATAATAGAAGATAATAGTTATTAAATATAATGGTGTGGAGAGGGTTGTCCAAAATTATAATTTGAGGAGTTGGCCAGGGGTGAGGTCAATATATAATAGAATAGAATAGAATTTATATGTATGATATATAATATTTATATTTATAATATATCTTTGGAAAGCTGAGGATTTTAGAAAAAATAATCCTTACTAAACAAGGCCGAAGAGGGTAATGGAGGGAGATGAGAATCTGATTATGTTTCTTTGTTGCAACTGATAATGTCTAATTTTATGTAATTGAATGGAATTTCCTTAGGAAATATATCAAAAACTTAACTTTAGTTCAGTATAATAAACCAAAAATATATAAGTTGCAGAATTGTCATAATTTATATTAATTGTGCTAAGTTTGCAATATACATAATTAAAGTAATATTCTTAAGGTTGATTAATCTTAAAAAAATAATAATAATAATTTCTACTTAAAGTAGGACGGTAAGTGAAAGTTGTGTGATGCATTATACCATATTTCACAACTTTGTTGTGCAAAATATTTATTCATATAATTAATATTAAGTGACAAATAAAGTTGGTTTTTTATTCAACATGAAATTGAAAGACTCAATGAAATGCATATCCTTACAAAAATAGAATTAGATTAAGAATATCGTACAGACAAGCATTAGACATTAAAATTTTAAATATAAACATTATTTACCAATGAGAGCACAGCCTGCCGCCTTACAAGCTTTAGCAATGCTGCAAATCACTTCTCTGCCTCGCTCAACATCCAATTTACCACAGGCAAAGTAGTCTAAGAAGAAAAGGGGTTCTGCACCATGACATAAAATATCATTTACGCACATGGCAACTAAATCTATTCCAATAGAGGTATGAATTTTGCAAGCTTTCGCAATCTGTTTTGTTCAAATAAAATAAGATTAGTACTAAAATGGCACCAAATTATATACATATACATATACATATATATACATATACAAACAAAATTAAATTAAGAAATTTAAGGAAGTGTTTAAACATTAAAGCTCCTAAATAAAATTCTATATATTTATTAGTCTCTGTTATTAGAGATTAGTAAGTTATTTAATTTTGTATTGATTAAATAATTAGTATTAATCAACAAAATTTTAGATGAAATAATATTTTTCTTGTATTAATTAAATTAAATATAAATTGGATTGTAGGATATTATAAGAAAATAAAAAATATATATGCCCATCAGGGGAGAGCTGTCTTGACTTTCTCATACATGATGTTTTTAGAATAGACATTTAAAACTATAATACTGCGTGCCAAGTTTTCCATGAATTTTAACGTATCTGAATTTCTATAGCATTATTTTGACATATTAAACTAATTTCAGCGTAGGGAAGTGGTGCCCCATCGCACAGCCATCAGGCTGCAATCAGTCACTGGTTCTCCTGGTAGGGGGAACACCTACACAACATTTTACACACAGTTCACTGTAGGGGGCGGGGTAGCTGAATGGGCTAACATGTGTGCACAGCACCACTGTTGCCCGGCAACCTGATACATAGATAACCGAATAAATTTACACCCATCTCTCCTTGTCTATGATATATTCTCCTTAAAGAGAAATTCTTTAACACCTACTTCATCAACTGCCATACAACTACTGAGGTATCACCAGAGGAAGACAAAGAGGGCTTCTATGTTAAGATAGTTCTGGGAGATTTAAATGCACAATTAGGCCAGAAATATTTGCACTGGCTGACTACAGGAGCTTTCAGGCTACATGAGTTTACTAACAATAATGGCCAAAGAATGATTGACTTAGCACATTCTCAATGTCTAGTTGTAGGACTCCACACACATCCACATCCTTTAGCTTGGAAATGTTGAATTTTTTCTGCCTCGTCCCAACCTTGTTCCTCGTAGCTCAGATCCTTGCATGATTCCTGGCAATACTAAGGTAATGATCCGTATTTGCATTAGCTCCTCTGTAAGTTCTGACTCCAATGAGGTTAGACTTGTGTTGAAAATTAATCAGAATATGATGAATCTGATTAGAGATGACTCCCTTTGGTGATCTCCATGAAACTTTGTGTATTCTCTTTTCTGGGAATATGGTACTTCCTAAGCTCGTGCAACTTCTATGGGCAGGACATGTGCAAAGGATGGCTGCCAACGAGATTCTGAAAATGACCTTTAGGGAAGAGCTCTATGGGAAATGGCGAGTTGGATGATTAAACATGCGATGGATGGATTCGGTCTCTGCAGACGCATGAGCCCTTCTTGGAGTTCGAAACTGGAGACCTGCATTAAACCACCAAACAAACTGGCGAATACTTTTGGAGTAGGCCCAGTCTCTGTGACGGTATGACACGCCACTTTAAAAAAAAAATTAATTTCCAGATTTATTAATTAATTTTGGAAACTAAATCAGATGTATTTTTTAAAGTTAATACATATTTCAAATGCAACCCACAAGTTAAAAATCATTTTCTTGCTGGCCAAATATGTTTACATCACTAGAAATGATTTATAAATATTTATTTTTTCCTATTTATATTATTTCTATTCACATTTATGTCATTTTCATAATCTAAAACAAATCAGAGAATAAACTTTCTTACTTTAAGCTTTGTTCCAACCCCATCTGTGCCAGAAACAAGAACAGGATTTTTGAAACCTATTGATACTAAGTCAAATAAAGCCCCAAAACCACCAAGAGATGAAATTACTCCAGATCGCATAGTCTGCTTGCATGCTGGACTAATGGCACTAACTAAGTCATCACCAGCTTTTATGTCAACACCACTTGCCTTATAGCTCAAACAACCTTTACTCATTAACCACCTATGGAATATAATTATAAATATAAAAAAAAAATGTATTACTAAATGCATCAGTCAGTACATATTTACACAATTACTGTGTATATAGTTCAAAACCAGGTCTATTTGTTCTAAAATTAAATATTAAATTAATGTAAAAATATTTATATTTTTTAAGCATGATATTGATAACTTAAATTTTATCATATTTGTTAATTATATTATTTATTAACTAATACAAAAATGCATTTTTAAAATAGTACACTACTAATAATTACTAAGATATTTCTTTATTTTTAGAAAAAAATAAGAAATATTTGCAAGACAAAAGCCAGTTAGACCCAATAAAATATATCAATATAATTAAAAAAATTTTTGTCAAATAACAAGATATTTGTTATGAGGAAATAGTTGGTAATAGATGTTTCTCGGTCAAAAATTATGTAAGTGTTTATTGCATAAGGATTTGATAAATTTGTAAAAATAATAAATCTTATATAACATTTTCAAAATTAAAAACAAATTCAATGATAGCGAGTTTCAGTACATTTTCAAATTGCCTATTAAGATATGGGATGAACACTTTCTATATCAGTCAAAAAATCTGTATTAATTTGAAAAACAACAAACTAATTATTTTTAAAATAATATATACTTTATCTGATAATAGGGTGATATAATTTTAAAACTATAATTCATACCTTGGTATTGCTTTGTGAGCAATGTCTTTCCTAAAATGGCACCCATCAAATTTGATATTTTTACAAGCACCAGTAGCCTTTGCAGCAGCAGTGATAAGACTGTTAGAGATGCAGACATTAATGAGAACTCTACCACCATTTGTAACTAGATCATTTCCCTTTTTTGTTATTCCACAATGGAAGGTCATAATTCCTGGATCACGGTTTATATCCATTCCTAAATAAAAGATAAATTTATATAATTAAATACAAACCAAAAAACTAATCTTTAAAAAAGTAATATTAATCCAATAAACTTCAAAGTGAAATATTTGAAGCTAATCTAACTGGCAGTGAATGATATTATAAAAAATTTAATAAATGGTCAAGCAGGCTATGAGGTCCTTCAAAATATGACCACTAAATTAATGTTTACGAAGAATTAAACTAAAATAAGACTGAAGAACAATTAAACTAAATTATAGATTGTTAAGTATAATAATGAACAATTAAAATGAAAAATTACCAATCAGTGAAATAGAACAAAAACAGAAATTATACAAATAACTACCGAAGCATATGATTGATATTGATTCAGTAAAAGAGGACAATACAAATATAATATGGAGAGCAACACAATATTTCTTCTTGAAAAACAACTTAAGATTTTTTAAATTACCTATGGAATATTTGTGACAGCTGACCTAAGATATAACTCACAATTAGTATTCTTGCTTAACTATGACATCTCTTAATTTGTTGACCCACCATTTTTTTTTGCAGCTATGATCGAATTTATAGAACTTTTTGATGATTACTAGACTTCAAAATTTAAGTTTTTAATACAAATCGATTTTGTATACCATACCAGTCAATGTTTTAATGAAATTTTCATGTTCCACTTTGATTCTTGAGATTGCAGGTAAAGTAGGTAGCCCCTTCTGCTGTTTGCCTTCATTCTGATATAAAGCAATGATAATATTTAAAAAAGTTCTAGAGGTACAACTGAACCTGTTTTAACTAAAGTGGGAAGGTAGAAAGAAATTCATTCTGTGGGTGCACCATAAAATAAATTTCAATACTCCCAGGTTGGATTCGAACTGGTGACACTAAACTCAAGTATGATAAAACAGACTAAATGGCCTATATCTTTAACATACTTGGACCAGACTGACCTTTTACTATTAATTCTACTTAGAAATAATGATTTAGGTAAAAATGTATTATACCTTTGATAATATCTCCTTTACTTGCTGTTTCTGGATAACCACGGCTACACATTACCACTCCAACAGTACAAACTCCTTTAGACCATTCTAAATTGATGTGTTCAAGAGAACCTTCACAACATGCCTATTATTTTAAAACAACATATTAATTTTTATTTAAAAAATCTAGAATTTTAAAATATCGCGAACTATTAAAAAATTATAAGTGGTAACCTTCATAACTACATAAAGGTCAGTCTCCAGAAGAGGCAAAATAACTTCAGCTTCTGGATCACCAAATCTACAATTGAATTCTAAAACTTTAATCCCATCTTTTGTAATCATTAGACCAGCATACAGTACACCTGAAAAGAGGTTATTAAATCTTAGATATATATAAATAATTAAATTATCTTAAAAAACTTTTTTTGAAATATACCAACAAATGGACGATCATCTTCCTTCATTCCATCAACAGTTTTTTGAAGTATATTTTCTCTGACCCATTCAAGTTGTTCTTCATCAATGAGTGGACAAGGGCAATAAGCTCCCATTCCTCCTGTATTTGGACCATTGTCTCCATTGAAAACTCTTTTATGATCTTGTGCAGGAAGCATTATTTTAACCGTTTTGCCATCACTAAAACCTAGGACCTAGGAAAGCCACATCACCAGAAAGATAAGTTATGAGATAACTTATGACTATATTCATAGCAATAATATAGCAAATAAGATAGTCAGAAAAAAATAAAAAGATTAATGTCAATCTTAATTATTATTTACTAATAAGCTTGCATGTAATAAATTAATTTTGTAAAATGCTGCTAACGACCAGACCCACTTTGGCAGATGCGCAAGGTAATAAAAATAAAAATAAATTAAAAATTGTAAAATTACATTCCACATTTTCCTATATGCCGTTGATTAGCAGCATTTTATGAAATTAATATATCAAAACCTTAATAAATAAAAGTTAGGTCATTAAAAATCTGTAGCTAATAATATACTGATTAATATTATGGGCTACACACCTGTGATAATGAGATATAACTTTAAAATATTTTTTAAAATGCTAAATATAATATATATTTACTTATTAAAATTTACAAGCAGCATGTACTAAATATCAGTTGAGTGATTCATTAAACATATGTTTTAGATAAAAATTTAATCAATACATACAGATATTTCTTCTCCTTCAAGTAATTCTTCAACAACAATGATATCACCAGCACTTCCTAATTTGTTATCCCTCATCATCATGTCAACAGCAGAGAGAGCTTCATCGACATCAGTTGCAACTACTACACCTTTACCTGCTGCCAATCCACTGGCTTTTACGACTAATGCATTGATTGTTGCACTAAAAATTAATGTTACCATTAGATTTTTAAAATGTATAAGCATCTAAAATATTAAAAATTGCAAACCTTTCAATAAACTTTTTTGCTTCATCTGAATTATCAAAAGATGCAAACTTAGCAGTTGGGATATTATGTCTAACCATGAAATTTTTTGACCACTTCTTATCTGCCTCAATTTGAGCAGCACTGGCTTTTGGACCAAAACAATTAATTCCTGACTTCTGCAGAGTATCAGCTATGCCATTGGCAAGAGGAACTTCAGGGCCCACAACGACCATTTTAATGTCATTTTCTTTACAACATTTAATAAGCACCTATATCGAGCAACGAATAATTTAATTTTAATTCTCATTCATAAAATTAACTTTAATAAGGTTTTTGAATTAAAAACAAATGCTTGAATCATAATTTAAATTTGGAAATCAAAATATCATCTCCTGCAAATAAATACTTATCTTAAAGATAATATTTTTATTCCAGATTAATTAATAATTTATTTCATACCTCATGATCATTTACATCCAGAGATATATTTTGAACCTTCTTCAATTGGCCTATACCATGGCTTCCAGGGCATGAAAGAATTCGATTTACCTATAAAAATAATATAATTCTGTAAATTTCAGCACATGTTTCGTGATTGCTAAAAAAGCTTTCCTACCTTTGGAGATTCTGAAAGTTTCCAACATACAGCATGTTCTCTGCCTCCACTTCCAATTACCATAACATTTTCCATTTTAAATATATGTAATTTGTAACTAAAATAAAAAGTAGAAAACAGTAAGGCGAAGAAAATATAAAATTATTTTTATTTTAAATTTAAAAAAACAAGTGATTATAGTATCAAAGACATAGTAAAATTACTGTAAGTGCAGAATATTCAAATAATAAACAGAAGCATGCCAGTAAACAACCTGTTGATTATTAAATTAAACCAACCAGTAGGGTTATAACCTCCAGTATCAGATATAAATTCTTTTTTGGATTATTAATTTCTATTATGTCAGTTAGCAAGTGGTTTAGTTTGTATTTAGTTCAAAAATTAAATTATTAATTTTTAATATTTGATTTGAAACAATAATTAATGATCATTCACTGTTAAGATGAATAATTTCTGAAATTATTATGTAATCCTACAGCTATTAAAATTTTTCAATAAAAAGGAGTATAGGATTAATTTACTTTGTCCTTCATATAAGTTATTTCATTTGTAAATTCATCTTTAAAAGAGTTGTTAGCGTCAATAGCAAAAAATCATTATTTAGAATATAATATAATATAATTAAAATGTAATATAATATTATTTAAATTCATTATATAAAATTAGATAAAAAATACAATTAAATAAAAAAATATTAAAATAAATAAAATTAGATTTATATTAGAAATATACAATCAAACATTTTTAGTATTTATTAAAACATATTAAAAAATAGATTCTCATTGTAAGCTGTTAGAACTTATAATTTACTAAATTTTACCTATGTATGAATAATTCAATGTAAGAAGAAATATTGAAAAACTTGTTACTAAAATTAATTATTTAAAATTGGCTCTGAGACAATATTAGTAAGGAAATTATTATCTACTATTTTATTTTGGATTATTGCTATTACTTACTCTGAGTGTCAAGCTCGATCTCTTCTATTAAAGAAGATATTAGTTAGTTATTACATGTTAGATTCACCCACAAGATAAAAAGGTCATCTTATGAAACTGATATGTTATATCTTAAATCTCATAACATATGATGTCAGAGAGTATGAATAAAAAACATATTTTTTTTATCAGAAAATTAATTATGTCAGTTATTCTCAAAAAATACTTTAGAGCATTGTTCCATGTTGAGTTAATATTACTCTTTCAATTATAATTATGATAGATGTACTAGAACCACATTATGAGACTTTTTAAATATTTGTTTTGACAAAATATTTATAACAAATTACTCAATTCCTAAAATTATATATATTAATTATAGAAGCGAAACATACCATTGGCTTATTGCTAATAGTCATTCAGTAATATTTTATAAAATTAAATAACTAGGTACATTAATGAATTTTTCCTTTGTGAAATCAGATATGCATTCTTTACAATTATTTCGGATTTATAATATGATTTGTTATTTTATTTATATATTTTATTTTTGCCTCATTTATTTTGTTTTTGCATCAATAGATATTCAAAGATACTATAGAAAGAACCAGCTGTATGATCAAAACCAGAGGGGTTATGTCAGATAGTTTCGATGCTAACAGTGGGGAACCCTTACTTTCGACTTAAGACAGGGGAACCCATTATCTCCTGTACTATTCAATCTCGCTTTAGAGGTTGCAATCCGGAAAATCTTTTTCGACGACGAATCCTGGTGGTACCATCTATAATAGGCTCACGCAACACATGGCATATGCTGATGAAGTTATATCAGGGAGAACTAAAGCAGGACTCTATCTTCTATAGAGTTCAAGCATGCAGCTCAAGAGTTAGGACTCATTATAAGCATGGAAAATACGAGGTACATGAAAATATCCTGACATACCAGAGAGAGAGAAGATACTGTTGAATTGGGAGAAGACACGTTTCGCAACAGTGATAAATTTAAGTACTTGGGCAGAGTAGTGACAGAAAACAATGATTTGGAAGCAAAAATAAAAGGCAGGATGGTTACAGGAACTAGATGTTTCTATGCTCTACAAAAGGTGCTCCGATACAAAAGTCTGTCCAGGAAAGCAAAAATAGTAATATATAAAACGGTGATTAGACCGGTCATTTTGTATGGCAGTGAGACATGGACTATGACCAAGGAAAACAGGAGAGCCTTACTGGATTGGGAGAGAAGAGTTCTAAGGAAGATCTTTGGAGCTGTCAGAGAGCAGCATAGATAGAGAATAAGAAGCAACATAGAGTTATATGGAGAGCCAGACATCCTTAGTGTTATTAAGAAGGGCAGACTCAGATGGCTGGGTCATTTTGAAAGAACAGATCCATTCTTTCAACATGATCCAGCCATCTTGTTGAAAACCATTGTATTAATTAATTGTTGTATAAAAATAACACTATATTGCATACAATTGTTTCAGGAACTACTATTGTTTCAGTATCACTATAGAAGTTTCAGTTCTCAACACTTCGATAGTTGAATCCCTGTGTGGCACATCAGTTGTCACATGTACTCTGTGAGATGCCTCTTCTAATTTGTCTAATTATACTAATGAAATTGCTTTAATTATTATAAAAAATTATTAAAATACTAAAATAAATATATATGTATTTCATTTTAAAAAACACATACAAATATAAAATAATATACAAAAATTAGAAAGGAATAAACTATTACACAGATGATTCAAAATATAAGCTATTTATATTTCCACTAGTTGAGAAGAAATGTTGCTTTTTTAAATTTATTTTTGGAAATATAAAATTCCAAGTTTACAAACAATTGGTTTATTTGTTGAATTACATTTGACGTATGAAATTCAAAAAATAAACCAATTGTATACCTAGAAGTTTTTTATTGCCAAAAATAAAGAATATTAAACAGCTTCTCAGCAAAAAAGAAGAGAAAATATTACATTACAAATAAATTCCTAAGCTTAAGTACTCTCATATACATACTTTTAACATTTGTACTGTGTATACATTCTTTTTGACAAGGAATACAGTATTTTGAGAAGTATTATCATTTAGAGAGGTCCTGTCTTAATTTCTTTTAATAGAAATGTGATGTGGTGTGATTTCCACTGATCTTTTAAGCATGACCAGGGAAGGACATCTCTTGGAAAAAAAAAATGCTGCAATCAGTAGATAAGAAATATAGGTTGAATGATGTGTTTGTAGGATTTAACAGGTACTAGCCATACTTACAACACTTCCTCTCTGGTATCTCTCTCACACATGACTCATGAATACTGGGGTGTTAAATCATTTATTAATATATTTCTAGCTACGCGGTGAAGAAATCCATTCTTTTCCATTTCAAGACTTTGATAATATGAACCAGAATGAGCATCCAACAAATAGAAGCCTAAAATTGATAAGATTTTAATTATAATTTAAGATTTATTATAGATTTTTATCATAATATAAGATTTCAATATATATATATATATATTGAAATCTTATATTGAAATCTTATATATATATATATATATATATATATATATATATATATATATATATATATATATATATATATATATATATATATAGAGAGAGAGAGAGAGCTTAAGATGTGAATTATAGTCGGATTATAGGTCATGAAATACACTTAGATGACTTAAAACAACTTCTGTTTATTCCATTTTTTCAAAAACGTTTCGATCCCTGTTTTTTAACATAAATAATGGGATTCTCTTCAGTTTTTTAATTAAGCATGCTCTCAAGAGTAGCTTGATGTCCTTCTTGTGGCGGTACTGTTGGGTCTGTAAGCGTGCTGCCCGGCTTGGAGTATCGATGCTCAATTAAAAAACTGAAAAGGATCCCATTATTTATGTTAAAAAACAGGGATCGAAACGTTTTTGAAAAAATGGAATAAACAGAAGTTGTTTTAAGTCATCTAAGTGTATTTCATGACCTATTATCTGACTATAATTCATATCTTATCTTAAGTTATAATATATAAAGGTCTAATTATAAAAAAAACAAAAAACAAAAAAAAACATTGTATTATATATATATATATATATATATATATATATATATATATATATATATATATATATATACACATGTATATGTATATATATTTATTTTTTTACAATAATTATGTTAATATTACTTATAGTTCGTGTACATATTATAAACTCCCGAATGTTTTATTGGGGGGGGGAGGAGAAGGAGGGAAGTTGGGATGGTCTCTCGTCCCCTCAGCCAGAATAGAAAGTCTGTGCCTATGTTAATAAAGAAATTGAATTTATTACATATTTTTATTTGAAGGTTTGAGGCAGAGAGATGAACTCTGGGTGATATTCAAATTTATATGATATATGAATATGACATAATATGATAAAATTTTCACATAAAAATGAAAGGATGCTCATGAATGAATAATAAAATCCTAGGATGTGTTGCTACACACAAGTATCTTTAAATGTATATTAAAATTTCATTAATAGGAACATATATACTATAAAAAAAAAGTAAAATACTTGCGTAACTACTTCTAAGTCTTATTTTAGCCATCTTATCTTTTCCTATTTTCTTAAATTATTTAAGTTTAGATGTTATTATTCATTCATTGATGTTTGATTAATTGTTATTGATTTTTATTTTTTTCCGCCAAAATATTGGGGGGAAGGAGGTAGAGGGGTGAAATGATATTCTTGCCCCCTCACTATTTTTATAAGAGAAGAGGCGGGACGATGGCCACTCTCGCTCTCCTGACGTCTGTGCCTATGCAGATTGGTGAAAATTTATTGCTTAGGGTGAACATTGTAATGGTGTATGATTAAATATATTTTTTTCGGAATAAGTCACAAAATTTCGATCTGATTTTTAGACTATTCTTCATCCAAAAATCTATCTCTTGATCCATCTCTGACTTTTGTAACATTGCCGAAATTCTATATTTTTGGTGTTTATGATCTGCACCATAATGTAGTAGTTTAAATGCTTTTGAAATATTTAAAAAAATCAAAGTTTGTTATCCCAAACGAAGATAAATACTTAAAGTTTAATTTTAAAAATAAATCAGAATTTTTTTCTCATCTTAGGTGCTAAAATGACACTTTACATGGGCAGAATTCAGAAGGTGGCAAATTTTGAACAAACTTTTATTTTTAAATAAAGATATATTTATTCTTTTATTTGACTCCTTTGAGATTAATTCGTCCAATAAAATAATTCAATATTATGAGATGGTATTTATTTTGAAATATTTATCTTTCCTGACACAATTTGTATGGATGGAGGGACAGTTGAAAGGAAGGAAGACAAAAGACCCTAGAAAAATCACTAGATTTTTTTGTCTTATATTGTTGAGTCTTTCTTCTTTTATTTGACTTGAAAAAAGTCTGTCTTATATTTCTGAGTCTTTTCTGAAAGATGTGGTTGATAGGGAAGATATATAGTTGGTTCATTCCAATTTATTAATGGTTGTTAATCAAATATTAATGAACTAATTGTTAGTTATGCACTTTATTCAAGAATTCTGAAACAATGGTTTTATATATAAGTTTTGTAAAGTGTCAGAAAAACTACACTAAAAATTTTGCAAAATATTGAGAAGCATTATTTTCATAAAATTTGTTACTTTCGAAAATAAAATTACCAGATGGTATTGAGCAGTTAGCGAGTATGCCACTAGATGGCATTGGAAAGCTCGATGAATTCATGCAACTCAAGGCAGTAGTAATATTTAACGAGCTTGGTGTTGCCTTCAGTATGCTAATGATTGTAGTGCGGGTGGGCGTGTTTACTTTGGGCTGGTCTTAATGAATAACAGAAATAATCATGGATCTCACTTCGTTAATAATTATAATTTATACATTAGTAAATTTAAGTAGTGCGTTTAATTTTGAAACACGACTACCCGTGATTAAAAGAGGAGCTGAAGGTTCTTACTTTGGATTTTCTGTTGCCCAGCATATTTCTTTAAATGGTTCTTCTGGAGAATCTATGTAAGGATAATAAACTTTTAAAAGAATTATTTTATTCTCATGTTTTAGTTTTGGGTCAGATGTGATGTACAAGTGCTGGGTTTTAAGTTTAAGATGATTCAATAAACAATGATAAATAAGTTATTTCCATTATTTACTTTGTAACTTTTACTATTTAACATCAAAATCTTCTTTCATAAAAGCCTTTGTTATTTAATTAGTTGTATGACTGCATTTATTTAATTATTGTTCTAAGCAGAAATTAATGTTTCCATCTTTATCAAAGTTTAAAAATTATTAACTTTTAAAATCTATTAATGCCTACTACTGTTAGATGTTGCACTACTTATGTCTTCATTTATTGTGGCTATATTAATAAAGTAGGGCATTAGTAAGCTTCCAAAATAGAAACTCTGTTTACTAATAATTGTTCCAAAATAAAATTATTGATGATAAATCAGTACTTTTAATCAAATATGTATTTAAAATGAAAGCTGCAATGTTAATTGTATTTTTTTTGTTTTGTTTATTATGTGTTAAAAGCCACAGATGGCTGATCTGGTCAATCTTATCACCAAGAGAAGCTTTAATTGATCATAGATCTATCCATATTCACTATACCTTTGTGGCTGTACATTCTGTAATTTTGTTATGAGAACTCAGCATTAGGTTATTTTAAAATAAACTGTTTATCTTATCTTGACACAAGCTGCTTTCATTCAGACCCATGTGCTTGAGATAAGTTTAATTACTTTTTTCCTACTCTGTTGTTTATATCTCCTAAAATTGGGAGGAGACAACTGATTTTGGAGCCTTGTAAGATACTTGATGATGTCATCTTCAGAAGTATCATGAATTCATGGATGCTGTTAGTCATCGTTTCTTAATTAAACACATGATAGTATTAATTTTTTTAATCTACAGTCTATTTTTAGAACTTTATATTTTAAATATTTATTTGGAATTTAATTTTGTTTGATTGCAGTTAATGACCAAAACAATTATTCTCATATATTATATAGTTTTATGTTGCTTTATAATGATAAATCTTTTAATTTTCTCTTAAATAATTTAATTGATTTTGCTTATTTTTTTTTTCTATTTCATGATTGTCATAGGCCATTGTTCTATTTATTTATGATGTACTCACTAATTTTAATTATAGTGGACCGGGGAAGTTTTCATTTATGGAAATGAAAAAAACAAAAAAAAAAAAACAATTTCAATACCACTTTTATTGATTTTATCAAAAATATTTGTCTAACAACAAATACATTTTAAATAAAATTTTAAACAAATAAGAATTTTAATGTATCAAAAATGATTAAAAACATTTATTTTAGTAAAAGATTTTAAATTAACAACTTGAATGAAATCCTCATTTTTTTAAGTATAAAGAGTTTTAATGAAGCAAAGGTTTTCATACATATTCATATTATATAATAATTTATTTATTTATTTTAGTCAAAAGTTTTAAATTAATATCTTGAATGATTAATTTATTTGATATTGAATTAACATCCTTTATATTTCAGTACCATTTAAGTCCTTCGGGCATTAGTAAGAGTCAACTTCGATGTCAATTGGGAGGGTATTTTCTCCTATCATTCCAACAGTTTAGGGAGCAGGATAGCTCAGTGGTAGGGCACTGAGCTTCCAATGCAAAGGTCCCAAGTTTTGAACCCCTGCTCATGGCAGAAAATTTATTTATCTATTTCATTGGCCGTGGGGCGACCTTGGGTCAGGAGTCCCTCCTGGGGCACACCCAGCCTCTATAAAGTGCAGTTAATGACTGCATTAAATAATTAATTAAGGGGGAAAACCTGGCAGTTGAGCGTGATCTCGGTCAAATCACCTCCTAGCACAACCGTTGACCTAGAAACAGTGCTTTCCCTAAATAGTACTGAACCCCAGACCCAGACCCTTCATGGGTTGTAGTGGTACAGGTTTTTTTTTTTTTCCAACAGTTTAGTTTTACTGATGTTAAATATATTTTATTTGATTATATATTTATTTTATGAACTGTAGTTCGACATGAACTATTGAATATGAACTATTTATTGAACCCATAAATGTTAGATGGGATTTAAATCTGACCTTTAGAGAGGAGTTTTATAATTATAAAGCAATCATTCCTGTTTGTGAAGAGCTTGGGGCTAAAGAATATTACCCTGGTCAAATTTGAATATTCGTTCTGTACATATTTTTATTGCACCAGTCTTAACAGTCTACAAAAATATCATTAGGAATAAATAAGAGCAATTAGGAAAATGAGCCGGACCAGATACGATTAGGAGAATATTAAAAAAATATGGATTCAAAATCAGAGTGAATCAAAAAAGATCTTTCGTAAATCTAATGAATAAAAAAAATAAGTTTGCTTTTACTAGAGGGTCTATAAAAAAACCTTATTGTTACTTGAGTGATGTGATATACTCAGATGAGAGAGAATTGAATAACAATAGTGTGGAGAAAAGTTGTAAGGAAATCAGAGAAAATTTTTTTCTGCAACAATGAAAGGTAGAGGCAATGGTGTTATTATTTAAGTAAGTGTATTTGCATGTGGAGTCAACAAAGGAGCAACCAAAAAGGATTTAAAAGGAATGAAAGTGTAAATAACATGTAGAAAGTTTAATTGTAATGACCTTTTTGGCGGGAATAGGCGAATAGCCTTCCGCATTTATCGGGGAACTAGGTTATTTACACTCGTGAATATTAAAACAAAACCCCGGCACTGGATATCGACTTTTTGAGGGTGTTTGACTGTTATTGGAAATTCAGGAATCTAATACCTTTTTGTGACACTGAGTGAGAAGAAACAGTAAGAATATATATATGAAATGTGGGACTTAATAAATACATTTTGAATGAATTGACTCACCTGGTTTGTTATTCTTCAATTTGTGAGGCATATAGGACAACTAAATAAATAAATGATTTTTCACTCCTGACTAACAAAACAATTTATTTTACAACTGTAATGAATGAATGTATAAAAATCTTATAACTTTAGGCTTGATTTCTTAGTCTTCAATGTAGTATCTCTCTGTTCTGACAACCTCCTTTTTTCCTGTCCATGCCTGGCGTCCTCTCGCCTCCGTGTCCTAGCCTCAAGTGCTCCTTCTCTGCGTCCTTCTGCCCAGCTGTTGCTAGCTACCTGCTCTGAACTTTTTCCAGCTTCCTTCATCGATTGTTTATCGATATGAGACATTTCCATGAATAATTTGTCCTCTGCATAATTGAGTACAATTCATAATGCGACCTCACATTCTTATATATTCCTTCTCATTCTCTCACACAATGTCATATAAAAGAGTAAATTACCAGGGGATGTCTACTACAAAATTAAAATTTAATGGCAAACTAGGGTATAGAGAAATTTTGATTTTAACAGAATAATAACCTTTATCCCCCAGCTCTCCATAGTCAGGAATGGTTGCTATATAGTTATTCAGATGAACATGAAACTCTCCCAGAGAGTCAAGATTTAAATCATGTCAAACATTTATCGGTTTGTGTGGATCCACTGTTCATAAATGAAAATATAACATTAGTTTTTTTACAATTTTATTATTAAACACTTTATTCAGAAATATTACAATTTGTCACAGTTAAGGACACTTATAATAGAGTTCAGAGAGTACATTCATACTGTATATACAAAAATATAAATAAATAAAGTAATAACAAAAGAATAAGAAAAAAGAACAAAAGAGAAAAGAAAAAAAAAAAAAAAAATATATATATATATATATATATACATATAAGTAAATAAAAATAGAAATAAAAGTAAAACAAACATCTTATATAAAACATACCTATATACATTATTTAAAATTTGCCAGGTGATCTCTGAACCAATCCTGTCCCCTCCACATGTGGAGGGAAAAGAGAGGCTTAGGAGATGAGATCCCTACACTTCTCCCTCAGCCACTTCACTGGTATTTAAAACCAGCAGAGGATGAGTAAGAGCGCTACAGCCACAGACACTCATGACTTGAGTGGGGAATCTGGCCATTGCTAGAACTCCAAAATATCCATATTTACAAAAGGTCTCGTGGCCACTGCCGCTTTAACCTACGAAGGGATTGTAGGGATGGGTGGTGCTTGTTAGGGATTGTACAACGGGATTTGGGTGATGAGAAAGGTTCTGGTGAAATTTGGAAAATTTGGCTGGGATAAGATCAAGAATAAATGGGATATTAAGGTCATTATGCAGAGTTTTATTGGTTACATAGAAGGGAGCATCGACTATTGTACGGAGGACTATAGACTGAAAGGATTGAATACGTTTGATGTTAGAAAATTTAGCTGTTCCCCATAGTTCTAGTCCGTAAGTCCAGATGGGTTTCAGTATTGTCTTGTAGATCAGTAATTTGTCTTCACCAGAAAGTTTAGATTTTCTATTCAGTAGTCTATATAGCTGGCCATATCGTCTGTTAAGTTCCTGTCTTTTAAGTCAAGTATGTGGATTACATGTTAGTCGTCTGTCTAAGAGAAAGCCAAGATACCGGACTGTATCTGAGAAAGGAAGCTGAATGGAGTTAAAATAAACTGGTGGGCAGGTATTACGCCGGAGAGTGAAGGTAATGTGTTTACATTTAGATTCGTTTACCTTGATGCGCCATTTCTTACACCAGTGTTCAATCAGGAAGAGGTGCCTTTGTAAGTTTGCGGACGCTGTTTCAGGATCTGAGTTAGAAGAAAGAATTGCAGTGTCATCAGCGAAAGTTGCCAGGAGGGTATCGGGATGGACAGAAATATCAGCGGTAAAGAGAATGTAAAGGATGGGGCCCAAGACGCTGCCTTGAGGAACGCCAGCCTCAATTGAGTAACAGTCGGAGAATTCGGTTCCACAGCGAACTCGGAAGGAGCGGTCGGAAAGATAGGATCGGAGTACTAGGTATAAGGACTGTGGTAGGTGGATTTTAAGCTTGAAGAGTAATCCGGCGTGCCATACCGGTCAAAAGCTTGCGCTATGTCCAGAAATGCACCCGAGCAATACTGCTTACTTTCTAGGGTTGAGGATATATGGTCAACAACTCGGAGTCCTTGTTGGACAGTAGAATGTTAGGAATGAAATCCGAATTGATGAGTAGGAAGGTTATAGGATTCAATTATAGGTAGGATTCGTTTCAGTAGGATCTTTTCAAAAATTTTTGAGAGGATTGGGAGTAGGCTAATTGGTCTATAGGATGCTGTATTGTTGGAAGGTTTGCCTGGTTTCAAGAAGAGGACGATGGTGGAATGTTTCCATAAAAGAGGGAAGTGGATAGTTCGTAGGATGCAATTGTATATATATGTGAGAAATATGATGGCTTTGGATGGAAGTTGTCGAAGGATCTGTGGGGTTAGATGGTCATATCCAGGAGATTTGCAAGGAATGATTTTCCGTAAAAGGTATTTGATCTCAGAGGGATTAACAGCTTTAGGTGGGATAGGTATTGAGAGGGATTCTTCTACTTTTACTGTGTGGCTGGGATGGGATTCCAGATGAGGATCGAAAGTATAGGAAAGGTGTTTGGCAAATTCCTCGGCTTTATCTTCATCAGATGCTGCCCAGGAGCCATCACCTCGTCGAAGAGGGTGGGAAATATAATGGGATTTGAGGATTTTTCTGGTGATATTCCAAAGGGAATCTTCATGAGCAGAGAGTGTGGTGAGGTAGGAATTGAATGATTGGGATCTGAAGGTGTCTAATTCTCGGCTGGATGTCTGGTACGTTGCCATAATAATCTGGCACGGCGTTTTATGTGGATTAGGTCAAGGAGGTGTTGAGGTAAATTATGTTTCTTAAGGATTTTTGAGGAGTGATCAGGGGAGGAAGCAGTCCAGACTGCTTCTTGAATTTTGGTAGTGAAGGAATGTTCAGGGTTACTCTGAGGTCAATTTTACCGGAGAGGATTTGATGAAAGAGTTTCCAGTTAACTGGGCCTCTGATGAAGGATGGTGGAGAGGGTTTAGGAATAGGGGCTAGTGATACTTGGAGTATTAATGGGCTGTGGTCTGAGGAAAGCTCGTCAAGACGGGCAATGGAATGGTTGAGAGCACCTAAACCACTATGGATAAAGAAATCGAGGATATCGGGATTACGGTTAGGATCAGTGGGCCAGTAGGTAGCTGAGTTGGGTGGAAGAAGGGTAAAATTTGGGAATTGAGTACAGACACCAATATAACACTAGTAAAACCAAATTGTTGGCAGAATGGGAGAAAATAACCCACCAATTGACATTGAAGTTGACCCCTATTAATGCCTGAATGACTTAAATTGTATTAAAATACAAATGATTTCATTCAAGTTATTAATTTAAAATCTTTTACTAAAATAAATGTGTTTTAAACATTTTTGATACATTAAAATTCTTATTTATGTTTAAAATTTTATTTAAAATGTATGTATTGTTAGGCAAATATTTCTGATAAAATTTATAAAGTGGTATTGAAATTATATTTAGACATTAAAATATTCAGTAAAGAATTGTTTTTATTGATTTTTTTATATTTTTAATCAGTGTGTGTATACAAACTTTTGCTTTCCACTGTAAGTTTTAAAATTGTTCATAGGTATTTCACCTTTAAAATACTTTTAATTCTCTTAGTTACATCCAGTAACCTACCACCTCCTTTGTTCACCCATTTACAACGCATAATATATAATTTATTTAGAAGTTAAAGAACTTAATACCATCGATAGTATCATTTTGCGAACCATTCAGTAGTTAAGAGAATTAAAATATTTCAAAAGTGAAATAACTATGAAAAAATGTACAAATTAAATCAAATTCATAATGATCACATCATAAGTAAATAGGATTATTGCCTCAGATAATTAGCAAACGTAAAAAAAAGAAAATTAATTTAATCCATAAATTTTTTTTAAGAGAATAAAAAATTAAAAAAGTTATTATAAAGCAACATAAAACTACTTGCTATTGATTATATTACTATAATTATTTTGTTCATTAACTACAATCAAATAAACATTATTCGGTATAAATGTTTAGAATAACAAGCTCTATAAATAGACCAGTTTAAAAAAAAATTGATGCTATCAAATGTTTAATTAAAAATGACTTATAGCATCTGTGAATTTATGATATTTCACCAAGTATCTTAAAAGTCTCTAAAATCAGTAATTTCCTCTTAATTTGAAGAAAGATGAATAATAGAGTAAGAATTAAAAAAAATAAATAAATAGATTCACAGTGGAAAAAAAATTATGAGTCTTTTATTACATCAATCTGTTACTTGGTTATTGGTGAGCAGTTGGATTCCCAAAACATCTTCAGTGCTAATAAGAACAGATTCCAGAAGGATTTACTGAACATTCTGTGAAAAAATTAACAACTATATTCATATAGCAATGAGCATGATCATGTCTTCTGTGTCACTGGATAGCAAAATTCTTAGTCCCATGAGCATGTCTAGCCTGAGAAGTCATGTAGTTCAATATGCCTGCAGACCAATAGAAAGCCCTTCTGCCACTGTACCCATTGTCAACTAATAAAGACGGCTGTCTCTCATTGATTTGTGTACCTGAAGGAGTTGAGTTGATGAAACTGTTTATTCCAGGTGGATGTATGGCAACATTAAGAAACTGGATATGCATTTCTTCTGGCCTATATGACAAAAATTCTTTTCATAGCTCATGATACAATCTGATCAAGGTGTCAATATTTGGTATTGTGACAGGTTTTTGCAGTTGGAAGACTTCTCAGCCTTCCATGTATGTTTCAATAATCAGTATATCTAGAGAAAGAAACTGAAGTATGGATCAAGCCACATAAATTTTGCTTTGATGAGGTTGTTAATAGTGCATAAATGTCATACAATCGCTCTTTTTTAATATGCCAGTTGTGAGCAGAGTATCTTCATAAGTCCTGTAATGTTCTCCGGACTATTGATTGACCGCTGGTTTTATGATTTGTCTGGTTTTCAAAAAAAAACTATTAGTATAAGAAAGTATTCTAACATATTTTAAAAAAACTTATAGAACATAGAGGTCAATATCTCTTAATTTTCCTCAGATTCCAATGAGGTCCATAAAAATTACATAGGTCACAGTTTGCATTTCTTCCAAACATATCGTTTACTTGTTCGCACTTACAAATGTGGGGAATCTATGTACGTCTCAATTACTTTTATATTCCTTAATAGACCCTCCAAGAACGAAGAAAACAAGCTTGTCAAGAAACCTTATGAGATTTGCAGAAACTCCTAAATTAATAAATGTTGGATGACAGTAGTCTATGACATTGATAATTTTTATTTATTGTTGGCTCCAAGGTATTCAATAGAGTTAACCTTATGTTCTTGGATAGTATCAAAGTCGTCTGTCTAGATGACTATGATTGGAGAGTTCTGAAATTATTTTTTGTATAGAACCAGCAGTCAATTAATAAAACCAAATAGAAAAAAAATACCACTATTCCTCATGAATGTTTTTCGGTTAATTATATACTTAACCAATGGTTATAAAAAAATATTATTCACCGAAACACTAATTTAGTCTTGAACCTGATTAAAAAAAATATTTAACATATTTTTTATTTATGTGGTATGTTTTTAAAACACATATTTAATTTAAGAGTTATATTGTAATATTAATTGCAGAATTATTAATTATTGCTTTATAGGCTTTTGGTTGGCGCTCCACTGGACCAAAATATTCAACCCTCTACAAATCGTTCTGGTGCACTTTGGCAGTGTCCAGTTAATACCTTAGAAAATGACTGTGAGCAAATCATTACAGATGGGAGGAGATGTGAGAAAGCGTCTTTAATTTTTCTTTACTTTACATTAGATATTTGTTAAGTAGTTATGTCAATAATCATTAATAATGAATACGTGTTTTTAAAAATTTATTAGATGTCTTTAAAATAGTATAACCCTTACATCAAAATAAATATTAAAATATTTCTTGTTTTGTATGTTGAAATGAAAACCTTTATAGATACTAGTCATTATATTCTATTTATTAATATTATATGTGTCTAACTTTTTTGTGGTGACATTAATAATGGTTAAGGTCACTTCTTTCCTATTATTATTTTTTATTGCACCACTAATATAATTATCGATTAAAATCTACAAATTCATTCTTCTAGTCTGTTATTTACTAATGTCCCCTCATCAATTCATCATTAAACAATGCCACAATGCTATTAATGGTATTGGAAAAATCATTTAAGGTGATGGACTTTGTTGAATTTTTTGTTTATCTTTAAAGTGTGTGCAGTATGCAATGCTATTTCAAAATCAGTATGATAAGAAAAAAAACAAACATAAAGTGGCTTATTTAGATTTTATGTAGAATGTTAATTATCCATTATTTAAATAGCGCATAATTTCCATTATTAGTTTGCTTTTTTTGTTCTAGGGTCCCCACTTTTTAAAAGTTGTCAAAATAATTTATTAGAATAAATCTTGTTTATTTCGGCATCATATGTTGTTTTTTATAGATCTATTAAAATAACTTTTCTTTTGCTTGCTTGGGCTTTATTTTTTGAACATAAATTTTTTAAGAAGAGTTTTAATAAGATATTTAATTAGTTTAAATTAGAAAGAATTTAAATTTAATGTGAAAATAGTTATAGTTTTAGTGAGGTAGTAATTAGTCCTTAATCTCTAGAATTATCACATTAATCCTTCTCTTGGTTTACCATCCATTCCTATACCATCCTAAAAACTTTTTTGTTCTTTCTGCTTCATTGGTGGTATAGTGATGAATGCCTCTTATATTTTCCCATAATTTCTGTAAATATTTCCATACCTGTACTTTAAAGGTCCCCTCCTACTTTGTTTCCTTGGTTTATCTTGACATGTTAGAATTTATGAGAAGAAAAGGTACTACCAAATATAACATGTGCGACCCCTCAACTCCCTTCTTTAAATCTCTACTAAGCATCTTTATTCTGCATCAAGGTGCAGTACTTTAATAATACCAATCAGGATCTGAAATGGAATTTTGCCTTCCTTCTGATTCCAAATCAAATGGGAAAATCCTCAGAAAATTCTCTGTTTTTAATTCTAAAAACTGTATTGATTATACAGTAGTTTTAAACTCTTTTTTTCATTGACTTCCTCTCTTATGCATCATTATCTTTTTCTTTTTAATTGGCCCAGTCTTCTGAATTCCATTTGACCCTACAATTTTGATTTTTCCAATGCCTATTTTGATCTTCTCTTTCCTTATTTCATCGATGAAACGAAATTGTCAAGAACTTTAGTTAAAATTTCTTTAATGGGTTAGCTGACATCAGACCTGCGTACTGTGAGTGATGGAATTGTTCTGTATTTCTTCCTCTTTATAATGAGTTATTATTTATCGTTTATGTTTCATATCATTAATCTCGCCTTTTTGATATGTTCACTTTTATTGTCTTATCTGAAGCGTGCACCTTAGTTTTTTTATTCATAGTGGTAGTATAAGTTACTTTTTTTAAATAATTAATGTAAGTCAAAAATGAAATAAAAAATAGAGAGACGAGCATTCTCAAGATCTTCATGTGAGGCATGCTTTCTTTCCTATGCTACCATATGCCAACAAGTGCTAAGTATTCTTTAAAAAACAATGGACCATGTCTTTTTTTTTTTAATCTTATATTTTAGAATTATTTTGTAAGTTTATCTCAGATTGATGATCATATTACAAAATAAATGCAATTATTAGATAAAAGTTGCCATATAATAAGGATATGTGGGGACCCTAAATTAGCTTTTGCTTTTGACTTCTTTTCTATAAATATGTATTTAAAATTAGTCTCATTTAATTATAAATTATGAACCGCCTCTTGATATTGAAAAAAAGCAGGGTTTTATTTTTATTTATTTTTTGAAGAGTAATTAAATGAACTTTGTTTGTTTTGAACAGACGCAGATGGGCATTATTACAAAAAGTGTAAGTTCAAGCTGATACTCTTTTGTTTACATATGTGTGAATTTGGCATGGATTGCATTCCTTTGCACACAACTCTGCATGTGTTCACTTTAGTGTTGCATGGTACTCTTTTTTTATTATGTTACTAATCAGGCTAAGCTCAATGGCACAACAAGCATATAACACATATTTTCACAACTAGCATAAATCAAAAGCACATTGCTACATTTATGTATGTTTACTCGGTTACTTTAAATATTCATGTTATTTTGGTTTACTTATTTTATTTTTAAAATTTTGTTTTTTGCACTTTGCTAAATAAAACATTTTGCCCTAGTATGTGTTAACCAGTCATCGTTTAAGACTGATGAGCTGCTATTATGCTTTGGGATGGTAAGATTATAGAAAATACTGTATGGGTTGTAGATTAATTTTTAGATTTCTGAAAAATAGAATTGAGTTGGGTAAAATAAATATTTGCTATGGTAATAGGTAAATTTATTAAGTGTCTAAAATAAGTTATGTTTGAAGGAAAAATGTTTTTGTTACATAAGCCAAAATTAAGACTTTTATGAATGTAGCTTTTGGATTAGCCGGTGTTAGTAACTTAGTTGTCTCTTCCTTTCCTTTGCTTTTAAGCCTAACATATAACTGTCTTATTTTTTTTTTTTTAATTATGTGATCTACAGGCAGTATAATGTTAAACGAAACTAATGTAAGTGTAGGAAATATTGATTGGGGGATGCAATCAAAAAGGAAAAATATTAAAATAATTTCTTATTTATTTGTTTTCCTTTCCTGACTAAAACCTTCTCTCTTCCCCCAATCAATTTCTCCTAGAACTAGTTTATGCTGTCTAGAATATCTCTACTATTATAAACAGAACTTGTCATTTATGTTTTATTTTTAAAAACATTTTATTAAAAAAGAAAATCATAATGAATTTACTTAAATAAATGTGAAATTTTCCGTTGGAATGTTTTATGCCAATTTTTTATTTATAAATATTTTTTGTTTTATGTCTTGTTATTTAATGTTGAATATTATTTTATTTGATTTATTTTTTCTTTTGTGGCAAAGTGGACCGAGGCCATGAAGGCCTATTGTACGCCTCTATTAATGTCACTTCTACTCCTGCAGTTTCTACTAACTGAAGTAGTCTTGTTGGATTGACAAGCACGTTTTTCTTGGGATCAGTCACCCTATCATTGCCTAATAAACAGAATCTTAATTCAGCAAACCTGTCGCACCAGCAAGTGATATGATAAGCTGTTTCATCCTCTGGAGAACTTACAAAGAAACAACTCTGTTAGCCGGAGATAAGCATATGCTATTTCAGTTTACACTGCCCGGTATTTATCGCTGCAATTTTCTTCAGAGAGCTCCTGCTCAAGTTAGTAGGTTGTTTCTCTTTGGATAGATTCCATCCAGGAACAATTTTGAATGAGTCTGTTTTTTCAAGCACCAGTATTTTTTGGCTTTAACACCACATATCTTCCAATTCTATTGTTTATTAGATTTAAACTAATGCCATTGATAAATTTGGGAGTTGTAGGAGTCGTTTGTGAGCCTTTTTTTGCTAATTCCTCTGCCATCACATTTCCATGAATGCCAGAGTGTCCTGGTACCTATTCAATAGTTACCTTATTGAACCTAGATAAATTGTTAAGAATTACCAAGCAGTCCTTAACAGCTTTGGATCAAGTTGTATAGTTTTCTGGCGCTCGTATTGTCGCCTGTCTTTCAGTGTGAATGGAAATTTTCCTTTCCACCAACCCATCAAACAACTTTAAAGCACAGTGAGATATCGCCTGTATTTCAGATTGGAATACCATTGCATATTTGTCAAATGATATAGCCATTCCATCCTCTGGTTCGTCCTTTCTCCAAAATCCAGCGCTGCAAGCCATTAGTGATCCATCAGTGTAACAATTAATCCCATTAATGGTTTTTTTCCCTTGCATTTTAGGGTACGCGGCGTTTTTCCCGGGCCGGGGGAGAGGGAATGGGAATTATAACTAGTTAAAAGTCCCACCGAACACCGGGATTTGAAGGAGTAATTATTTGTCTATATTAAACTTACGGTTATCAGGTTACCAGGCAACGCACGGTGCTGTGCACTTATACACCTCATTTCTCAAAATTCTTCGCTGCTGCGAGGTGGAAAAGAATCCTATACTATATATATATATACTAGACTCTTAACAAGAATAACACAATGTCACCTGGTTAGTATCCTCTTGTCTCCTGGTGGAGTGTATCTGGCTGATGCCTAATCTCTAGAATAAAGTTGCCAAAGAGGCAGTAATTTTATTGATTTTTGGAAAGTACACAGGACCTGAGGTCGGTGGCAACAGAAATAATTTCATAGTCTCTAATTCTTCATCTCATGATTCTGTTGTTAATTAAGTAAGATTTCTGGATTGGAATAATATCGATATCCTCACCCTCAATGTATTGCAGAAGCACTCCACTTGCCTCAATGCAGTGGTATAGATTTACTAGCAGCCTCATTTGGAGATTGTAATTTAGATTGACATGTCGGGCAGACTTCTGGATGGAGACTGGCATATTTTCACCCTCAGTCCCAGTTTTCACTAAGTCTTTGGGATCTTCTCTACCCCCAGTTTCAGGCCTGCCAGTGATATTTCAATCAAAGTCTTGCAGATTGGCAGTGTGTTAGTGAGCCATTAAGGGCTTCAATATTTAAATGACATGTAGCAAATGAGTAAAACTGAGAAAAATGATCACAAACTCCATTATTTTCCTTGATTTTATAGTTGTTATTTTTATTATTATTTTTTTTTATTGAAATGATGATTCATTAACAGAATAAAATTTAATCTAATGAGTGGTTTAGAAGAATATACCTCTATTTGTCAGCTGTTAACATGGCAATATAGTCATGAATTCTGTTATCTTGTATGTAAAGCAAATTATTTATCCATTTATTTATTATTTGTATAACTTATATTGTTGCCAGATTTTCTTGCTTTTTATATATAGATGGTGAGTCGGGAGTAACAGGCTGAACTCCAGGAGTGGGTTGCATACAGGAAAATAATTTTAAAAACTCATAAGTTCTTTTCTAATTTTCATGTATTTAAATTTAATTGAAACATCTATTCACATAGAGATTATGTAAATATGTTTTTGTTTGTGGTTTTTGCAATGAGAGTGCTACATCTGCTACTGATGAGTATTGGCAATGGTTTTCTCATCGCAGACATTCTGATAAAAAGGTATTTATCAGATTTTTCAACAAACTATGCCAGAGCGAACAATTTCCTGTGCTATAACTTCCAAACAAGCTACTAGCCAAGGCTTATGAAAGGTGTTGACTGATGAAAATCCTCACACGAAAGTCAAAAACATTTTCAACATAAATTTTTGGTAAACATGAGGTGGGGAATTGACGACCATTATTTAATTGATCCTTTGAATTTAGAGAATCGCCTGGCAGGAGACTGCTACTTAGTTTCTTTACAATTTGAATTGAATAGGCAATTAAACGATGTTCCTCTAAATATCAGGATGCAAGTATGCTTTCAGCTCATTTCACTTGTCAGGTGGAAGAACATTTGGAAGAAAGGTTTTCAGATAGTTGGATGGGCAAAAAAAAAAAGAATGGAGCTTAACCAACAGATGTGAAGCGAATAAGAAAGGAACTATATAATAAAAATAACAAACTTTATAATATGAAGCAGAACTAATAAACCTGGACTAAGTATTTATTTTATCTATACCAAACAAATACTAAAGATACAAAAAATGAAATCAATTTTACATTTGATTGATGATAAATAAAATAAGAATGACTTATAAATAAATTAAAGATAAAGATAATTAAAAACATTAATGAAATATTGAATAAAAGAACTGATATTTATATCTACGAAACTGTCCAAAATTGATCAATCTAAACTAATGCTAAAATTAACAAAAATATTACTAATATTAAAAGTAGAAGTTATATAAAACAAAAGTTGAATAACTATGTGCAGGTGATAGTCAGTAGAAATTGTCGAATAGCAGGAAATATATTCTTATGGTGACTTCATATAAATTATGAGCATAAGAAAAGTGAGTCTGCAGTGAAGGACTGCAGTAGAAGAACTCATGAAAAAGCACTAAGGCACACTCACCGTAGTAGCACACTCAAGTAGCCGAAGTTAATCGGATTAGAACATATGAGTTTTTTATTATTATTTTCCTGTATTCGGATTTTGGCCCTTTCCTCCGGACTCATCTTGTATGTATAAAATTTAAATGCCATTGTTTCTGGAATTATTTTTGTTAAGTTATGTTGGGAGTTTTTAAAGACAGTGTTTGTGCAATATAAATGTTCATGAAAAAATTGCTTTAATTTTCTATACTAGCATGGGTTTATTTAATAATTTCAGTACTGCTTCATAAGTCATTTGCTCTGCTAAAAGTTTATTATTAAATGCAATTTGAAAGGGACATATAATTAATTTTTGTTTATTATTGCAATAACAATCATGAAGGGAAATAATAAAACTTTCCTCATCTATGCAGAACAATAATTGTCAAGAGGACAATGAAATGGGGCTTTAATGGGTAATGCATGTAATAGTTTGCTCAAAGGAGTCTGTCATGAAATGTTTGATTGCTAATATGAATATGAATTAATTATCGAATTTTTGGTGTATATATTTTTGATTATTAAGAATAGTGAAATTTGTATATTTTTATTTATCTTTAACTCTATTAGGGATAATTAAACATTCCATTTATTATTGAATTTTTCTTTGATGATTGAAATTTATAATAAAATTGATTAAATACCTGTAGAAATTAATTTTTATATGTCATGAATTCTTTAATTTTTATATTGTCATATTTCTGTAATGGATTGGAATTTTAGATAAAAAGTTATTTTAGATGCGGATAGCGAAAAACTTTTGCCTCCTATGGAGGATGAAGTTAAAGATGGGCAGTGGCTTGGGGTCACAGTAAGAAGCCAAGGTGCTGGAGGTAAAGTAATGGTAAGTTGAACTAAGAAAAAATATATATATACATATATATATATATGTTATCAGATGTAATTTTACAATTTCATATTACTGGCTGGTGTCTTTATTAGAAGAGGCTGAGTTAGATAGACCATAACTCATTTTGCCAACGTCTATAGTTACTGGTGATCATAATTCTACATTTCTGTGCTTCGGGGGTTAATTTAGTTGGTATTTATTTAATTATAAAACAAGAATAATTAAGAAAAATCCAAATCTTGGTTATTACAAAGAGTTTAGTTATTGTTACTCATTAGTAAAAGCTTAGGTTCGAAAAACATACTGTTTAAATTTATTTAGAAGGTTACTCTAATCAATTGAATTACTTACATTGCAGCAATAGATACTTATATCTTTAGAAATACCTTGTAAGAAAAATTTTGATTGTGAATTATTTCACGTTAATGAGTGAGTAATTACTAACTGAAGTATACCTTAATGATAGCGTATTTTATTTTCATAAGTTTTACTATCAAAATAATAATAGTCGTCATAATACCTAGCTTCTTTGTACCTACTAGGTATGGTGAGGATTGGTGAAAGTCCAGCAAGTGGGCTTATTTGTCTCTTTATTCAGAATTAATAAATTACAAATATTAGGCTTCATTTTTATTTATTAATTATTATTTTAAAATATTATATATTTTTATTTTATTTTTTGAAATATTTTATAGTTTAATATATACATTATTGCATTCAAAATCTGTTGGTAAGTACAAGATTGATCCATGAGTGGAATGAGAATGATTGTTGCATGAATTCGTTCCAGATTTTTGCATGTTAATAGTTCAAAGTATCCACAATCGTGCTTAAGTAGTTTCCTTTTTTTATCTTATTTAAACAGAACATAACAGTGTCTCATTGATGTTTTTCTTTTTTCTTATTTGAAATGTATTCTTAAGTCCAGTTTAGTTTATTTTAAAAAGTAATTTAATTCTTTTTTTGTGTTATAAAGTTTATTAAATAACAACCTTTAATACTCATTCCTTAAGACGGCTACTGACAGCAACTCAAATTCAACAGCTCCAATCGAAATAGAATGTGGAACAACCATGTGTGTGAAAACACCAAGCCAATATCCACATTTTAGGCTCTGCTATCATAATAATAATAAAAATTGTTAGGTTAGTAAATACGGAATAGTTGAAATTTATGATATGGATTGTATAAAATATGTTATACAAATATTGATGTCGATAACTTACATTGTTTTATATTTTTACTATTACTTATATTAAAAAATACTTATAATTAAAAGGAAATAAACATTTGTATTATTTCTAATATACTTAACATTTTTTCTTTTTAGAAGTATTTTTTGGGGCTAAATATTAAATTATTTAATTTTTTTATATTATTCAAAAGGGATTAAAAACCTAAATATTATTAATAATACCCACATTTTATTAATAAAAATTATTAACAAAAGCGTTTTACTTTAAAACATTATTTATTGTAATATTTCATCCTATTTTGGTTTATTATTTTCAATAAAGAACCATTGTAATTGAACAGAAAACAAGAAAATCATAACATTAACCCTCCTTCAAAATTTGAAGTTTTACGTTTCGTGTTATGTAGAACTTGAAAATCCAATAAAAAATTTTTGTCAGCAGTTTTTCATCAAGACTACTGGGACAATTTTTTTGAGATTGTGAATCAAACTCAGAGTTCACTTGAGAATTACCCTCTCAACTTGACATTACTATCAACGTCATTCCTTTCAAAATGGCGGTCGAAAAACCTATATCACTTTAGACTAGCGCTTTAATGGCTGTAACAATTTTGAAGAAAGTTGTCTAAAATCTTCTCCTTGATGCCCTATAAATTAATGTGTATTACACATTTTACTGAAAAGAAGCTCGAAAAAAATTATGTTTACTGTTGAATTTTATTGATGAATTACTATGAAGTACACAATTTTTTGTTGATTACCTCTATACTTATTAAAAAATAATGACATATGCTTTTTGAGAATAATAAACCAATGTGTAATGTATCTGAAGATATTATAGTCTTTTATACCTTAATTTATTTTGATCAATATTAAAAATTAAACATAAACCATTAATTATTAATAGTATATTGAAATATTTTTAGACTGTAAATATTCTAAAATATGTGTTTATCACATTTTACATTTCGTTGGAAAAAGTTGACCAAAATTATCAGTTATATATTGCATCGAAGTTTGCTAATTCTACCCTTATGACTAACAATGTAATTTTTATGATATTCAAAGATGTCCTTTATTTAAGTTTAGCTCTGTAGTATTTATGATTTTGAAAATGATCTGTATGAGAATGAATCACTATAAATACTGAAAGTGTGAAGTATTTGTCATTGAGGACCTTTTAATTGTCTTCATTCCAAGCAGTCCAGAGGCTCCACTTCTTCATTCCATTTGGAGTGATCCTCATGGACTACCTTAACATATCCACATTTTATATAATTAACTGTTAAATTTAAGATATGGCAAACATTATTATTTATTTGTTTCTAATTTTACTTTTGATAAATGTCTACGTAATGGTTAGAGAACATTGTATAACCATTAGTTTAATGGTGTTCTAATGTATTAGCAAGAGAGATTTTGGGTAGCTTCATTAAACTCTTTGAAGTTTTAAAGCTCATATTGGTACGGTTATTAAAATTACACATAATAGATATTGCATAATATCTCTTTGGCTTGACTGCACAATGAGTCAGCCTTCCCTTATCTTCAGCACATATTTCATAAGAATACCATTAAACATATTTTTAAAATATATTTTTACTTGGGAAAAATATAGGAACATACCATAGAAAGTTGACTGATAGTCCATAAGACACATTGGTGGTTGAATAAGTTATATAAACAGATATTTATATAAACATTGTTTTATTTCAATCAGTCGTTAATTTAGTTTTTTGTGTACAAGAATTTTGTTTCGTTTTGTTTTTTTTCTTTGCTTATCACAAGATTTTTATTATTTATTTTCTTATGAACAATATAGTTTTTTTTTGTATGTATAATTATATATATATACATTTGTTTTTTATTATTTTTTTTTTTTTACCTACCTCTAATATGCATACAAAATACAAGTAGTCAACAAAATAATCAGTTGGACTAATAAATTTAAAGCTTAAATGTGGAAATATTTCTTTCATTCTAGTATTACTTCTATGACATTGGTATCTTTCTCTTTTTACTCATATTTACGATAAAGTAGGTTGAGTTAATTACTTACAACTGTGTGATTAAAATCAATATTTAGAGGTCATTTAGTAGTCTATGCTGTCTAATCAGATTTGTTGTAACATACTTAAATACATTACATATAGTTTACATTATCCATTAGTTGTGAAAGCATTTTCTTTCTCCTTTTTTTGTACTGCAGAGTGTTTCTTAACTGAGTTAATTAGATCTAATCTTCATAATCATCAATTGCTACTAGAATTCATCACTGGGTCCTGACTTCTCCAAGGCGTTTGCCAATTGATTCGATTAAGTGTAGTTATCCTCCAGCCTTTAAACTCCAAGCAGATCGTCCGAATCTTTTTTAATACTATCAAGTCATTGCAACTTGAGGGAGCCTTTTGGTCGTGTTCTATGTAGTTTATCATTAAGTTCTTTGAAATCTCATGGGCATAGACCATGGCATGCCTCGCCTCTAAAAGTCTATCACCTTTATCAATTTAACATTATCTGGTCACTTAAATAAAGAGGACAGTTCATTGTTTTTACGTCTTTTGTCCATGTTGTGTTCCCTCTTAATGGACCATGAATACATCATAGAATCTTTCTTTCAAATATACATAGGTATTGTTGACTTTAGACAAATCCGTATTCTTATTTTTGTAGCTCTTGAAAGTAAGCTGTTCGTCAGCTGTCGACAAAGTTCATTATAGCGTCTATTAGTAGACACTATTTTTCTTCTTATTTTAGTTGAAATATCATTATTTTTATTTATTTGAGATTCTAGGTATAAAAATTCACTAAGATATATTAATTCATTGTTATGTAAGGTTTAAATTGAACAACGACTACATTTAGAGATTTTATATTTGGTTTCCTTAAAATTCACAAGGCCCATTTTTTTGGCAGATGGTGATATTTAAATTGAACCTTCAGTATAGCCAAGAATTTGAATTGTTCGATTGTAGATGGTTCTTCTTGAAGGATCACAGAATCCTTAATTGCTTTTTTCAGACATACTTAAAACAATAGACAGGCATTGGAGCCTTGCCCAACTCCATTAACAGTTGTAAATTCTCGAGAGAAATCACCTAGTCAGTTTTACCAGGTGTATAATAGTCCATGGTACAGAATCTTTTTTAACAAATTATTAACATCCATCTAAAACTTTGTGAAAGGGTTCATCTTATCATAACCTACAACTTTTTTATTTACCAAAAATTTGGAGATTGGTAAACTTAGTCTATTTAATGAGGTGCTAAAATCTCATGAACACCCATTTGCTTTCCACTTGCATTGTTTGATAATTTGATCACAAAATCGAGAAAAAAGGTGGCTTCCAAAAATATAGTGCTATATGGCGTAATCTCCATCCCAGCATATCAAAATAACAAGGTTATATAGGCCAGACAGCTCCTCATTATTTTTGCAGGCCGCCTTTTTTCACGATTTTGTGAACAAATTATTTTACGATTCACGTGGAAAGCTATTGGTTATTCATGAGTTATTGGGTATTCATGAAACCACCAAATTATCTGCATAAGCGAACAGAGAAAAAAAGTATAGATTGAAGATTTCTGTACCCCATTTTATAAGGTCTCTGTGCTGTCTTGTTATTTTTATAGTGTTGACCAGCACTAGCGTAAATAGCAAAAAGGACATAGATAACACCCTTACCTGATATCTTATGTGAACTCCTTTGATAAATTATAGTAAACTGGAGATTGTAGGATTCAATCTAGGCCCCTACTCCCTGCTATCCCCTTAATTAGGAGAGATCTATAAGTTGAAACATACTTGTAAAAAAAGCCTTAAAAAAAATAAAATTAATACATTTTATCAATTTTCCTGTTTTAATGTGTATTTCTTTGATATTTCAGGTTTGTGCTCATCGCTACATACAAAAAAGTCCTGATTCAATGTTTGGAAGGGGTTTGTGCTATACTTTATCTCAGTTCTTAGATCATGACAATACATGGGAGCCTTGCAAGGGAAGGCGTATGGATAGGTGATTTAAAAATATTTATAACTTTTGATATTAATTTATCTTAAATAATTATATCTGTATATTGCTTTCCTACCTATACTAGGTAAGGAAAGTATTGTGATTGAGTCAAATTTCCGATGTACAGTTTTTGACGGATCTATACGTTTCAGAGCCCCCTGAGTCCGAAAAACACATTTTTAGCCATTGATCTGTATGTCTGTGCCAAGATTTTCTCGGAAACTAGTGAACCGATTTTGTTGCTTTTTTTTTTTTTATTTTGTAGGGTTTTTACTACTGATGCCTGTGACTTAAATTGGGTGCTCCCTGCGCAATAAGTGAAAAATATATTTTTCTGTAGACTGTAGTGCAAAAACGGCTCTAACAATTTTTATGAAAATTTCCTGTAATGTTCTAGTAATTGGCCTTTCAATTTTCGTACATGTACTGAATTCCCGAGAAAATTCATGAAAAAAACTTATAAAAGAAAGAATAATGTTTTGGGGCCTAACTCGCTAAGTATATATTCTATGGTAAAATTTACAATATATCTTTTGAAAGCCTATTTTTTTGAATGGTAACGAAATTTCTTACAAAACTATATGAAAATTGTTCATTTGAACAACTATTAACGAATTTACAGCTATTCAATTACATAGGTAATATTACGGGTTAATACCCAGGTGTCAGAAAGGGATGAATGAGAGAGAAAAAAGAAAACTAAGTGAAAGTAAGAAAATTTGTTGCCCGAATCACACAAACTTTTCTATTTCCTCTACTTTTAACAGAAATTATTGTGTGACAAAATTAGGCTAAGGCAAAACGTTTTTGATTAGCAATATAAGAGGCTATTTACATTTTTGCACTAATTTACTACAAATCGGTTTACATTGCTTTGGTTTATCAAAGAAATCGTACTCAAATCTTTTCTTTGATAAATTTTGAGGAAAATAAATCTTATTAATTTTTTTTTTGTTTCTTAATGGAGATATTTAAATATATAAAAACTTTTCTGAAATAGGTAGGAAAGTCATGTTAGTGGACACACCAGATTTTGTTTGTATTGTATTATAAGCTTGTTGTTGTTAATATTTTATTTAATAGCCTTTCTATTATAAGAATTTTACATTTAATCTACTGTTTCACAGAGGTCAGCAGCAGTATGGATATTGTCAATCTGGAACAAGTGGAATACTTGTTAACGATACAGCCATCATTGGTTCTCCTGGACCATATGTCTGGAGAGGAACAATATTCGTTTTTTCAGTATCTGATAATTTTCTTGACAGGGACAAAACAATGTATTACAGTCCACACCAAGAAAATGATTCACCAGTGCCAAAGGACAGTTATTTAGGTGAGAGTTTTATTTTTTTAAAATTAAAGTTCTTGTTAAAATAGGTATCTTTATGTTAATAAATAAATATTACAATCTGTCACAATTTATAATAGTGCTCAGAGAGCACATTCACACTCTATTTACAATAAATAATACAGAAAATAATAATATTAAAAGTAAATGTGTATAAACTAAATTAATCATAATAAATACCTAAATACTAAATACAAAATATGCTTCTATAAAATAACCAAAAAACATTCATTCACTCAAGATCTCAGAGCCAAGCCTTTCTCCTCACTTGTTGAAGGAAAGGCAGGACTCTAGGAGATCCCAGCTCCTCTTACTCAGTCGCATTACTGGTATTCAGGACAAGCTCTGCAGAGGTGCAATAATCACTCATACATGGCTTGTGTGAAGAATCTGGCCATTGCCACTACTCTAACATATGCTTACTCACAAAAGGTCTCGGGCCACTGCTGCTTCAACCTTCGAGGAGGATTATAGGGATGGTTGGAGCTAGAAAGGGATTGTGCAAAAGGATTTAGATGATTTGTAAGGTTGGATGAAATTTTGACAATTTTCTTGGATAAGGTCTAGGATTAATGGGATATTAAGGTGATGGATAGGTTTTTGTTGGTTATATAAAATGGAGCATTAACTATTGTTCGAAGGACTTTAGATTGAAAGGATTGGATGCGTTTGATGTTAGAAAATTTTGCTTTCCCCCACAATCCGTATGTCCATATAGATTTCAGGATCATCTAGTAGATTAGTATTTTGTTTTAATTGAAAGTTAAGATTTTCTGCTCAGTAGTCTGTATAGTCATCAGTTAAGTTCTTGTCTTTGAGTCTAGTATATGGGTTCCATGTTAGTCTTCGGTCTAAAAAAAGCCAAGATACTGGACTGTGTCTGAGATAGGAAGCTGGATGGAATTAAAGTGTACTGGTGGACAGAATTTGCATCGGAGTGTAAAGCTGATATGTTGGCATTTGGACTCATTTACTTTAATAAGTTATTACACCAGTGCTCAATCAAGGAGAGGTGCCTTTGCAGATTTGAGGATGCTATTTCGGGATCAGAGTTGAATGATATGGGAGGTATTGCAAGGAAGGTATGGGTATGAATCATTTCAGGGATTTCAGCGGTAAAGAGGATGTAAATCACGAGACCCAAGACACTGCCTTGGGGAACACCGGTTTTAACGGGATATATATCACAAAATTCTGTTCCACAGGGAACTCGAAAGGAGCGATTAGAGAGGTAGGATCAAAGGACTAGGTATAAGGACTGAGGTAAATGGCTTTTAAGCTTGAAGAGCAACCCGGCGTGCCATATCCGGTCAAATGCCCGTGCTATGTCCAGAATTGCACCCGGACAGTATTTCTTGTTTCCTAGGGCTGAGGAAATATGATCAACTACTCAGAGTCCTCGTTGAATTGTAGAATGTTGAGAGGGAAAACCAAACTGATGGAAAGGAAGATTTTGGGATTTTATAAGGGGTAGAATTCGTTTTAAAAGGATTTTTGAAAAAATTGGGAGTAGGCTAATTGGTCTGTAGGATGTCAAGCTGTTGAGAGGTTTGCCTGGTTTTGAGAATAGGATAATAGTAGAATGTTTCCATAATAGAGAGAAATAGGTGGTGTGTAGAATGCAATTATAGATATATGTAAGTAATATCAATGCAGGAATTGTGCTCTAAATAGGAGTGACTTTAATAGAGGCGTACAATAGGCCTTCATGGCCACAGTGCATTCATGTCGCTTTAAAATAAAAAAAATACCACTGCTTTAGACGGAAGTTGTCGAAGGATCTGGAATGTAAGGAGATCATATCCAGGAAATTTATAGGGGATTAGTTAATATTATTATTTATTTCATAATAGATAAAAGCGTCAAGTATCAACTTTTACATTCACTTACTTTATGAAAATAAGGTGCTTAGAGTATTAGTAAATACGTGATAAAAATAAATGACTTAAGTTCAGTTTTCTAAAATAAAAAAATCCTAACCATGTTTAAAAAAATGCTTCCTCTTGAAATTATATTGTTTTTTAAAAGACTGAACAGACTTTTTTTTACTCTAATCTTTCAATTTTCAATCATGTATGTTAAATTAAATAGTTATAAATTATATATATATAATTATAGTTATAAATTAATTAGTTATAAACTATATATTTTTAACATTTGTGTTACTTGACATATTGGTCAGGGAAAACTTTCATTAAACAGGGAAAAGTCAGGGAATTTTATTCTGACAATTTGGTAGCCACCCTGTATATAGTTGAACACCATGTAACACTATTCATTAGTTTTGATTAGGGTTCTGAAAGGATTAATTTTATATTTCCTTGTTTATTAAAATAAACTGTTATTCACTTTAATGCATATGCTAAGAAAAATATTTTTCTGGCAGGAATGTCTGTAGCCGCAGGAGATTTCTTTGGAACTGGAAATATTGCTTATGCTACGGGTGCACCTAGATCCAGAGATACTGGAGAAGTTTTAATTTTTGAAAAAGAAAGACTTTCTGTACCAACAATGGTAGAAAAATTGAAAATTTCTGGTGAAATGTTCACATCGAACTTTGGCTATGAATTAGCCACAGCTGATGTAAATGGAGATAAGTAAGTTTGTTTTTTTCTTATTGTAGGCTGTTTTCTTTATGTTTAGATTCTAGGTATCTTTAATTTAATTATCAATTAAATTATTAGCTGTTAATTTGTTAATCACCTCCAAACCTTTGGTGACTGACCTGCAACAATCGGAAAAGTCAGAGAGAAGTCAGGGAACTTTTTTAGTACCTAAGTAATTTTGTTTTTTCAAATTGGAAATAATTATACCTTGGATATAATTTATAATGACCTTGAAGGGACTGGATTAACTTGATTGTTATAGTCGAGCATCGTTATAAATTTATAATTGTTTTAATAACCACAATCACTATATCCATCCACCTGTGACTGTCAATAACGGCTATGGTTGTTATATTAAAATAAAAAAATTATAATATTGAATACTTAATAGTTGACCATTGTATTATTAAGGAAGGATATGGTCCTGTATTGCAGTCATAAATAGACTAAATATTGGCCAAACTATTTTATTAAAAGCCAACGTTTCGACCCGACTTTGCAGGTGTGTTCAGCAAGGAATTAGTTATAAGGATTCAGTTCTAAATGAAACTCCTTGCTGAACACACCTCCCTGAAGTAGACCTTCAAAGTCGGGTCAAAACGTTGGCTTTTACCTTGGACTCCACCGAGACAAAGGTCTCACTTGGAGTCCTCATCCCAGATTGAAACGACAAGAAACTGCTCTAAGAAACTGCCTTCTCGTCCAGTCTTATAAAACCAAATGCATTTCACTCCTCATATTTTTGTATCTGTTATAATCCATGGTTATATAACAGTTGGTTTTTCAAAAGTAACTTCTAAGCATAGATTGTAGATTATAGATATGAATATCTATTTTATTACTCATAATTAATTCACTTTTAAAAATATTGCTATAAAAAGTATTTTTTAAATATAACATTACCAAATTCCTCAGTATTTATACAATTTATTTTATTACTTTAGGCTGCCTGATTTGATTGTTGGTGCTCCTAATTACTTTGACAAAGAAGCAGGTGGTGCTATTTATATCTATGTTAACAAACCTGAAAGCTGTTCTCTTACATGTCTCAAGCCAATAAAAATCACAGGAACACACGAATCTCGGTGAGTTCTTTCAGTGTCCTCAAGCATTTTATATTTTGAGAATTTATTTATACTAAATTAAAATATTGAAAATTACAATGTGTTTGTAATTTTTTTTTTAAACTATAGTTCTGTTCAAATTGATTTAGGATATTTAATTTTATTTTTTAATAATATACTATTGTTAGTGAAATTGTATATTTGAGTGTTTCTTGTGTAGAATTTTTAAGTCTCTTTTTTTTTTTTAAGTTTTATGTTTTTTATTTTATTTTTTTATAAAAGATTTGATAGATTAAAAAAAGTTTGTATAAAAGAGTGTTGTTATAATTTTCTTTCAAAAAGAAAAAATATTTACAATAGGTTCAATACATTTTCCCTTTCTTTTAATTTAATTATTATTTGTTCTTTTACAGATTTGGGATATCAATTGCTAACCTAGGTGACATTAATAAAGATGGTTTTGATGACATTGCTGTCGGTGCTCCATATGAGAAACAAGGAGTGGTCTATGTTTTTCTGGGTTCTAAAAATGGCACAGTCCACGAACCATCACAGGTATGGTTTTATTAATGAATGATTTTAATGCGCATGACTGATCTTTGTTTCAATATTTGATGATAAAACAATATAACAATCAGATAAATAGAAAAATGTTGACAATGGGATTAGGCATTAGTTGTAACAGTTCTAAGAAAACTGATGTTCCCAAAAGCCTGTTAATATTGGATTTAATATACAGTTTAATTTTCTGAGATTATCATCTGTTCACTTCTTGTTGTATAGTATATCCCTAATGAAAAATATATCCTATATTCATAGATGTTCTAGAACAAGTTACTTAAAATTGCTTATGACTTTAAATATATTTTGCAGGTTTAGATCTTTATTTTTATATTCTTTCTAGATTATCAATGGCGAAGATTTTGGTTTGGAAACATTTGGATATAGTCTGAGCGGAGGATTAGATCTCGATTCAAATGGTTATCCTGATCTGCTTATTGGAGCCTTTGAATCAGAAGCTGTTGTACTTCTTCGAACTCGGCCAATCATTGAGATTACAAGTAATATTGGTCCTGCTTCAGCTTTAAGAGGAATTGATCCGAATGGCCGTGGATGTAAAGATCATATGGATACCAATCTGACTTGGTAAATATTTATTTATTGAACTGAATGTATAAATCAATAGATTTATGTTTACCTTATTAAAGTGCTAAAAATTTACAGGCCTGTCTTTAATACATTTTTTTATTCGATGTCAAATATCCTTTAGGCTATCAAAATTTTGTGATCTACTTTGGGCCCTCTCTGTATATTACTTTACAATATAATTATCTTTCATATTTTAATATTTTCTAATATTTTTATTGTTATTGTGGTTCTAATTCTGTACTTTGACATCTTGATTCTCTAGCAAAACTAAGAAGAATTTTTTTTTTTTTTTTCAGTTTTACTTTTGAGGCATGCATATCAGTTCAAGGTGTTATTCGTGACAGGAATTTAGATCCTGAACGCTTAAGGTTGAATTACTCTCTCCAAGCGGATATCAATAGAAGAGTATCCCGTGTTTTTCTTGGAAATCCTATTACAAGGCCAACCTCAAGACAGGGCATTATAACTTTGAAGAGAGAATCTGGAGAGCTGAAACATTGTAGTTTCCACACTGTTTTTGTTAAAGTAATTTAAACACTTCATTGTTTAGATGTTACACTTATGACAACCAATATTTATCATTCTACTACTGCTTTTTTTTTTTTTAATATTAGTTTATTTTTTTGTTCTGTGTAGTGGTAATTTTTTAGAAAGACTAACAGAAATTACTATGGTCCTATACAGATGCTAGAGTATTTGCTGGAGTTTTGACCTTAAAATATGTCAAATTGCTTTGCAGTAAAATTTGACATTTCAAAACCTCTGGCTCTGGATTCATTGTATATTTATTTCTCCAAGAAATCTAATTAAACTAGAATGAATGCTCTACTGAGAAGTTTATTTTTGTGTTGTTATTTGTTTTGTTTTTTGTGCCTAAAGTCATATTTCACTTTTTTATTCAATGTTTGATTGTAAGAAGATGAAAGATTTAACTTGTACAACTAACAGCAAAATATAAGCAATGAAACATGAGCTTTAGAAATAATGGGATGTTATAAGAAAAATTAATCAAGAACAATAATTTTAATAATCCTATAACCAGACAATGAAATTAGTACTTTAGAAAAAAAAGTGGCACTTCCGCTTAACCGATTTGGAGGAAAAAGTTGCTGTCACATCTAAGGCATATACCTATCTTAAATGCGTAATATCAGTTTCGTATGGCTTTTTGTTTTTGAACTAGACTGCTAACATACAAACACGCAGACCATTTTTCGGGACTTGGTCATTTCGGCTCAGGGTACCTCAAAACGTGTACTTCCGTTGAAAACTCAGATTAAAAAATTTTCTCGATCGCAATACTTATCCTTACTATATATTACATATATACGTAAGTGAAAGTAAAAATTTAGCAGAACGATGAAATAATGAAATGAAAGAAATCTGAATAGAATGAAAGAAATCTGGCAGAACTCTCTGTCACTGTCTCTACCAGAGAAGATAGTGTCAAGATTTATAACTCTATCTCCTCGATGTAAACGTTTTTGACAGCTCGGCTCATTACATAATTTATACAGTTACATCATCATCTTATTAATCATTAATAAGAAATTATGTGGACCATTATATTATTAATTGATAGTTTGTTAATTAAGATATTTTGTTTCATAATATTTATTGTATTTTTAGGAAGAAACAAAGGATATTCAAACAGCTATAGCAATGAGGCTCAGTTATAACTTAGTTCAAGATGAACCTAAAAGGCCTAGAGTGGGTGACAAACTACCATCTATGGATTCTCTCCCAATATTGAATCAAGTTCAAGCTGTTAAAGTTTTCCATGCTTCATTTTTAAAGGACTGTGGGGACAACGATATTTGTGAGAGTCAGCTATCAGTTGAAGCTAATCTTAATCTTCCCCATTCTAGTAAGATATTTCTTTTGCATCTCCTAGTTTTAAAATAATTGAAGGGACAAATAGGTAGGTAAATATGATCAATAACATATTTACAACTTTGATAAAATTAAATTAAAGTTTGACATTGGCACTTTTTATTTAAGAAAGCTGATATCTAATTTCTATCAGTTGTTTGAATACTGGTAAAAGTGTCTATTTTTTATTAAAAAAAAAATTAAATATACTTATTTTAAACTTATTTATATCATTAAACTTATTTTGATGTACACAATACTTACTGCCATTATGTAGTGAAAGAGACCTTATGGGATAGTGAAGCATTTTAGGCATAAAATGTGTTAAAGTATTTTTTAACTATATATTAATAATGTTATAAAAGAATTCAGTTCTTGAAAAATATTTATTCAAGTAAATAGCATTAAATTTTAATTTTCAAAAAAGAAAACTAACACGTTGAAAAATTACAAATTATTTTGATTTTTTTGTTGTTCATGTTTTTCTATAATATTTTTATAAACTTTCCTATGTTTCTTCTATATTTATACTTTTAGTCTGTGGCTTTCTCCTCATTCAGGCTGCCTTCAAATTCTTCCAAAAAATTGATTTTTTATTGTGTTTCAAATTCTGTTGGCCCTTACCAATGAAACTTTCTTGAATGATCTTATTTCAGAGTATCTTCCTCTATACTAAAAACTCTCAAATTCATCTTCATGTGTCGATTTTTAAATTCCTTAATATCATGTTTTTATTCCGCATGTTTTAGCCTTTTAATTAAACTTTTTTTTAATCAAATTTTGAAATCTCGGAAATGGTTATGTCTAGGTATTTATTCGTCATATAAATAGTTTCATATTCTCAAAATTATTTTTGACAATTCCACATGAATTTAAAAAATAATGTCTTTTTTTTAAGTGCTCTAAGCTAAATCTAAAGTTATCTTAACTCTGATCATAATTTTTCTTTTAAAAAATACTAGTTAAAACGTTAATAGATGTTTATCCAAATATTTACTATTTAATCACTGATTACTGAATTATTAGTGATTTCAGGAATAAATAGGAAATTAAGCTTATAAGTGCTTTTTATTCTCTTTAAGGCAGGCGTGTTTCGTCACTTTACGTGTCTATTAACTCAGTTGTGAGCAAACTATTGAATTAATGTGGCTTCAAGAAGGAAACATTAAAAATTACAACTTAATACTTCTATTCACTGTAATAATTGATTTTTTCATAAATGTCACATATTTTGCTATCCTCAAATAAGATCTACCCCATGGAGTCTATTTCTCCTCCATCTTCAACTGTTTATCTTTCCTAGTAAAATTCAAAAGGGATGACCATTCGATGGAGGAAACCTTCTATTCTATGATTCCATCAGAATCTAGAATGCAATACCTAAGGGATGCAAACCGTTCGCATTCTGTGAAATAATGTAGACCTATTATGCTCAACCTTCAAATTATTTTTTTCCATCACTTAAGCAATTTTATGATTGAAAGTCTACTGAATGAGAATACCTCACACAATGTACAATAATTAATAGGAAAATGTGCCCAGGCTCTGTTAATACCTTTTGTATGTATATGCAATACATTTCAGTTTTCGAAGTTTTCTGTGTTCCATCTGATTTTATTAAACTATAGGATTGATTCCATGAGACATTTTTCTTTAGTGGTTAGTTCCGCAGTTTTCTTGAGGATTACTATTCAGACCTAGTTCTGCCATAAATACTGTTACAAAAATTGAACTTTTACATCCTTGGGCATTATTTAGATAATTCTTACCTCTATCAGATTATTTTCTTTACATGTGAGAATAATAATCCCAATTAGTTTGTATTTTTCTTTCGTTCAGTTAACATGGAGTGGGGTGATAAAGAAAACCAAATAGCTGTGATCGCCTCACACCAAGTTAGAAAATGTAGGTCAGAGATTTTCAACACTTTGAACCCTTTGGGTATTAGCTGTATGTTCGTGTACCACTCTATAAATAGATATAATAGGCCCAATCTGTATTTGAAAAACCTCGACCATCGTCGACGAACTGTGAGAACGGCTAATGGAGTGAGAACAGTGGCTGCTCAAATCAGAATAAATCCCATTCGAAAACAACAAATCATGTCTTGGGAAATGGGAATCTCTGTCAGATCAATGTCTCGCAGAATATCGTGAAAAAGTGACCTTAGGATGGGTGTATTTCTAAGAATGACAGGTCAAAGGCTAACCACTTCCCTAAAAAAAAAATTAGAGTGGATAGGGGCAAAGTGTTCTTTGGCCGTTACACTAATGGTCTTCATCGAAAGATTTTTTTTTGCGATGAGAAAATGTTTTTTCAATTGAAGAAAAATTTAATCGCCAAAATGATCGTGTGTACTCACACTGCTCTAAAGAAGACCATTAAGTCATTGGAAGAGTGGAAAGAGGTCATCGCCCTTCTCCAGTGATGGTTTGGTGGAGAGTTTGCTGTGTTGGTACCATGAAGCTCCATTTTTTGTGAAAAAGGAGTTAAAACAGCTGCTAAAAACTATCAGGACGATATTTTGGAATTTGTTGTCAAGGCTCTAAATGATATCCCGTTTTGCTGGAAGTTATTGGGTTTTCCAGCAGGATTCTGCTCCAGCTCATTAGGTCAGGTTAACTCAGCAGTGGCTGCAAAAGAACATTCCAGTGTTCATCTCTGCCTCGGATTGACCCTCAGGAAGCCCTGATCTCAATCCACTAGATTATTGGTTTTGATCCGAACTGGAGAGGATGGCATCCTACAGAGTAACTTAGAAAGCCTCAAACAATCTCTGAAAAAAGAAGTGTTGCGTGCTGCTATTGATGACTAGCCACGGAGATTAAATGCCTGTGTCAAGGCAAAAGGAGTTACATTTTATTTTCTAATAAAGGTTTTGAGAAAAAATAATTTTTCTGTTGAAATCTGTATATATTTCCTTGTAACAATATTCAGGACAGGACTAGGTACCTTGTAAGTATAATAATGATAATGTTTTATTTATTCTGGGACAAGTCCCTTTAGAATAATGTAGAAAGACAATAATGTGGGTTAAGGAGCCTTAGAGATACATAAACAAAAGTATAGAGTAAGTAAATAGTCAAAATTTAAAAAAATAATAGAAAAAATTATAAGTTACTTACTAATTTAGATCTGTTAATAATAAAAAACAAAAAATTGAAAATAAACATGAGATAAAAAATAATGAAGAACGAGCTAATAATTTATATACATATTTACAGTAGTGACTATTTACAATTTTATGGGGACTGGATGGAGTATAGAGTAGAAAGCCAAAATAAATGTTTTAGTAATGTTTCTATATTAAAGAAATATCCACCTATTAAATCCAATGCTACTATGGCAACAATTAGGAACCATCTTCTTACCTTTTGTGAGGTATTTGATGAGAAAAATCTTGAGGTTTTTCTATTATGGTTTAATTTTGTGAACTAATATACTCCAGTGAGAACTCTCGCATGATATAGCTACCCTTATCCCTTATGTATTCGAGGTATAAGTGACATCAGTAAAACATGTTTATTCATACATACAATATAATATTATCAAGATGTTCTATTCAACAAACTCTTTTGGTGAAGTTTCTTACTTGATGTTAGGTGATTAGTCTACTCAGAGGGTAGAAGTCATACCTGCTGTGATTATAGAAGCCGTAACTGGATATTTTTTAATTTTTAAAAGTATGAAAATGTTTCCTTCTATATTATTCTAAGTACGCAAGGGATCAAGCTATTCTGACTTTTGAAACCAACTGAGTTTTGAAATTCTCTATGAAATTATCTTTCATTTGATAGCTCAGTTCATTTGCAATTTCCATTGCTCCTGAGAGCTGAAAAAGGAGTCTAAACTACTGTTATATAAGTGTAGGTTATGCAGTTAAATTGCAATAAACTTTATTTTTATGTATTGTATGGTGCTTTATTTCTCCATTCAGTTGTTTTTTAAAATCATTATTATTAATTTTGTTTCAGGAGGAACTAAAAAATATGATTTCATTCTTGGGCAATACAAGGAAATATTGCTTAATGTAACAGTCCACAACTTAAATGAGAGTGCATATGAGTCATATTTAGTTATTAAACACTCTAAAACAATTAGTTATATTGCCCAAGTTAAGGTATGAACTTATTTATGTCATATACCATTATTGTTAGATGATTCATTTATGTAAATACAATTATTTTTCTTCATTTATGTTCAGGTGAACAGACAGAGTTGTGGAACTGTTTCTGAAACTGTTGTTGAATGTTCTCTAGGCAATCCACTTGTCCGTAATGAGGGTGTGAATATCAGCCTTAGATTTGAACCTAGATCATCCATTGATATTGAACCAGAAATAAAATTTGTGTTAAGGGCCAACACTACATCTGAAATTCTGGAGCCTCAAGGCCCTGTCACTTTATCTGCTTTAGTTATGAGGAAAGCAAATCTCTCTTTGAAAGCGTAAGTATTAGTAAGGTATATTCTTATCATTTATCAATAAGTTATCATTGTTACAAACAGTAAATAGTTAAAATATTTCACTTTCTGTATTATTATTGAGAGAACAAAATCATAAAACATAAATAAAAGTATTATTTAAATATTGACTACTGTTTTGCGATATGGTAAAATTTTGATTAACTATGATTTTAACCATTTCAACTGCATACATATATAACAAAACTAATGGGTTATGTATATGTGTTGTCTTTTTTAAAAATTAACTTGACTTACTAAAATTATTTTTATCTATCAAAATATGATGTGTATGCTATTAAATCATTCATTTTAATGCTGTATGTTACATTATTATTTTTTTTTTAATTTTTCGTATTTTCCATTGAAATATTTACATCATGTGTTAAGAGCCCACCCTTTTTTGGAGAGGAGGGGTTCTATTGTGTATCATAAAGTGATGAATAAACGAGTGATGTTTAATCAAAGTTTTACTATAGTTTATGAAATCAACTGACATCAATTTTAGCTGTTCTGCTGACCAAACTGGTGCACTAATCTGTTTTTGGCATCAGCTGCATGATTGAATTGATTTATAAATCTTCTTCTCATTGTCTTGTTTGCTATGAAGCAAATTAACTTTGTGGAGATTCATCTTATTTAATAAATTATTAAGCTTTTGATGGGACCTTCTGCCCCACCCTCCCCATTCACCAGACCCAGCTCGCGAGTGACTACCACTTATCCTGTTCTCTGCAGTACTGAAATAGGTAGTTCCATGAATTGAAATTACAAAATGAATAGGACATCAAAAACCTCTTCTGCCAGTTTTTGATAAATCTGTGACGTTCTATGAATATGTAGTTAGTGGAACGATACAGGTCATACTAAATACTGGTCAGTACATTTTTGATTAAAATAAATTTTATGTCTGTAATATATCAATTTTTTCATATTTAAGGCAATAAAACTTCTAATTTTCTTCATATTTTTTAAAATTACGTTTGTTGTCTCTTACGTTTCAGGACAATTTTTCCATCATCAGAGCAATCTTTATCTTTACTTTCTTTCTTTGATGTGGCACCATTTGTTAAAAATTAAATATTTGTCACATTTTTTAAAATTATTTTTTGGTTTTACACATATTCATTGATACACTGTGTGTATGTGTTAAAAAATGTGACAAATATTTAATTTTTGACAAATAGTGCCACATCAAAGAAAGAAAGTAAAGATAAAGATTGCTCTGATGATGGGCAAATTGTCCCGAAACGTAAGAGACAACAAACGTAATTTAAAAAATATGAAGAAAATTGGAAGTTTTATTGTCTAAAATATGAAAAAATTATAAACATAAGCTTCCTAATAAAAAAAGACAAATAAGAAGATAATATATCAATTTTATTTCACTCTGAAACACAAAAAGGACTTATTTGCTAACCCAATAGATTTGTTTTTGATTTCTTTATAACCTTGTTTTAAAAATTTTTCAATATATTTATTTTCATTTTGAAGAAAATAATGAAAGTTAAACAGATTTTGGAAGTAAATGCCCCATTTCCTTTTCCTTAACCATTATGGTATAATGAGATAAAAGTATGTAACAATAGTATATGAATTTTTCTATAATGAATTAGATCCTTTCCTATTAGTGTAATTATTCATGGTTAATTTGTTTCATTATTTACTAAATTTACTAATAATCTAATAGGTCGGTGAGACCAGAAGAGTTGATTTATGGTGGTCAAGTTCGTGGTGAATCAGAAATGAAATTTAAGGACCAGCTTGGTTCTCTTCTTCGCCATACATATCAAGTGGTCAACCAGGGACCTTCACCTGTCAACAATTTAGAAATTCACATCAGCTGGCCTCACCAGGTGGCCAATAACAAACCATTAGGAAAATGGCTCTTGTATATGGATGAAGAACCTTCTATAGATGGCAAGTATTATTTCTCTATTGTAAGTAATACAAATTTGGTAATACCATCACAGAACTTTCACTTACCACTCTACTTTGGGTAGAAATTACTTTCTGGTAAATTAGGCTACTGTAAAAAGTCTTTGAAGTGCATTTTTAATGGAGATAAAACTTATAAAACTTTTTTTCTTATTTTGGTCATCTTTATCTCTGCAAAAACTCATTAGGACCATCAAAATAATACAAGCCCTACTCATATAGATGGCAATAAAACCTTCATAACTCTATCGTCTATTCGAACAAGATAACTTCAGTCTCGTAGCTCTATACACAAATAGAGATTTGAAAGTACATCCCTTAGCTATAAATAAGTGAGGATTACAATACTCATTAAAAATTATAGGATCTAAAAACTTTATACATGTTTCTAAAGTATTATTTTTTCTCTTGTAAAATTTATTAAAAGTAGTCACACTGTGTGCACAATGTTTTCATTTCAAAGAGAGAAATTTAATCAAATTATTCACTAATTGAATTTTTTTAATTGTTACTTAATAATTTTTCGGAATAAACCCATGGCACATACAGATAATGTTTTGCAAAATTTGATTATTTGGACTCAGGAGACCTCAAAACGTGTATTTGCATTGAAAACTCAGATTAAAAATTTTTAATGATCAAAATACTTACCATTGTATTTCATAGTAAAGTAAAAATAAAAAAAAAACAGGAAGGCTTCATCCATTAACTTTTATAAATCGTTTTCATGACCCATATTTGTCAAAAAAATTCTGATGCATGCATCACAAAACTTTCACTTCCACTCTCTTCTTAGCAGAAATAAGTTTTTTCAGACAAAGGGTAAGTAATAGTTATAGACAAGGGGAAAGTAATAATTATAGATGTTATATTTATTTACATTTCATTGTGAAATGAAAAAATATTTTATTATTCTGGGACTGTTGTCCCTTTAGAACAAATTATAAATACAGATTCTATGTCTGTGTGGTTACAATTAGATTATATATTTACAATAAGAGTTGACTAAAACTAAAAATACTGAAGAAGAGAAAGAAAATAACGAGAAAATTGTACATATATATATGAGAAACTAAAATAACCTAAATAAATTGAGGTAGTCTCTGGGGGTGCTTAGATATTTCTCTTAAATATATTTCGCAATCAGTCGGATTAAGAAAGGAGTAGGTGTTTAAAGAGGAGAGGTTTCAAAGAGGAAACTGATTGAGCTTGTCGAATATCAGCAGGGATAGAATTCCAAGAGGGAGGCGGCTTGTATTGCAAAGGATTTGTCAAACGCAGCAGTTCGGTGAGGAGGAGGATAGAGGTCGGAAGTACGAGATCTAATGGGACAGGATTGGATGGAGTATTTGAATTGTAAGCTGTGAAAAATATAGGAGGGTCGATGAGTTCTAATGATTTGGTACAGAAAGGTGGCTAGGTAGTGCACAATTCATTTGGCGTTTAAGTTCGGCCTCGGAATCTTCCGAGAGTCCACTGTACACCATACAGCCATAGTCGAAGTGGGGGAAAACAAGGGAGGAAACTAGGAGTTGACGGGACTTATATGGAAGGAGATATCATAGACGATTGAACTGTTTTAGGGTAGAGATAGTGAAACAGGAAATAAGGGAGATGTGTGGTTTCCAGGATAGGGTTTGATCAAAAGTAACTCCTAGGTTTTTAACGGTAATGTGGAATAAGATAGGCGAATTGTTCAGGAGAAGATTAAGAGATACCAGGTAGGATTTGAGGAGTGAGGGGGATCCGATCAAGATGGCTTTTGTCTTCTCGGCGTTCAGAGTGAGCCTGTTGAGGTTTACCCAAGCACTTATTTTGTCAATGTCTTCCTGAAGTTTTAGAGTGGCATCTGAGAAATCTGTCGGATTAAAGGAGAGGTAAATTTGAATGTCGTCGGCATGCAGGTGGTATTGACAGTGCAGGATAGAGGATGGGAGGTCATTTATATAGATGAAGAAAAGGGTGGGGGATAAGGAAGAGCCTTGTGGGACGCCTCTGGTCAGAGGTAGCGATTCTGATGGGGGTTATTAGGAATTACAACATACTGGGAGCGACCGGTAAGGAAGGATTGGAACCAATTAAGGGAACTAGAAGAAAAAGAGATATTTTTAAGTTTTTAAGTTAGGAGGATGTGGTGGTCTACTGAATCAAAAGCTTTGGAAAAGTCTAGGAGAATAAGGATGGTTAGTTTCTGCTGATCTATGGCTGTGTGAAGGTCTTGTTAAATTTTGATTAGGGCAGACTGAGTAGAATAACCAGACCTGAAACCAGACTGGTAGGGATTTAGGAGATTGTTGTCCTCTAAAAAATGGGATAGCTGGGATTGGACTAATCGCTCTAAAGGTTTTGAGAGGCTTGAAAGAAGTGAAATCGGTCAGAAATCATTAAGAGCTGATGGATTTGAGGTCTTCTTCAAGGGGCGTACTAGGGCAGTTTTTCAGGATGTAGGGAAGGTAGCATTTTGAAGAGAATAATTGTATATATGATAAAGGATCGGAAGAATGGATGGCAATGCGGCTTTAATCAGTCTGACTGGAATGTTGTCGGGACCGTAATCATTGGTATGGGACTTCTGAATGGATTTAAGGAGATCATCTGGTGTAATATGGGGAAAAAAGAAGTGATCAGGTTTGAAGGGAGAAAACATAGGAGCCGGACTGAACGTAGGGGATGTGGTTGCAAGTGCCACCAACTTGATTTAAGTACCAATCTGAAAAATTTCTTCTTTGCCGAAAATCTTGTGATAATAAATTTTGTACCCATTGATAATGATATGGGTGAAGTCCATCTGCAATGAGAGTTCTCCATACTGTAGTTGGAGTAAATTTTATTCTGCTCCAGCTCATCATACACTGCCAGATGGATTATCATCAAAATATTATAATATGGTCGCACTCCTTTCTTCATTTCGTAAAGGGGCAAAAATACCACCAGCATATGGTATTATAGCAAATGTACCAGTTTCTCTAAGATGTTGAAACATGGAGCTAAAGATAGACTTGTTTGGTAATCTATTCGGAAATCGCCTGGAATATTCATGACGGGCAGCATTATTAGCATTACCATTGCGAAAACCATATATAAACACTGTATCAGTTTATTAAACTTTCTATAATTAATATTGTTTATGCTTGTTGGTGTACATTGTTCATATATAATTAAATAACTAATATATATTGTTTGTATCTTATATAAGACCTACAACGTAGGTCGAAACATCGGAAAAAATATTATGAAAAATATACTATTATATAATATCGTACTTTTTTTATCCCACCCTTCTCCCCCTCTCCGACTGACTAACTTCTTCTGAAATTAGAATTCACCATCAACCATCTCTGTACTTCGTATCATAATGTAATTATTATTCATTTGACTAGAATGAAAAATAGCAATATTTTTATTTATTGAAATTTCTAGGAGTCTTTATGTTAGATTTATAGAAATTTGACTGTAATAACATTCTGCAGTTCTCTAATTTTCAAATATCTAATGCATCTCTGGGGGATGGTACATGTAGAAATCATAGGATCTGCTTAAGTTTGTTTTCTATAATGTTTATTTAATATTTTGTTTTTGTTTTATATATAATAGCTGTAATAAAATAAAATAAAATTGTTACAGCTGATGAAGGAGGCATTTGTCATACAACTAGTGAATTGGTTAATCCTCTAGGTTTGAGAGACCGAAAAACTGAAAAACTCTCAAATATAGAACTGAACTCTATTAATAATTCTTCTTTGTTAAACATTCAGCGAAGAAAGAGGGATGTAGAAATGATTGTTAGAAAGGGTCCTGATAATATTGTCCGAATGGTAATATATTTTGGTTAGTTTTTCCATTATATTTGATTAATTATTTCAAGTGTTAATTTTTTTTTTTTTTTTTTTTTTTTTTAGAATTGTTCAGCTGGCACTGCGAAATGTATTAAATTCAAGTGTGTTGTTTACAAACTTCTAAATCAGCAGTCAGCAACTATTACAATCAGAGCTAGGTGTGTTAAATTTAAATTAAACATTAGTTACCATTATTTTAATAGAATACAGTTTGTATCTTTACTATTGTTTCAGGCTTTGGAATAGTACATTGGTTGAAGACTATCCAAAAGTGAAAGCTGTCGAAATAGCCTCAACTGCTAAAATAATTATACCAAGTCGAGGAGGCTTAATAATTACCTCAAATCCATCTGATATCATTGCTAATGTAAATATTAACATATTTTAAGAATATTATTTGCATATTTCTTTTTCTTTTTTTTTTTTCAAATTTGGAAGATTGAAACTATTTTTCACTGGCTGTTTTATTGTGGGTGAATTTTAAATATGGCGGTATGAATATCAATGATGCCTATATCTTGAAGAGACATAAAATTTTTAAATCTATATATATTAACCACTAACCAGTGGCTACTCTCATTCTTTCCATATATCCATCTTTCTGATTCCTATCTGTCATTTTCCACTAAAGATTAGATTCAATTGTGAAAATTCAACCTAGGACATTAGGAATGATGACATTCATGTTAATCTCATCAAACTCTTCTCCTCTATTACTTTCACCTACCTATATATTCGAAATGTATAGTAAAGAAAAGTATTGCGATTGTGAATATTCTTGAATCTCAGTTTTTAACCGGAAATACACATTTTGAGGTCACCTAAGTCCTGCAAAATGGTCTGCATATATCTGTATTTACAGTAGCTCAAAAACGAAAAGTCATACAAAGTTGAAATTGCATATTTAAGGTTTTTATATGCCTTGATGATACACAGCAACTTTTTCGTCAAAATCAGCAATTTAGTAAAGGGCTCTAATAATTTTGATTAAATTCATTATATCAGTGTAAAATTAAGCATTTTTCAACATAATGTAGGTTTTAATCTCATCAATGTTCTCTAACAGGGCTTAAATAGCTAATTTTCGATATTAGCTTCCCCTAAAGTACCTTCAATTTTTTTTATTTGAAACAATTAACCATTTCACATTGATCTCTGATATAAAAAATAGTTAAATTTAATTATGAAAGAATTTGATAATTAACTAGAGGAGGAATACCAGATCGTTATGGTGAATAATTTTAATGAAGGAAACAAAAGAATAAGAGCGCACCCGAGCTCACCTTAAGATTAGAACAGGCTTCCATACGTAAGATGAGCATAATATAATACGAACTCCGACAATTTTATGTACATATACATATGTGGTTTTCACAAATGATATAGTTGATATTATTTAATATTTAATTGTATCGATTACAGCGATATAAATATTAAAATTTGTACATATAACGGTACTTAAAAAAATAAAAATACCTACAAAGAAATATAAATATATATAGAGTCTACAGTTTGTACTTTCACTTTCCCTTTGTTCAAACTCTTAAATCTCAAAAGTTTTTCTCCCATTACCTTGAAATTTTGGCTTAATGTTGCATCTAAATACGTGCCTGGTTTAATATATCTACTATTGTAAAATATAAGCTGTAACTATACATATTTTTTAAACACACCACTAGTTGGATGTTAAACCAACAAATGCATTTCAAAATATTATAGGATACTGTTTCAGTGTTAAAGATTTTCAAGTATCAAATGTGACAATGCGTTGAAGATACACTGTACCACTTACCATAGCGTTTATTTCGTATGCGTTAGAGCTGCCTTCCACCTCCCTCAAAAGATTTCGCACACCCCTCCTAAGACATTTGATAGCTTGCTTCTTCATACTAACTTGATTAAATATAGAGTTATAAAAATTGTAGTGAAAAATAAACCTTATTCATGAAAGAAAACCTAAGGTAAACAGCACAGCCTTATTCATACATTAAGTCCAAGAAAATCATTTATTAAAAAATAAACTAAACTGAAATCAATGAAAAACTGATACTAAAAAGAACATAAACGGTGATAATTATTACTCATGGGTTAAGTATTTTTAAATAATAGCATATCAAATATTTAAGATGTATCATACTACTTCCAGAATGGGAAAAATAAAAATAAATATAAAGAGTGTATAATAGTATTAAACTACATAAGGGGAGGGGGGAGAATCATATCACTTATTCAAATGATAATCTCAATTACTGCAGTAATTATAAAATTTTCGATTAATCAATAACAAAAAAAAAAAAAGAGAAAATATTAAATTTGTATTTATTTTGTAGGGAATTCAGGAAGCTTTCATTCAATCATGGGTATGATAGTCACTAAGAGAAAATTCTTTTAAGGAATTGGTCAGCTGCAGGTGGCGAGGCATTGCAGTTTGGCATTTTAAAGAAACCTCGAAAGCTAATAAATACATATGCCAAAAGCAAGTGCTTTTGGGATCAGAATGGTCTATCGTCTTAAAACTCTACATCAATAACGCACCTTTACGTGGAGTCCCAGGAGTCAGTGGACAGTTGAAGGAAGTCTTCAGATCCCTCTGTCGTAAGTGCGGCAGAGAGTCTGAAACACCAGCCCAAGTGCTGAGAAAATGCCCCAATAATTCTCTCCTCATAACACATCGTCACCATAAATTCTAGTTTGAATAGATAAGGCTCCTTAGAGGAAAGGAATTCGCCTGCTTCGACGAGGTCTATTGAATCGTCAGTGAAGGCTCAACCAGGTATTTGGACATTGTTGCATTTCCCAAGACAGGAAAGACAGCACTGATCTTTTATCTAACTGTTTACTTTGAGAGCAATGACCTCAATCAGACAGGTGAAGTGGAAAGGGAAAAGAAAACCATATATGATAAATGTATACATTTCTTAAAAGAGAAGTTCCGTGAGACCTTCGGAGAGAGAAAGTTTACCGTGATTTTGTGCTGACATTTTGGCCTAAGTTGCTGGGCTTCATCAGGGCTGAGAAAAGACAACATAACAACCCAATTTATTAAAAACTATTGTAAAAGCATGGGAGAACAAAAAATATGTTGAACAAATTAAAATATATAAGTATTATATGCAATGATATGGTATCAATATATAAGTAAGCTCTAATAATCATAAAAGGCTTAGCGAACCCAAAGGTTTGATGCCGACACCACCAATCGTTTATTATACACCTCCCTTCACCGTTCGCCGTCCAAACCCAGACCCTTCAGATCGGCTTTAATGCAATCTTCCCACCTTCGCTTCGGTCTACCCCTCGGACGTTTACCCTTTGGTACAGCAAATATTAACCTTTTAGGAATTCTCTCGTTACTAAGTCCAACAATTTTACAAGCCCAATTGATTCGCCGTGATGAAATTACCTCAATTATATTACCCGGATACAGTTCACGCAATTCGGCGTTGTGTAACGGTCTGAACTCTCCCGTTAACTCATCCTTCTTCGGTCCGAATATTCTACGCAATACTTTATTTTCAAAAACCTTCAGACGCTGCTCATCCCATAATGTAAGCGGCCAATTTTCGTATCCATAAAGAACTGTAGGTAAGATAATGGTCTTATAGATTCTAATTTTTAAGTTCCGGGATAAGAGGCGCAAGCTATGTAGTTTTGTCACAGAAAAATAACAAGCATTTCCCGTCTTCAGTCTAACCTTAATCTCTTCTTCAATTTCGTTTTTTCTAGTTATCGTAGAACCTAGATACCTAAAGTTCTCTACCTGTTCAAAGATATTACCATCTATATCGATATCATCAGTAGTATCGCCATTTTTGCAGCTAACCATATATTTTGTCTTATCTGTGTTTATTTCGAGTCCTAGTTCTTTACCGGCTTTCATTAACGTTGTCGTATTTAGTTTTATAGTTTCCATGTCTTTGCTTAACAGTACCAGATCATCCGCATAGCCAAGCAAGGGTGTTGTCCCACCCAGCTCCAACCCTTTTTCAGTACACATTACCTCCCTAACGGCATGTTCTAATGCCAAATTGAACAGAACAGGCGAAAGGGAATCCCCCTGTTTTAAACCCGAACGAACCTCAAATTTTTCGGACAGATTATTACCGATTCTAACTTTATTGAGTGTTTCCGTCAAGCACATCCAACTAGATTTACTAGTTTTTTTGGAATCCCCTGCTCGATTAGAATATTATATAGTTTCTGGCGGTCAATAGAATCGTAAGCCTTTTTAAAATCTATAGACTGCTGGTGAACAATACCATTGTATTCTAATTTTTTCTCTAATATTTGCCATAAAGAAAATATTTGATCAATAGTCGAACGACTCCGTCTAAATCTGCATTGGTAATCTTCGATAATTTCCTCGGCGTATTCCGTGATTCGACTGGTTAAGATTGATGTAAATATTTTATATTTTAATATTTATATATTTATATTTTAATATAAATATTTTATATTTATAAACTGTAATTGTAGGTGATGCGAACGCAAAGGTGGTAAGGGAAGAAGTTTATGTTCTGACGATTGGTAAAGAAAGTTTGCAAGAATATAGTAATGATAATGGGATCCGTCTGATAAACTTTGCCATCTCGAAAAACCTGATAAATAAAAGTACTACGTTTAAACATAAAGATATTCATAAGTAAGCTCTAATGAAAAATAATAAAGTCTGCCGTATGGACTCAATTTTATCATATTACTAACTGTATCCGGCCACGAGTTGCTGTGGCTCAGTCTGGTTGAATAGAAAAAGAAATAAAAAATAAAGTATATTTCACAATACTTGTAGATATGTGATATGTTCCATTCTTTGTATATATAGAGATTGTCTGATTTTCCAGCTCTAGAATATGCAACACATAATTTTGTATGTGAGAAGCAATCTACAATCAATCTCAAAAGAAAAAGTACTAAATATTTAAAACATTATATCTGTGCACCAAAATGTGCGATTTTAGTTATTTTGTTTAATTTGCAGAGAATTCAGAAAGCTTTCAAGTAATCATGGGTATAAGCACTCGAAAATTGCGTACTTTTTTAATTATAAAATTTTGAATTCATCGTTACATTTTTTCATCTTGTTTTCGGGAAAGTATGTTAAATATAAATAGAACATAATAAAATAGAACATAAATTAAAAGGGTTTCAAGGGGAAGACTTTATCCAAGTTTTGTTAAAATTGTTAAAGCCGATAAAATTTGGCACTACAGTTTATAGCGACACGTTTTTCGACCGCCATTTTGAAACAAAATGCCGAATGGTAATAAAATGTTCAAAAAACACTCCTGGATTCGATTGCAACACTGTGTCAAAATTTCAAAGCAATCGGCAAAGAACTTTCGGAGAATAGCGGTTTTGAACAAAAACAATTTTAAATTTCTGTTTTTTTTTACTCATATAAAATTATCGTAGGACAGAAGTACAATGCCAGAAACCTTCGCTGGAGTGTACACGACAACTTCAGAAAATTTCATGGGGATGGGATGAATGGTTTAGTAATGTATAAAGGACAGACATTCATTTTTATATATATAGATTATATCGACAAAATGAAGATAATTTTATCATTTGTACTCTCATTGCTTTTATCATCATATTGAAAAAGAATTCTATATGTATATTGGATTTGTACTCTTGTGTAAGCTCTTCACTCATTCAATATCTAAAATGTTATTTATTTGTAGAATATTTATATATAAAATGTTAGAGTATTTGACTAGTTAAATGGAATTGACAAGGGCAATTCTGTCCATAATGATTTTTAATTATTATTACAGGTTTCTTCCCTAGATAATGGCCCAAGGGCTGAAACGTTGCTGTAAAATAACAAATAACTATAGTGATCAAATGTAGGACTATAGTGATCAAATATATAGTTTTATTACTAGTTATCTATAATTTAACTGAACAAATGTTATTTCAGAAACTAGGAGGCAACTTATGGGCCTTTTTCTGAGCTGATTTATCATATTTTTCAATTGTATAAATTTTGATGTTAATTCAGTTTTTAATTTTTAGGCTATTAGTATAGCTCGAAGTGGAGGGTTTCCAGAACAGCAAGTGACTGACGGCCTCGAAATATGGATGATAATAGTGGCTGTGGTTTGCGGCCTCTTACTTGTACTGCTTGTAGCTCTTGCCCTTTGGAGGTGTGGTTTCTTTAAAAGAAATCGGCCAGACCCTACGTTAAGCGGGAACCTGGAGAAACATAATGTGGATGACTATCATGATTACTGAGCTGTGGAATGATAACTGATTCATCGGTAACTGAGGTCTATGCTGAAGATTATGATGTAGTTTATAGTTTTATATAACGTAGAAGGCCTCGGGAAACTTAGTTTTATAAGTGAAATAACTGATGAGGGATTGAATATTGCTTTTCTTTCAGTTAAGCATTTTTTAAATATTTATTCTAGGGTTTATGTATTAAATACCAAGAATCTTCATATTTTAAAACTTTGAAAAAGAAAAAAATGAATGCTCATTTCACATTGAAAAAAATTCATTTATTGACTGAGTTTATTTTGTTTAAGTTTTTAAATGAAGTAATAAAAATTACTTCAAATCAATTTCGCTACATAAGAAGCTGGAGTTTTAAAAAGCATTTACAGTTTTGGTACTTGTTACAATTTAATTTACAAGCATTTTTATTACTTTTTTTCGCAATTAATTGTTCCGCAATTAAAAGATTTAATTTTTTTTTTTTTTATGAGAAAAATGTATTACCTAAAATTTAGAATAATTTCTTATTTATAGTAGGCCTTTTGACTTTTAAAATATTGTTAAAATTGGCTAAAAAAACAAAAATGGATTCACACTATCCAATATTTCAGTAAATGAGAATTCTTACAATAATTTCTTGTTTAAACTATCTTATAGTTTAATCTCATAATTACTGAATATGATTAATTAAATTGCCATTTTATATATATAAATATAATTTTTTTTTCCTTGCTCACTCGATGGGCTTATGTGATTGTATAGACTTGTTTATTTCATTATTTATATGTTAAATTTTTTAAATTTATTTATTCTTGAATGTGAACACTTAACCATTGCAGCTGAGGTTGGTTTTTTATTGAGTGATTTAAGTGCACCACTTTATTAATGGTGCTTCTATTTATCTTTACTTTCATGATTTAAAATCTTAATGAACTAAAGACTTATAAGTAATTTAATAAATCATTCAGTTTTCTAATTCAATGTTAATTGATACCTTATTAATTATAAGTTTTTGAATTATTTATTTAATCACCATTTTTTTGTTTGTAAATGTTGGTGATTATAATGTAAAAACATATTCTACCTTCGTTGTACAGTATTACTTCCCATATATAACACAAAATATAGCTTATTTGTTTCACTGGGTATCGTAAAAATTCAATAGAGCAAAAATTAGAATAAAATAAAAATTGAATATTTAATAGCTGGCCGTTGCATTATAAAGGAAGGAGATGGTCCGGGGTGGCGGTCATAAATAGACTTAATAGTGGCAAAACTATTTTATTATATGTTGGCTTTTAATAAAATAGTTTTGCCACTGTTTAGCCTATATATGACCACCATCTCCACAGGAACATCTCCTAAAATAAAAAATGTTCACTCATTTGTACTTTGAATCCCCTTTATCCTTGTTAATCCTTGTTGATTTACCTTGTTAATTAATTCAAAATTCAATATGTTTTCATTATGCACTTGTTCAATTATTTGGAGGATTATCTTGATTTTTCAGTATAACACTGCTTAAAGTTTTATTTTGCATTATAGGGGCTCTTACTGTATTTGGATTCCTTTTAAATTTATATATTTGTTAAAATATCATTAATTTCAATGTCTCTATGGCTTAATGGAATGTACTGTTGGTCTGGTTGTACTTACACATCTAAAACTATTTTATAGGCTTCTTCAATCTATTTCTATTTACTTTTAGATTGAAATTTTCTTTAATTTATTCCTCACATTGGATCATATTTATCCCTTATTTTTCTTCTTAGTTTTTTATATTATTTCCTATTTTAAGCTTTAATAAAATTAAATATTTTATTAGTATTAATGCTTTAAATATTACAATTCGTTATCATAATTTCTAAGATATTGTAGTTAGTTTCTTATTAATGATTGTTTCTTTTGTTGTATTTTTTTTCTATGTTTATTGAATTGTAATTTTTGAAAGCTGAAACGAGATGTTTTTATTAAAACCTGTTATAAGTAGTGACTTGAATGTGATAATGTTTGCCTGCCTTTTATAAAGTTTGTTCAATGAACTTACTGTAGTTTTTTTAGGTTTATGGGAGGCCCAAAAGACCACGCGCTTTACAAAAGTTTCTAAGTATTCTATAAATTATACTAACATAATAATAAAATCATTTTAATTATAGCACAGTAATTTATTAATATATACTCCTATAATATTTTTTGAAGCAGTGAAAACTAGATTTTATATTGTATTTTTGTTCATAATGGTATAGAGATGGTTGACCGTGATATAATATGAGGAGTTAGCTGGAGATGGGGGAAAGGAGGGGAGGAGGGAGCTGAGGGGTTGCGGTAAAATAAATACTAATTTTTTAAAATAAATTTTGGCGTAATGATTAAAATACTATTTTAAAAATGTATTATTTATTTGACCGCATCCCCCCGACCAACTCCTTGTATTTTTGTTCATTCATGAACAATTATTCAGTTGCTTTTCTTGCTTGAAATGTACTTATCATCAATAGCATAAAAGAAAATGTGAATTTTACTTAATTACTGACTGTTTAAAACTTTTGATGGAATTCATAACATCCTTAATTTAAGTATATCATATTTTTATATAATTATCTGAATTAGTTATGTACTGTACTTATTTTTATAATAATTGTACTTAAGTCTATGTAAATGTGTGCCTTTTTAGTTTAAGGCTAATTTATTGTGCCTGTTTTTAAATGGTGCCTAATAATTAAAATTTATATTATTGTTCTAAAATTTCAAATATGTCACATGTCTAAGATTTTTTTTATTTAAGAAAAAATTTATGTGATAAATAAATTGAATATTTTATTTGTTTATTTTAATTTTTTTATGTTCCCTCATTTCCTTGCATTATAGAACCCCAATAATATTTTTAACACTAGAAATTAGACTTTATTCATTCTGTGAAAACTTGCCCTTTGACTAAGATCATTGGTGGATTAATTAAATAATCATTATTATTTAATTAATTATCTGGAGATTAAGAAGAAGTGTATTAATCATAGCAACAAAAATCAAATTTGAAAACAAACTTATATGTTATTTTTATATTTTAACTTAAAATGTTCACTGAACTTGCTAAGTTATTGTAATTTTCATCTTTCATTACAATTGTGGATTCCTATACAACCATTTACACATGTAGTTTTAGCTTTCCTAGATAATTTGGCTGCAGTGGCAGCCTCCAATAGCAGAATCAGCTTGGAGGTAGAAGTGGACAGAAGTAGAACATCATTCTAGTGACAAGGTTGTGTGATAGAAGAAAAATGAAGATGGCTGCTACTAAAGTATAGGCCATCCTTCTGAGAAATAAAACTGTAAGGGACTACTTGGCTTACAGGGTAACCCTCTCATCTGGAGATAAGGAAACTGTAGAGCCTCAGATATCTTGTGCTGATGATAATTTATAAAGGAGTTGGTTGTGAAGTATCATAATCTCTTTCAAAAACATATTGGTGATACAGATAATTATTCTGTTGAAGGTAACTAAGATCTATCACACAAGACTGTGGAAGTATTAGTAATGATGGGTGTTATTTACTTATTCTTTCTGAAAATTACAAGAGAGAAGACTTGGCAGAGCTCCCGAAGATTCCATGAGTAAGGAATAAAGACGAAGCTGATAATCTGGGAGCACACCATTGAGAAATGGAATCGATCATTGGTGGATCTATTAGAGAAGGGGAGAGAGGCTTATGATTATTGAAGCCTTGAGTTTTTTTTGTTCTCACATCCCTCGTCTATTAGGTCGTGCGGGGTTTCTCCCGCCAGAGGATTAATGCCATAGTTAAAATCGCATACGATAGATGCTAACTCGTAATTATTTTTATTTAATTATCTTTGGTCCGGGTTACTGAGCAACGCGTGGTGCTGTGCACACGCATTATTATATCTTCGGCCAGCACGAAGTGATGACGCTAACATTAGTAACGACGTATGGGTAACAAAATGAAGAAAAGTGATAGAAGCGATCTGGATACACCGGTGATCTGACTTAAAGTAAAATGGATTTTGAGAATTACCAAGTCCAGAGAACAGCTGCTAGTTATGGACATTGGCTATGCATTTGGATATTGAGAATTGGAACAACGTTGCTGCATAGGCGTTTTTACGGTTATCTGGGCAGCAACGGCCCACTGACGTAACTGTACCTTTCTCAGCCATTAATATGTCTGCCAAATCGATAAACAGGTGACACATACGGTAATACCTTTTTTTTCTCCCGTATCTGCCTTGCCTTACAGGCAGGCGGGTAATACGCAGTATGCGTCTTCCACTGCTGGCAGTATAGGTCTATTTAATTAAAATTTTGTTAACATTATTATTTATGAGGCGTAGACTTGTTTGTTTGCACAAGCCCACGCTTTTCTTTTTCTCCATTCTGACACCTGAAGCCGGTCCTCGAAGCAGCTGCAGCTTGTCTTAACTTCCTTCTCTTCTTCCCAGATTAAAATGTGTAGGGCCTAAAGCATCTTTCCACCCGCATATGAATTCCCTATAATGTGGGTACTTCTCTCTGCTCATTAGCTAGCGGAACATGCTCTCTGTCATCGTATATATCCCCATCTCTCTCAGGAGCTTAGAAGTTAGTGCCTCATAGGCAGTGCATTCGACGACTAAATGTTCGGCGGTCTTCGGAACGTTGCAATTGGGCCATAGCGAATCAATATTCTTCCCATGTTTAATGAGCTTCGCTCGGAAGCCCCCATGTCCGTGAGGAATTGAGACACCCAGTAATCCGGGAAGAGCCATCTTGCATCTAATCGTGACTTGACCGTGGGGAAGTACTTTCCTAGGGTAGCCCCGTTCGGAGTTGCCATCCATCGCCGGTTCCATTGATCAACTGTGTCCTCCCTGATAATTCTTTTCCATCTTCTTGGATCTTCTTCAATTCTCATCTTTAGATGATCCGCTAGATCCGCCGACCCTTCTCTTTTCATTTTAAAGAGGTAATAGTCTTCTCGCAGAAGGAGATTGAGAGGTGCCAGTACCTGCACTGCCTCATGAGATACCGTACTATAGGCTCTAGTGACCCGAAGTAAAGTCAATCTCTGAATTGATAATATCATCAGCCTTACTCGTAATTGGAGTTCAATGCATTATTAAACTGGTTCATAACTCTAACTGTAGACATTTTCTTTTTTTTTTTGGGTCCTCGCCTTGTAGGCTATACAGGGTTTTCCCGGGCCAGGGATATTAATGCTAGAGTTAAAAGTCCTCCGGGCACCAGGACACGAACTTGTAATTATTTTTGATCCGGGTTGGCGTGCAATGTTCGGTACTGTGCACACGCATTAGTCCGCTCGACCACCGCGCTCAACAAACCGCAGACCTTGTGAGTCTTTCAGAAAGAGTGAAAGGAAACCAGCCGAACCACCTTAGTACTTTGATGCAGAAGCTAAAGGAGATCCAACTTTCCCTCCCTCTCCAAGGCTCTATCCAGGATATCTGGGTAGAGATTAAAGAAACCTATTGTAAACCGTAAAAATTGCAGGAAATACTTGAGTTCACCTTACGCGTCGTCTTCATAGGGGTGTTCCACCACGTTTACACAAGCACCACATAATGGCAGAAGAATTGCACATTAAATAAAGTTCGCCTTGGACGCTCAATAAAGCAGAGATTTCTTTTATTGTATATGCTTTTCTGACTAAAAGAGTATACTTTTTTATACACTTTTTTTTTTAACATTCCATTTTGAACGTTAGTTTAAGAAAGATATTATGAGATTTATAAATCTTTCAATATTTAATCATTAGTTTTAAATAGTTTCATTAAAAAAACTTCAGAGGTACGCTTTTTAATAGAACCAAGTATAAAGAAGTTTAACACTTCCTGGATTCAGGACAGTTTTGATTACCAACGAACAAAGAAGTTAATCAGACAACTAAATTAAAATTTTTGATTAGATATTTTGTAGTAGTTGATTTTGTGGATATTTGTAGTACGTTAAGGTATTTTGTCATCTGACACTAAGGGATATGTTGAGACATATTCTGTAGCTGTTACTATTTCTTCTAAAAAATGTTAGAATTTATGCCTTTATTGTTTATCTTTAAAGCCGTTATTATTATATAAAATTGTTATAAATACTGTGGATTATTAAACAAAAATTGAATCAGTGGATATTATTTTCTCAAAAATAATTTAATTTAGTTAAACATTAAATATTTTAAAATCATTATGAGTTTACGATTTTTCGAATGCACCAAGAAGAAATACAGACAATTTTATGTTCTTAATATTAATAAAATTATAATTATAATTCATTTTTGGAAACAGAAAAAAGTTTTTAAAAGTTTTGATTTTTTTCATGTAAGATCTCTTGTGACCTTATAAACGTGACTAGCGCTTTAAATGCTTTGGAAATAGTTCGGGATAGGTTTAGGGGGTCGTATTATTGTTTATTTTATTTTAGTTTGGTTCAAGTAGGAAGTTTTTATATCTGCCGTCAAATTTGTTTACTAATAACCTGTTGAGTTTGAGCATTCATTGAACTATTGCTTTGTATGACAACTAATACAGTGATCAAATACCAATAAGTGGTGAGTGTTATGTTATGATTTAGTTCCCTATGTACAAAACATCTCAACAGTTTTTAAAATATCAAGGAAGTTTTCTGATTCCTATGATTTTATGATGATTATATTATATTGCATTGTTTTTGGCCGAAAGCAGTTCCAATTCTAACCTTTTTTGTTGATTTTCAATGACAATGAATTGTTGACAATTGGTTTTAAATGTTTTTCTAACATCATATCTTACTTAAATATTACGAGTTTCAGTATTTAACATAATTACCATTGTCTTTTAAAAAACTGGAAAGGTTTCGGAGATAGTAATTTTTGTTAGTGAAGGGTCTATGTTGATTTAATTTTTGTTATATATATATTTTTATAGTCTCATGAAAAGATTGGGTTTGACAGGTATTTAGTTTCACACACTTCTGCCAAGAATGAATAGTCCATTATGCTTCATATATTTATTTACTCAGTTACTTTAAAAAAAGAACAGTAAGTTTTGATGTTGAAAATTTATGTAGAGTTAATAGAAGGAATGTGTATAAATAGTTTATGAAAATTGGGGCATTGTCAAGGATAGATATCAAATTAAATACTATTTTACGAATTTTTATCTTGGTGCTCTTTTAACAAACATTCTTGAATTGTTTTTGTCCATGACTCTATATTGTACAGTGGGATGAATTACGAAATATTGATTTTAGATTATTGAAAGAATACCGAAAGGTATGACCACACATCGTATAGCATCTTTAATAGGATTCTTGAAGGAGTTTAAACTTGAAAATTTTCAATTTAAAAACAGGCTTAAAAGAGCAGAAAGTGGATATTTTGTGTTGGACATAACTGCTTTTGTTTTGGAAGCTGGTTTTGAAGCCAATTATTTGATCGTCTTTCATAATTTTGGCTATTGTGTATATGTTAAAGAATGAGTTTGCTAATGAAAATGGTTTTAACAATAATTTCGCAAACATTCAATCTTTAGTCTTTCATTTCACATTTAATATGTTTTAGGCATGTGGTATTTAGCTTTTCATGTAAATAGTTATGTATAAAAAAATATGAAGTTTGTCAATATATGTCATGCTTTATTTACTGGTTTGCAAGAAAAATTTAACAAAACACTGTTTTGACCTTCATTAAGTCATTTAAATGAATCAATGTTATGAAATGGTAATTTTTTTAAAAATATGTTTGACTTTTATCAGAAGGGGAGTATGATAGAATTAAGATACTTCAATGGGACGAAAATCCTTATTATGACTGATATATAATTCAGAACTTAAAACTTTTTTGAAAAATGTGATCTGAAACCAGCATGCTTAAATTTCTTACCTGGAGTTACTCTGTTTATTGCTTCATTTAAATCACTGATTTCATTGATCAAGTGTCAAACATTTTGCAATGTATGTGAATTTGGAAATTTATTTAATTTAGAAATGGTGATTCTAATTTATTAACCAAGTGAGACGTGTGTCAAAATAATTTGGATCTTGTATTGTGTCTTCTGTTTATTGTGACATATTTTTTTATTTACCAGGTTATTGCCAAAATGGCTGTTAAATGACAATTTTTGATTTTGTGGAGCAGAGAGATATGGCTATGGGAGATCTAGATGGAAGGAATTGGAGCCCTTCCAATACCACTTCATCAAACCAAAATAGTCAAGGAAATTCTCGTGATGGTAAACCTCCATATAGGTAATTTCTTTAAATTTTATGTTATAAGCCTTTATTAGATGATTTTCTTTAATAATTGTTAACATGAAACAATATATTACTGATTTTCTGATTGCAGTTGAGTAGTAAATTTACTTAAAAAAAGATGTTAACATTGGAATCAGTTACCTAAAATATCATAAATGAATATGATTTTCTTTCTTTATTTTTTTTTTTGTTACTTATTAAAACTAAAATTTTACTTATGTTTGTATTTGTATACAGTGAGTTTTGTCTCTCAGAATTTGTATAATCTATCTTTCTAAATAGTAATTGGAAAGAAAAAAATGCTGCTTATATGATAATAAAAAGAACAATAATAACAGCATTAGGTGCTAAACCAAAAGGTTATTTAATTAACTCATATTTTGCAAGTATCTACTTTTATTTTTTATAGTCTTTTAGTATGGAGCTATCGCCAGTCACTTACACTCCTCATCTTGGTTTCTTTGGGTCGGTCTTTCTCTTGCCAAAGATGAACCCCATAAAAAATTAGTGATTTGGGGTGGGAGGTACAGCCTCACTCTCCATACTCGCCTGTTAATGCACTGTCGGATTTCCATTTATTCAAGTCGCTTCAAATCTTTTTAAGTGGCAAAAGATTTGCTAATTTGGATGATATCCAAAATGCCATCTTAATATATTTTTCTCAAAAACCAATTGATTTTTATCGATCCGGTATTGAAAATTTGCACTCTAGATGGCAAAAGGTTGTTGAAAATGAGATTGATTACATCATTGATATAAATGTCCTCTGTAAGTAAATAATAATCCTTATGGCTGGATGACTATAGGTCTTTAACTAAGGGGTGTACCAACCCTCAAAATTTATTTTTGGACCAACAACTAGTGAGTGAAGTCAGTACTAACCTTTTAAACCATGATAAATAAATATTTTTTTAACTGCGAATTAAGAAACCCAAGTACTAACATAGGTACATAATGAAAAATGGACTTCTTATTATACAGTAAGAATAGTCCAATGTTATATTATTTTTGCTTCCTTGCTACCAAAGCACAGTGGAACGAAACACTAAAATCAGGGACAAAATACCAATTTCAAGTAATTAGTTTCTCAAATAGTTTCATATATTCTTGAAGCCAGATTGCTGGTTATATCGAATGTACAAAGAATGATTATTTTTAAAAAGTTTCTCATGATGAAATTTGATTCCAAAGTTGGTATTATTGGAAGAATAAATTTAAATAAAATGTGATTACAATTATAAATTAAATTATAGCTCAAAGGAAATAGGAGTGCAGAATACTTATTGCGACTCATATATGTATTTTTTTTTGCACTAACACTAATACTCGATCGCAGTAAAAGAGTTTAAAACATTTGTCCTTTTAGAGGTATTTTTACATAATTTATTTTTTACTTAATTAATGAATATCTAATTTTGGTCTCACCTTCAATTTCTCTCATGGTCTCATACACTGACAGGCGAAATGATGATGGACGTTCCATTAGATATGCAGCTAATGCCATCGGAGTTCCATATGAAACTTTACGAGACGCCGTCAGACGTTTTTGGGAAACTGATTTTTACAATAAAAGGCCCAGTTCTGGACGGCCTAGGGTAACAGAACCACGGGATGACTGGTTTTTGACTTTGAGAATTTTACGAAACCGCCACCTTACCGTTGTTCAAGCGATTCATCAGTTTGAAGAAGTTCGAGAGGTGCAAATTTCTAACGTACCGCTCGGAAAAGATTAAATGAGTATGGATTAATGGCTTTTCGTCCAGTAAGAGGACTAGAGTTGACCAGAACTCACAGAGTAACATGGCTGGCTTTTGCTCAAGATCACAGCCATTGGACTATGGACGAATGGAGTGCTGTACTTTTTACAGATGAGTCAAGATTCGCTCTTCGATCTCCAGACGGGCGTGAAAGGGTGTGGAGAAGAAGAAACGAAAGATATGCAGCCTGTAATTTTTCCTAGAGCCAACCTTTCCAACGTGGTTCCTTAATGGTGTGGGCTGGGATTTCAATGGAGCGCTGCACAGAATTGGTTGTTGTTCGTGGAGGGTCTTTGACGGCCATTCGCTATGTAGATGAGATTTTGGAACCTCATGTGTTGCCTATCCTCAACGAAATCGGCGATTGTTCTATAGGGCGTGCATTAGAATAGAACAGAATAAAATTAAGTAAAAAATAAATTATGTAAAAATACCTCTAAAAGGACAAAAGTTTTAAACTCTTTTACTGCGATCGAGTATTAGTGTTAGTGCAAAAAAAAATACATATATGAGTCGCAATAAGTATTCTGCACTCCTATTTCCTTTGAGCTATAATTTAATTTATAATTGTAATCACATTTTATTTAAATTTATTCTTCCAATAATACCAACTTTGGAATCAAATTTCATCATGAGAAACTTTTTAAAAATAATCATTCTTTGTACATTCGATATAACCAGCAGAAGTTCAATTAGTTTGTCGTGGTTTCGATTTCATCCTTAAATATCAAAGTTGATTGAACTTCACACATATTTTTATATTGGAGTTAATTTCAAACAAACAAAAAGTTGAATTTTTCCTATGTATATACCACTTCTGTTAGTGCAAAAAGTCGTTTGCAAATATTTCCAACTTTTATTCTGTTTAACTAAGATGATATTTTGTAGTCTGCAACTGGTTCACGCTGTCTGCTACAATGGAAACTAGTAGAGAGCAATAAAATATGAAATTATACCAATAAATCATTAAGAAACAATTAGTTCTTTTGCTCTCCTGTAAAACATTAAATTTTTACATACAGTTTTTTGTACTAACAGTAGTGATATTAATGTTCAATATATACTGGAACTTTTTTTTGGCTATGAATCATCAAATATGCAATCTGCAAGTGCAGAACTCTTTCAAATTTCGATTTGACCCAAACTTGGAGGAAATTTGGATTTGGATTTGTATGAGGATTTGTATTGAATGAACAAAACTCGTTATATCAAACCCGTTATATGTTGTAGGATTACTGAATTTCTGAAAACGGCTTCACCTAGAGATTCTATTCTCATTCCAATAATGTTTACGAAAAATGAAAAACCTTGTAATATAGATATTTTTTAGCCAATGAAAACAGTGAGGAAGCTATACTGACCTTACTTGGCGGATTTAAAAAAAAAAATTAATATCTCATTTTTGCTTATATAATTTCTTTTTTATTAAAATAAAACTAATTATTTTCTATTTTCTTAATTTCCAGCTATGCTAGCTTAATTAGGTTAGCAATTAGCAATGCTCCTCAAGGGAAAATGACTCTGTCAGAAATTTACCAGTTTATTATCAAGACATTCCCTTATTACAGAGATGCTAGTACAGGGTGGAAGGTAGGTATTTTAATTTATAAACTTTCTGTTGTACCTAAAGAAGTTTGTCCCTTGGTATATAGAATATTTTTTTTTAGAAATTTGAACTAATATAATGTCTCAACATTTTTGCCTCTCTGGGCTTAATTCCACTGAAGAAGGCATTCTCTTGGAAAATTGCCTATAGTGTGTTAATTTTTTTTTCAGAATTCTATTAGGCACAATCTTTCATTAAACAAATGTTTTACTAAAGTTGCTCGACCCAAAGATGATCCTGGTAAAGGAAGTTATTGGGCTATTGATTATTCCCATACCTCTGATGAAATCACTATGAAAAAGAAATCAAAAAATGCAAGGGTAAGTTGTGATATTAAAGTCGATAACTTAATATTTAATCTTCACTTTGAATTTTCTGATAATGGTCTATTTTAGGTTTTACCTTACAGCCCTGAAAGTAACAGTAGTACAGCGAGTAATGATGGAGTTACACAAGTTTCTGAAAAGAAGCCCACAGAGCAACCAATTTCTTATAAATCAGATTTGAATGATCATTGTGATGGTAAGTTATTATATTTATTTGTAGCTGTCAATGTATATTCACAATATCAGCTAATTTTTGTAATGTATAAAGAAAATTAAAATACTTCCTTCATGCTTAAAATACTTAATCAAATTTTAAAACTCAGAATGTTAAAATCAAAGTTAAAGCTAAAATTTTATTTTTTATATATTCACTGTATTGAGTTATATTAAATCAATGTTAACCTTGTAGGTATCTTTTCTTTTCTAGAGATCTTGCTATTATTGAATGATCTAGTCTGGTGCCAGAGTCGTATTTAAACTACACTAATATTTTTTTAACTAAACAACTTTTTTGGGTCATCTTATGGATTAAATATATCATTATTATTGTAATGACGATAGACCGAGGGGCTTGATTAATAATGGATTAATTGACAGAAATGGAGAAGATGAAGTAAAAAAAGAAATAACCATATGGTCGCCTACCGTTCAGAACTTTCTCCAGCAAAATAATATTGATCATGTGGGATTCAACGAAGCAGTGGGCAGTTTTTAAAATTTCTAATAAACACCAATGATGAATTACCAGACCCACAGCACTCTACTGTTAAATTTTTTAAGTTGAGAAAAAAATAAAACCGACATGGCTGGCAAGGGTGCGGGGAATGTGTCGAATCCTCAAAGGGCCAACAAGGCAGATTAGAGTCGTCAGCAAGAGCAATAACAATACAAGGTAGCTCAATAAAATTATCATAATAGAAGAAAAGAGCCTCTACATCAAGGGCGAACAATCCTGGTCTGTAAGGGGAATGAAAATGAATCATTGAGAAGGTTCTGGACCAAGAACTGAGAAAACAGATTACCTTCAGCATAAATCAGAGAGGATTCATCAGGAGCCAACCGGGAGCACATGTGAGCGCAAGAATTCTCATCGTAATCGATGTGATCATAAAAGATGCCAAAAATAAAATGAATGATTTTGCGCGAAGGTATTTCTTGATGTCGGCGCTTTTGACAACATTGGTCACAATCATATAATGAGCTCACTCGAGGCAAAGGGAGTGTCACCAGACCTGAAAAACATGATTGAAGCTCTCCTGGGCTTTAGCCAAATCAAGATTGGAGTCGGAGCTCACTCGACAAACTGGATCTAAGTTTGGTGAGGAGTACCCCAAGGTGGAAACTTGTCGACTTCGCTGATCGACGCTGCCACAACCTGTGTGGGCAGGAATTTTCAAAGCTCTATGTATACCAACCTGTCAGCGACCAAGAATGTGTGGTCCTTGCAGGCTCCGTGGATGATCAGGCTGTTACGGCCAATGATCAGAGAGGATTATCAATTGTGTGCAGAGGATCCTTGCCAAGATTGGTCTGGCTGTAAACCGACAGAAAAGCGTGGGCTTAATAATTGATAAAGAAGAGCTGCAACAAACAAAGCTAGAAAATGGAGAAACCATTGATTCAGCAAAGGGTGTTGGGACTAAAAGTATTGAGGATGAATGTTGTCGGGTAAGCTGGTACTGAATGAGGAAATGGTGACCAAATTAAACAACTATTTGGATGAATTGGTTAGCTCTTGCCTTCTTAAACCAGAGGACCACAAAGATCAATGTTGTCAAACAATATGTGCTCCCAGGACTTACCTACCCTCTCCAGTTGGCATCCCTCACACTTGGAAGGAATTGATACAAATATTTGTCGGAGTATCAAAACTCCCCGCTTATTCATCAACGGTGATGTTATATGTACCGAGTAGGTATCGAGGATTGGGACCTCAATCAGACAGGTGAAGTGGAAAGGGAAAATAAAACAATATATAATAAATGTATCCCTTTCCTAAAAAAGAAGTTCTGTGAGACCTTCGGAGAGAGAGTTCACTGTGAGAGGCGTCTGGTCTCAATTCATTAGGCATTTAAGTTTGGTCTCGAAATCTCCTGAGAGTCCACCGTACACCATAAAGCCATAGTCAAAGTGGGGGAAAACAAGGGAGGAAACTAGGAGTTGATGGCTAGTTAGGAGAATAAGGATGGTTAGTTTCTGCCGATCTGTGGCTATGTGAAGGTGTTAGGAAATTTTGATTAGGGCAGGCTGAGTATAATAACCAGGCCTGAAACCAGAGTGGTAGGGATTTAGGAGATTATTGTCCTCTAAAAAATGGGATAGCTGGGATTGGACTAATCGCTCTAAAGGTTTTGAGAGGTTTGAAAGAAGGGAAATTAGTCGGAAATCATTAGGAGCTGATGGGTTTGATGTCTTCTTCAAGGGGCGTACTAGGGCGGTTTTTCCAGGATTTAGGGAAGGTAGCATTTTGAAGAGAATAATTATATATATGATGAAGGATCGGAAGAATGGATGGCAATACGGCTTTAATCAGTCTGACTGGGATGTTATCGGGGCCGTAATCATTGGTATGGGACTTCTGAATAGAATTTAAGGAGATCATCTGGTGTAATATGGGGAAAAAAAAAGTGATCAGGATTAAAGGAAGAAAACATAGTAGATTTAGTGCTGTTTTGAAGCTGTTTGAAGGAGAGAAAATCATCAGGAAGTCTGGTTCGTTTAAATCGTCGCCTTGCAGCATCTCTTTCTCTCATACACTCTCTCAAAGCAGAAGTAAGCCAAGGAGCTGGAGGATATCGGATGGTTTTTTTGATAAGAGGAGCATGTCGATCAAGGATAGAGTGAAGTTGAGTGGTAAGGGTTTCTACCATGGTAACTATGGATTTTGAGGAGTAGATGGGATCCCATTGGGTATCGTCAATATCTTTTGACAGTGTTTCGTGAGTGAGAGAATATAGGTTTCAGAAGGATATTGTTCGGGGAGAAAAGGATGGGACAAGGACATTGCAAGAGATCTGGATAAGATTGTGGGAAGATAGAAACGTGACCGGGTGCTGAGATGCGGTAAGGAGTTTGTCTGAGGAATCTAGGATAATTGAGCCAGGACTCTGAGTACTGAGTATGATGGATTGGATTGTAGGGTACTATGTAAAGGCTAAGAGAATGAAAGAGGTTTGTTAGGTAAGAATAATCGGAGGATGGCGTCAGTAAAGGTGCAAGCCCCTTCTTAGATCCTATTCCGACTTTCCGATACTAAACCTTGGTGACCAGCCAATCTCCTACTCCTCTGTCAAAAATTTAGGATTTTTCATTTATCAAACCCTCTCCTGGAATCACCATATTTCTCACATCTCCCAACAGACAATTTCTACCCTCAAACTATTCCATCACTTCCGCCATCTTCTACCTCAACAGACGCATAGATTCATAGTTTCCTCTCTCATCTTCCCCCACTTTGACTACAGCTGTGTGGTGTATGATGGACTCTCGGTGGAGCTCCGTGATAGACTGAAAACAATTATGAACAGCTGCATAAGATTTGTAATTGGTGCCCCGAGATACTCCCAAGTGTCTCACCACTACACTGAGTTAAAGAGGCTCTTCCCCTCCATTCGAAGACAATATTTCCTAGGTACCTTCCTCTATCAAACCTTTTATTGCTCGCTCTGTTAATTTCTGGAATTCCCTTCCTATCAAAATTCAGCATTCTCCCTCCCTATCTACATTTAAAACCCTCCTATTCCAATTTCTTTCCCCAAATCTTCTATGTAAATTTACATATTATTCAAAATGACTCACATAATGATATATTTACATTTAATTCATCACTCAAATACTATCAGATTCGTCTTCTTTTCCTTTTTTTTTTTTTTTTTTTTTTTTTGTTTTTGCAGAAAAACAGAGTTTATTGCTAAGAAGAATGTAATGTATCTTTTATTTATTTATTTTTTCAAAGTGAATACTTATATTTTACCACTGTACATAATTTTAAGTGTCTTGGCACGGGTTCAAGTGTTTTGTATATAGATTTTTTTTTATTTTGTATATAGTATGTTTAACTAATATTTTCTTTACTTTTTTTTCTTTATTTTCTTTATTTTTGCTTTTTATGTTTATTTTTACTTAGGCCAGATATAATAATTTAATTTTGTACTTTTTTGTTATTCTAAAGGGACTTCGCCCCAGATTAAAATTATTTTCTATTCTATTCTATTCTAAATTGGTGTTAAAGTCTTCGGAAAGGATGATATTTGATTAGGAAGGGATTAAGTTGTACAGAGAAGTCTCAAGTGACTCAGAGAAGTACAGTTAATGGATGATAAAAATAAAATCGCGAATAATTTATGATTTTTAAAAAAATAGAATTTAGCTCTATTCTTTTGCTCAAAAGTCCTCTTTATAAATTTTAACAATGGCAAACTATACTTTTGTTTAAAGTAGATTTTTTTCGTGTTTGCTATGGAGCAATGTTTAGTTATTTAAGTAAAATATTTTTTTAGTTATCGCTTCCTATTCAACAAAAAACGTGACTTGCTTATAAAAACACAAATCTTAAATTTCTTATTTATTTGCTGGAAACTGGGCAGTTGTTCATATGGATTTTTTGTAGATCTTGATATCTACTATAAACCTTTTAAATATTTTTCTACTTGACACCCTGTATAGTTTTGATAACTGACACTCTTCTATCATACCCCCTCTTAATGTCTAAATGCCAATAGATGTGGATATTAGATTTTATTTTATTTCTTAAGAGAGAGTATTTGCCTGTTTTTATTTTTAAAGAGTAACCTAGGTTATATATAGCGTCCACACTCAGCGGAGAAGTTGTGGGTTCAAAAATAATATTTTATGCACAGACACCTCCTTTTGTGCATAGATGTGCTGTCAGAGAATAAATAATTTACAAAAGATATTATTTTCTTTGGATTAAAATTTCTCCCATTGTTTCTAGGTGATGAACTTTCCTTGGCAGACTATAAAGAAGTATGTGAAGTAATATCTCAGTTGGTGACACGCTATGCTGTCGAAAATTGGGATATTGATCAAAACCTTATTAATAGTTGCCAACAGAGTCCAGAGAACCATCATTACCAGCCAACGGCAGAATGTTTTCCCCCTCAAGAATCCTCACACAGCTGTGAACCCCATCTTAACTTGGATTGGGATACGTATTTATAGCTACGAATATATAAATACAAAATGTTCATGAGGTATTTCTGGAAAAACATTTCTTTTATTAACAACATTTTAGTCTTAATGAGGAATTGTTATGAATGTTTTAATTGTATCTGCTAGGAATTCAACGAATAGAGTTTTTAAGAAATGTCTCCATGTCATTCAATCAGTCCTAATTTCAGTTATATATTAGGTATTGAGTATTTTTTTAATAAATGTTTAAAGAAGGGTCTGTTTGACTATGCTTGTTTATATACAATTTAAATAATTTCTATTAACATAAAGTTAATAATTTTTTTGTATTTATTGATATGTAATGTATTAGTGATATATAATAGCATGACCATAACTAATTTTCTTACTGATTTATAAAAATTTTCTGAATCAACTCATTCTCAAAAATTTAGAAAGTACTGTATCTTCAAAGTAGATAATTTGGTATCTGCATCATAACTAATTTTCTTACTGATTTATAAAAAATTTCTGAATCAACTCATACTCAAAAATTTAGAAAGTACTGTATCTTCAAAGTAGATAATTTCGTATCTACATCCTTACTCAAGCAAATTGGAGTGAGAGTCCAAAGGTGTCCGGATGTGGATTTCATTCCCTGGGTTATTTAATATTTACTTTGTGTTGTTCGAAACAAATCTTGAACCTTTCACTCTAGTTAGTACAGGATTGACAACCTCTAGGTAGCTCTCTGAAAGACAATAAGAGCTACATCCATGTTGGACCACTTGTTAAACTGTTTAATCCTTCCCCAATATAATCACCAGTAGGAATAGTTTATTTTGGAAGCCATTATTACCGAAAAGACTGTCAATGTTGGTTAACTCATTCAGTTTTGAATCAAGTATTCTAGAATGGTATCTGTGAAACATTTTTGTGTAATCTTGATATCTGTATGATCTGAGAGGTAAGCCAGAGTGAAGTTCAAGTACGGTTTTGATTAAACATTTTTATTTTTTTAAATTGAGTCACCTAAAGATAACTTCTCTTGATATTTCATTACAAATTCCCACGATTTTCTTTTTAAATTACCATTAAATTGTATACCATGTTCTTATATATTTCAAAAGTCTTATTTATGACAGTTTTAATTTTTTAGGATACAATTATATTTTGTCAATATATTCGTATATTTTGGTTTAATGTCGTAATGTATTCCGTACTATGGCAGGAAAAGGAGTTATTCTAAAGGTTATCAGCTTTACTAGCCTGAGGGGGAAGGTCTTAGTTTATTCTAATTATCCACCTCAAAATAAGGGTTAATCCTGCCAGGCCTTAGAACCGACTCAGCTATTTTATAAATTAGAAAAAGTTAAAACATAATATAAAATTCTTGAAATATTTTTACTTTTTAACTTAATGGTCATTGCTGTTATGTCGTGCATATGCTTTCATGATTATTTTATTTGCAGTTAAGTATTGAAGATTACAAATGTTATATGTATGGTAAATATTGCATAGTGATGTGATAAAAACATCCGCCCTGTGATTTCTCTGAAGAGGCTTCATTTTAAATATAAATAGCTGAAAAGAATATTTTGTTTAAAAGGTTAATCTCTAAAGTTCCTTGTAAGGTACATAGTATAATCTGTGATTTATGTAATTTTGTGTTCTTGCCATCTCTACCTCTTAGCTAAGTTAATATTATTTTCTTATTTTTTGTTTGAGATTTTGTGAATGTATAGTAATATTATTTTCTTATATTTTAATTGAGATTTTATAAAGCTATAGTGAGAATATTTTTTTATTATGCAATTTCAAGTACAAAGTTTAGTTTTGTTTTAATATATTTTAGTTTAGTGATATCAGTTATATGTATTCACTATCAATTTATGCATATGTATTGACTCAATTTTATTATAAACTATTCTAAATCTAAAATAGAATTATTATCTGAATTATTTGTAAATATTTGTACTTTTAAAGAATGACTTTGCATTTAACGAATTAAAGTGTTTGTCAATTTCATTATTTCATATATCAATTATAACTATTTTTAGTCAAATTATTACTTTCTTGGTCATTGTTTTTCCAAGAAATATAATAGTTTTACAGCTAGTATAATACATTTGTTTTACAAGATGAATAATTTTTAAATATTAAATGCAGCGTCATTTAATTCCATTGGAAAAGAATTGATTGAAAATATTATAAATGGCGCTAATAATTTATCTGTTAATATATCACAATGCTTATTGGAAACACTTTGTTTTCTAACAGTTTTTTTTAACTGGACAATTTTATAATTAATAAGCAACACAAGTTCAATACTGACTCAAATGGTAAAATTATCCCTGTCATATGTGAATACTAACAGAATGACTTACTTTTAAAAGCAGTTTTCAAATTAAATTTATAATGTTTATGAACAAAATACCATTTACTTTTCTGAAATTAATAGATTACTGAGTACATCAGTAAGTTGGCCTTTTGGTTATTTTTGTTCAATATTGGCTGATGGGAACATAAAGGTTTCTACTGTATACCAATCTGAGTGAGGAGAAAGTCAATTTTGTACAACCATCACAAATAAATATAACTGACCTTGATGGGAATCAAAACTCAGTTCCTTGTAAAATACATAATATCATCTGTGATTATTGTAATTTTGTGTTCTTGCCATCTCTACCTCTTAGCTAAGTTAATATTATTTCCTTATAATTTTGATTGAGATTTTATAAATATATAGTGAGAATATTTTTTTATTATGCAATTTCAAGTACAAAGTTTAGTTTTTTTAAAAATATATTTTAGTTTAGTGCTAATGTCTGTGACAAGTTTATGTTTGATATATGTACACACATTAATTGTATTATAAACTATTCTAAATCTAAAATAGAATTGTATTTTAAGCTTAAGATTAACATATTTGTAAATTTTTGTACTCTTAAAGAATGAGACTTTACATTAACGAATTAAAGTGTTAGTCAATTTTATTATTTTATATATTAGTTATAACCATTTTTAGTCAAACTAGTACTTATTTGACCCATCTATACACAAGCAATTAAATGTTTTTATAACTAGGCAAATATTGTTCAATCATATCAATATTTTTTGTCCATTTATGAATACGAAGGGAGGAATGGAATAATAATATCTCAGTAAAATAATTGATTGAAAAAATTATGGTGTTGAAGGTTTTGTTTATTGAGCCGTCCTTGACATAAGGCATTAACTTTGATTACCATTTCAGTCATTGTCAGTTAGTAAATTTTTTAAGCATTATTATTAGAACTTCACTGTCCCATTCACAAGAATTCTTCATATTTGGATTACTTTTTTTCTATGAAGAATTAATATTGAATGTATCAGGAGGCAGAAAATATTTTAAATTGTGTTCTTTTTCATTATTATTATTATTGTTCGTTATAGTTTTATTGAAAATGATAGAATTTGTTTCATAAATTTTTTTTTAACAACTTTGTTTTTATTGTTTGTATTATTGATGTTAAAATTCAAAATCTTTTTCTGTAATTCAAATCAGGTTATTTTTATATAAGTATTTTTTATTTATATAATTTTGTTATCAAGGAGATTAGTGTCTTTTTTGTTCATTTTAGGTTATTCTGTCTAATTTATCCATGGTTATTTAATTTAACTTTGTTAATTAAGTTACTTATGTGGTTTTATATGAGCATGTTTAGCTCAATTTTTTGTCAACATTGTTATCATTAAAATTCATGAGGGATAAGAAAACATAATATTCATGTGTAATCTTGAGTTGTACAATTCTTGGAATAATTATTTTTGAATTACATTAATTATTAATTAATTTAGCAATAAAAAAATACTATTGAAGAAATATTGTCGGTTTATTGCAAAAAGTTATTAAAAAATGATTTGTGGAATTTTTCTTCTATGAAACCAGAACATTTTGGACTTCATGTAAATATATTTGATACGTGCAAGGGTTTATGTTATTTTGATTCACTTACTGTGTTTTGTATGGATAAATTAGGTCAAAATTCACATAAACTTGCTTAAAAAATTTAGCCTTATAGAAATTGTACTTAGTGACTTCCTGCAATAAACTGACGATGTTATAGTTACGATTTACACTATTAAACATACATCAATCTCTTAAGATTTTATTGAACGTATAACTTTGTGATATCTTGTACTAAAAATAAAATTCTATAAACACTTGTTATCGTGAACTTAGCCTATTTTTTGGTATTGAATTATAGTATTATATATATATATATATATTTCTTTTTTTAATAATTAATGACATTTCATGATATTTTTGAGAATATTGGTAAATGCTCCCACTTTTCCCTCCTTGTCTAGGATTATTTTGCTTAAATATCAACAAATTAAATCATGTATTTAAATTTTTGTGTTATGTTAAAAATTATCAATTTGTATTTAGTAGATTTTAAATATGAAAATATGCCCTATATTTTTTATTGTTATAGTTAGAAAACTTTCTTTTAGATATTATTGTTCGTTAACGTTGCTTTGCATTTATAACTCTATTATGATTGAAAATTTTTATGTTATTTGCATCAGCTTGTTTGTTGTTTAATCATCTTTTTGAAAGTTTTATTTATTCAAAATATAATATCTGTATATATATATTTCCTAATTCCAAATTTATCTTTGTTCTTACTGGACTTGTTTTTGAGCTTTTCATTAAGTAAATTTCAATTTTTAAATTTAACAGTTTTTGTCTATTTATTCTATCAGCACTCTGTGATGCAAAAATTTATATGATTTGTTTTTGATGAATGTACTTATACTACTAAAAGCTTGTGCTATGATTCATTTTGTTGTATTAATTACGAATGCTGTTTCTTATCTTAAAAGTTTGGATTTAAACTTTTATCAAAAAGCCATTTGCTCGATTTTTATTTTTATGTTTTAAATGAAGAATTAAATATATATGTATTGTTTATATTACTGAATTTCAATTTTTTTCCCCATTGTATGCATATATTTAGTGACTTCTTATGTCATAAGATGTCATTATTTGATCCATTTTACTCCTTGGAGATTCTGTTGTCAAGAGATGGGGGTTCCTAAGGTTGTCTTGAAATGTTTCATAGAATTGAAGCTCGTCCTGTGCAAAATTTTCGATGTGTGGCCAAGAATTATCCTGCATAAAAATAAAACGGAAGGCGATAAACAGGCCAGAGGTACCACATCTTTTTCGAGGATGTCGGTAATGCATTGAGCATTGTCCTTCCAAACACATGGAGGTCTGTACTTGTAACTAAACATAGTCCGTCCCAAACCCTCACCGATCCTCCTCCGAACTACACTCTTCCCACTATATTGCACTGAGCTAATTACTTACTTGGTCCTCTCCACACTAGAATTCGGTCTGAACCATAAAGGCTATATCTGGAATCGTCAGAAAACAGAACAGAGGTTAAATAATCTGCCCAGGCAGCGTTTAAAGTGAAGGGGAGCTTCTCGGTGTGCAGTGGTGAGAAGTGAGCCGCAAGCGGGAACCCTAGTGTGCAGGTTGAGTTCAGCAATCCTTCCCTTTACTGTGTGTCACTGACATCTGCACCCTGAGCAATATACAACTGATGAGAAATCTCAACTGAAGTCTGGTAGCGGTTTATGAGGGACTGTATAGCAATGAAGCAGTCATCAGCTGGGTCTGTTGCTTTTGGATGGGCTGATCACGGCCTCCTAGCGTAGTTTACTGTCTCCTGGTACTTCTGGAATGTTTGCTGAACCATTGTTTCTGGCTGCCCGTGGACTCAAGCCGCGTATTGCTGACTGTAGCCATTTTCAATTAATGCAGTAATCTGAGCGCCTTCCATGGGAGAAAAAAACATTTTTCATTCTTAAAAATGTTTGATACAAATGAAATAATGTTTTTCAAGAAAAAAAAAAAAGCATAACCAATGCAATTGAACAGGCAACTGCAGACAAACGGATATGAATTCCACGGCCTCCTAGCGTAGTTTACTGTCTCCTGGTACTTCTGGAATGTTTGCTGAACCATTGTTTCTGGCTGCCCGTGGACTCAAGCCGCGTATTGCTGACTGTAGCCATTTTCAATTAATGCAGTAATCTGAGCGCCTTCCATGGGAGAAAAAAACATTTTTCATTCTTAAAAATGTTTGATACAAATGAAATAATGTTTTTCAAGAAAAAAAGAAAAGCATAACCAATGCAATTGAACAGGCAACTGCAGACAAACGGATATGAATTCCACATTTTATTTTAATACTTTTATCGTAATCCTAAAGAGAATCATGAGATTTTCTCGACAAGATTAATACATCGTAATCTCCTTTGACCTGTTATTACTTCAGGCTCAAAAATATTTTTTTAAACTATGGTTTTAATGTAAAATATTTTTGGCCACTAGTTTAGTTTACAACAATAAAGGAATGACATTCATTAAACTATTATTTTATACTTACAAGGGGAGGATAACAGTCTGTGGGTCACTAATTTCCTCCAAATTTTTTTTTGTGGTACTACATCGAAAAATATTAGACATATCCTGGTGTTCATTCCAATGGGCCCTAGGAGCCGAGAAAAAAAAATTATATAATTTCTAACAAAATATATGTTATTTGTTTTGGCCTTTGTTTTGTTCAGAAATATGAATGCCCAATCTGGTCCTAAGTTGTAGGGGAGTTATGGATCAGTTAAAAATTGATAAAGTAAGTATTAATTTTATCAAATTCTAGTGAATACTTAAACATTTTTTTTCGCAATTTATGTGCAAAGGTATTTTGATATGCCTATATTTAAAAAACGGCTCATTTTGTTTGCTCCAAAATTTATAGGGTGTGAGGGATCGAGTACAAATTGTCTAGTATCGATATCAAATTCCATTTAACAATTAAAATTAATGTACTGTATTGTTATATTTTGTTTAAAATGTAATAGTTATCTTATAATTGATGTGATGATAACATGTTGAAATAGGCAAATCTTAATTTCATAAGCTAAAAATGTAATATTTAGGGATAATACTTAAAGTAAGAAAAACAAATGATTTAGAAGGCTCGATAAAATATTTATTATATCAAATATGCATATACACATACATATAAAGGATGGTTATGGAATGTATCGTTTGTGGTAATTTTATTAATGAGGTAGGTGACAATATTATCGTGATTACTAAAAAAAAACTAATCATATTTTTTTCATGGTATAGGCCTTCTAGGCCAAATTGATATGTTTAATAGTTTTTCCACTGAATCACCCAAGGTTTGCAGTTTCTTGTCCAAAGGACTGATTTTTTGTTCCAGCCATTCATTGGCAGTATATGTATCAAAGTATTTCTCCAAAACAGTTTTACTCAGTCTATTAAATTTCCTTATGTCTAATAATAAAGTATAAGTTTTCATATATGTGTAATCTTGCACAATGCGCCATATGTTACTGAAATTATGATTGACATTATAAGGAGTTAGCCATGCTTTGTTCTTGGTCATTGTGTCATACAGGGTGTCTGTTTTAGCTTTGAGTATGAGGTAATGCAATACTATTCCATAAACTTCAGCTCCAGGATAATCACATTTAGTTAATATGTTTTGATCTTCTTTGAGGCTCTCCAATGTAAAGGAAGACGAGGGACATTTAAGGGCCTCCTTCCAAACCGATAATTTTTTTTCATCACTAGATGAAACATGCTTCTTTGAAATACTTATCATATTCAACAACAGTGAAGGTACAGAAGGAGGGAGGAGCTCACAAAGTACAGCAAAGTGATCATACCTCGACCAGCCAGTTAAAACGAACCCAGCTATCGGTATCTTAGCATCATCTATTTTCTTGAGCCACGCTTTAGTGTTGCGGTATCGTACCTCTAGATTAGGAAAATCTGCTGTGGATAGATCAGCACCTTTGAAAGCACTTGCTACCCAAATTCTCTTGAAAGCATTCGTGTACCAGTGCCACAACATAGGTGTTATGAGGTTATTGACATCGACATAATCCCAGACCATCACTTCAACGACATTTTTGAGAGGATTATTGGTGAGGAATTCTGGGTTCCATTGTCTCATCATGTCATCCCAGATAATTGGAGTCATCTCTGGGTACTTCCTTCGTATCATTTGTGCCACTTCAGTGATATGTTTGGAATACAGTATCCTGAAAAAAAAATTTAATTTAAAATTAACAAATATTTAACATTTATTTGAGACTGAAATGATATAATTTAGAACCTTAATGAGGGTTTGAAATTGATAGTTTAAAAAATAAAAAGCAAAATCAAACCTGTTTAAAATTTTTATCTGGAATTTTTAAAATTCATTTGATGATTTTTATTAAGAGTGATTTTAATTTTTGATCATAAGTGATAAAAATCATATCCTGGTCATTATTTTTGCCAAAATGTTTACAGCTGACAATAATAATAATCTCTAACTATTGACCTTGTAATCTCTGTATATTGTATATTTTGGGTCTGGAGTTGTTGGAGAATATTGTTGTCAACTATTAGCAACAGAACTTTATCTTTATTTCCAAAATTCATTAGAAATTTTGCATTACAAAAATATATATACATACATATATATAGTGCAAGATACCTCGTGCACAATTAAAGCGATTTCAGAGATATAATACTAAAAAATGTGTACATTAATAACTTATACATATATATTAATATTTAATTTAATTTCTGTGTAAAAAGTGATTTTAATTTTCTGGTCAAAAACTTTTTGATCACAATTTAATTATTATTATTTATGTATCACTCAGTGAGTGATAATTATTTTTATTCGAACCAATAAATATCAGAGATCAATTTAAATTTTTATTTTTATAAATACAAATAATTATTGATTTCATACCCTGAAACCTATTTATTACTTAATTTTGAATGGATTTTGCTAAATACAATTGACTACAATTTAGATTTATTATTCCGTACTGATTGGGATAGGTTTTGAATAATGAAGGGCTAATGTAACAAGGGATTCTTTGACTAAATTCTTATTAACAAAATCAATAAAAATTTAAGTGTATCAACCTTACATTCTAAAACTACATTATTTCATTAGTTTATTGGAATATCAATCTAAAAGTACAGTAAATAGTGTTAAGTACCAAGGATTAGTTCGGGAACAAGATCTACAGGCTCCTACATGAATAACTTCATCACCACCAATATGGATGTACTTGATTCCCGGGTGCATCATGACCACTTGGGTTATCATTTCCTCTATCAGCTGGATGGAGCCAGAATTGGAAGGGCACAGGTCTGAAGGAAAGTCGGGGAGCTCTCGGAGGTGTTTCCAGTCATTCAATTTGAGGACGTGTTCCATGTGTCCAAATGTCTGGACCAGTGGAATCACTTGCATACCAAGGTCGTGGGTCCAAGACAGCAGCTTTCGAATCTGTGGGTGAAAAAATATGGATATATTTAATTAAAAAGTATTGATACATTCTTTATTTAGTATTAATACTTCTGTATAAGAATTGTTTAATTAAATAAATATATGGAGACAATAATGGTTATTGAGCCATCTGTTGGCAAAATGTAATTATTATTATTATGATACAAATTCATTCATAAGGTGACCAGATTTTAAGTTTGGTTAAGCGGGACATTGTTAGGGTCTTATTTATGACTTCAATAATAACACAGTTTTTAAGACTTAAAAGTTTTGTGTCAGCAATTTTTACACAATCAAGCAGCTCTTTTTCAAAATACTATCAAACTTATTGAAGGCGAAAAAATTTCAGTAATCGAAATAGCAAATGCTGATAGCCAAGATTTATCCTTTTCCTTATCAATCTATATTTTTAATAATGATACCTCATTAAAAAGATAATTTTTGGATTGTTTATCAAGTCCAAACAATGATGGTCGAACTCTTACAACTGATCAACAAAGCGAACTTTGTATAGCAGTTTTTGATAATCAGTTCGCAACAATTCTTCGTTATCATTAATGTTTAACATTATAAAATTAACGAAAATAATATAAAACTCATATCCTGGTGAAATGGCTACATGGCCGCCCAAACCTTATATTCTCTTCCCAAGCATGGTATGCATTCTTTCCAAAAATTGGGACATTTTTAAATCGCAGTGGGATGCAGGACAAATTTTTAAAAAGCAGGATGGTTGGTCAACTTTATATATATATATATATATATATATATATATATATATATATATATATATATATATATATATATATATATATATATATATATATATATATCGTGTGTGTGTATAAACTGATAGAAAAATTAACGCATCACCTGCATTTCTTCCAAGATATCAAATTTATTCGAATCTCTGGGCTCATACAAATTTTATGTGATTAAATTAGTCATTTAAATACACAATTTTATTTGACATTAATGATAAACTAAAAAAAAAAGTTTAAAAAGAAAAATTAAATCTTTGGAAAGTCAATTAATTTGTTTTTATGTGTGAATGATTGTTTTTATTATTTTTGTTTGACTTGTTATATATACTAAAATATATATTAAAAAAAAGCTTGAATACATGACGTATTTGTTTAAGTTAAACACAGGGGGAAGGGGAGACATAATTGGTAAGTTTCTAGAACTTTTCAGCTAAGAATAAATATTTATTTATTTATTTGTATTTTATGCAATTTGCATCTGCGCGGTTGCGCATCTAGCAAATTTGTTGTGTTTGTACAGTCTTGGTGTTTTTTCTTGATTTGGTTTTTATTGATGTAGTAGGTCTTTTGGTCATTTTCTTAATAATCTGCGTTGTTCAGGTAACAGGGAGCAGGAGATGGTAAGAACGAGAGGATTGGAGTGATTTTGGGTTGAAGAATGAAATGTAGTTTATTTGTCCTGGATGTAGGATTTTACTGTTGGGGTGTTTAAGTCGTTATGTATAGTAGAATTTGAAATGTACCAAGGTGTGTTAATAATTTTTGTAAAATTTTTGATTGTGCTGTTTGTATTTTGTTTATGTGTGTTTGTTTAGCAGAACCCCAAAGTTCTGCTCCATATGTCCATATTGGTCTCAGTAAAGTGTTGTAGATCAGTCGCTTGTTTCGTAAGTTAAGTGAAGATCTGTAGTCCAGAAGATGTGAAAGTTGGCTATATCCTCTAGTAAGTTCTTGTCTTTTTAATTTCGTATGTATGTTCCAAGTAAGTCTTTTGTCTAAGTAGAGTCCAAGGTACCGTACATAGTTCTTTGAAGGGACTGGATTATTGGCAATCGTTATGGGTGGAAATGAGGCTTTTCTAAGAGATAAACTAACGTGGGTGGATTTATTACTATTTATTTTTATTTTCCAGTTCTCAAACCACTTTTCAAGATCATGAAGATGGTTTTGTAGGGCAATTGATGCGATAGTAGGATTTTTGTGTGAAGTTAGAATAGCAGTGTCGTCAGCGAAGCAATAAGTGGTGGTATTAGGGTGCTCAGGGATATCAGAAGTGTATACAGAATAGAGGATTGGGCTTAAGACGCTACCTTGTGGTACGCCTTTGTGTTGGGGAAAGAAGGAAGAAACAGAAGAATCTACGGAAGTACAGACAAATCTATTAAGAAAGTAGGATTGAAAAATTAAAAAATAAGTGGAAGGTAAGTTCGGTTTTAGAATAAATAATGTAAAAAAAAAAAAATTGAATTTAAAAAAACCGACTACAGAAATTGGGAATTTCTATCGACCCTAAGAGACTGTACTTCCATATTCACTTAAACATCTTGGTATATTGATAGGAAAATTTAGATTTAATAATATTTAAACTTAGTGCAATAGTCGGGCCCCTGAACAAAACTCAAGACTTTCGGATATTTACTTGCACCGATAGATGGGACGAAATCTAACTTTAGTTAATCGGTTTTAGTTTACACATTTTATTCATTCATGTAGCTTATTTATTATTGATTTTAATTTTGTTTTACCTCAAATTATTTGAGGGCGAAACGATATTCTGGCCCTCTCAATATTTTTATTGGGAGGGAGGAACGATTGCTTCCCCGTAGTCTACGCCTGTGTGTAGAACAGTGGACTAACTTCCTTCAGGAAAACTTTACAATTTATTTTCAGTTCGACAAGCCAAAAATATATTGTTCACAGAATCGCCATATTTTATATTAATTTTGGTAAGTTTGTATTTATAATTAAACTATTACTAGGTGGCCCGTACGAATAATTCGCAGAAGATTTTGTTTAGTGAAGAAATAGGAAAACGATATGGAAATAATTTTATTTGCATCGTTGCTTGAGGTTTACATTTGTACAATGTAGCAAGGAAATCTGAAATTTTTCAAAAATCCTGTATATTGGGTAAAATAATAATATTTTTAGTTCGGTTCCAGAAGACTTCAATATTAAATTATAGAACATAGTTGTAAAAAATGTCAATTGGCTTCATAAACCTTACGTTTTTTAATTGAAAAAACAAAACAATTATATCGTCAGGTTATTGCAAAAAGTCACTAACTGCATTCTTGATATAGGTTTCTTTTTTTTTTTTTTTTTTTTTTTTAACTTGATTCTTCAACTCACACCTATCAGAAGTTCCGACAATCAGCGAGTGTGATGTCAAGATGTAGAGATTGGTCTTGGAATAGGCGTGAGGGAGAGGAGTACCCGGCGGCGTCCTTCCTGTCTTGAGCGTAATATTTATAGTTAGTGGAGGAGATCCCTCATCCAGCTTCTTTTAAGCCTCCTTCGAGTGCTATCGGGCATGTTAATAGTGGCCATGCCTCGGATCAATGAGTTTGTATGTCCGTGTAAATTATTATGAAATCGTTTGTAGTATGTTCGTATGTGGTCGTTAACTGTGCATCTGTAAGTCTTTATGTAAAGTATTGTTACTGGCGTACCAGGGAGCTTTGGTGATAGTCCTGAAAGTTTTAGATTGAAAAGTCTGTAATTTACGTATGTGAGTCTTTTTGGCTGTCCCATATATCTGTAAAGCGTAGGTCCAAATAGGCTTGAGTAGGTAAGTATATGTATTCAATTTCTGTCTAAGTTTTAATTTCGAATTTCTTGCAAGGAGTGAGTACAATAGACGTAGTCTTAGGTTTAGAGTTTTTGTTTTGTTTTTGATATGTTGGCCCCATGTCATTCTTCTGTCAAAGGTCAGTCCAAGATATTGAACTTTGTCTGTCTGAGGAATTTTGTTGATATAGGTTAAATTAAAAATATGATTTTGTGAATTTTGACACTTAGTAAATATACATATAACTTATATATATATATAAGTTATACATATAATTTATATATATATATAAATCATCCACTTTTTAACTAAAGAAGTCGATATATGAAAGGAAACTTAAAGCTCTTCCCGGGAAACCTAAATATTTTTCTATTTTAAACAAGTATTTTTTGATAATTTTGTGAACACGGTGATTTTTACATCTTGAAAATCGTGAAACTTTGAATAAAAAAAAAAGACTTTTTCATGACTGATCCTGATGTTTATAAAGATCTAATTATATATTGATTGATAAATAGTTATGGAAACGAACTATGCTGACTTGACATTCTGAGCAGCTTCCTAGACTAGTCAGTAAGTAAGAGATCTGTAGCAGTAGTACTTAGCATGTCATAATGTTCATTGTTTGATTTGTTTTCTCAATAAAGTTTTTTTTCACTTTTCGACGATTGAGTTTCATAATTCATTTGAAAAATGTAAATATTTATCTATTTATAGTTGAATTATTTCCAAAAAAAACAAAAAAAAAAACCTAATTTCGAGGTCCTCCTTTATCTTTAAGGAGGACTTTATCTTTAAGTCTTCTTTAGCTTTATCTCCAAATATTACGTATAAATTAAAACTAATAACTTGTGTAAACAATAAAATAACTCATCTTGTAGCAAACATCTACATAATAATGAACACTGTACTACTAACATCTTGCCTTTTGTATGCGTTCCTCGCTGAAATATTAACGAGAGCATCCCAGTAAGGGAACATGTCTTCGTACTCGATGAGAATGGTATCACAACCGTAGGTAGCTAGAAGAGGAAGGAGTCGTCTTAGGTACTCAAGGGTAGGTGGAGCTCCCTTCAAATCCAGGTGGAATACGCGAAGAGTGTCTTCAGTAAAACCTGTTCAGAAAGAAAACATATGCTAATAAATCGTTGAGACAAAATTCTATAGAAAAAGATAATACCATATTGATACGTACGGAACTTGATTTCGTTCCGGTTTTATCAAGTAGGTAGGTGGGGTAGAGGTTTTAGGGCGATAAATTGCTAGATTATTACGCCCGTTTTTATCAGGTATATTAGAATACATAACACAAAATTATGATGATTACTCGATCATTTCGTTTTTTTGTTTCTTGGGAGGTCATAGGAATAGTAAATATACACAGACTCCAGGAGATTTAATTTTAATTTTTTTTAGCCTAGAAGGAAAAAAATCATAAATGCTGTTTAAGTAGTCCTATACTATTGGATTGGCCGGAAAATAATGCAGAATGGTTTAAAAAGAAAGATTTATAACTGTTTTATTTAATCAAAATAATCTCCACTACTAGTAGTGTTGCCCAAATGCGAGACCGAGACGAGTATTGGTCTTGCAAACTCAGTCGTGGTCATGGTCTTGGTCTTGCGCAAGAGTCTCGCAGTTACTTATTAGCTTATTACTACCGAGATATTACTGTAAATTTTTAGATGGAAGAAACCTAACTAAGCCCGAATGAAAAATTAGAAAAAATATATTGACTATACCAATTATTGACATATAGTAACTAAGATTGTCAAGTATTAGTAACTATTTTGCCTTAAGTTTTATTTAAAAAATCAATTTTATTTACCAGTCCTAGTCTCGGTCTTGCAACAAGTATGGGGGCTTGGTCTTGGTCTTGCAAAGTGCACGAGGTACTAGCCCAGTAAAAATAGGTAAAAACAGAGCCGATATCAAGAAAATTCATAATTGGCTGTAAATGTAATACTTAGTTCCTTATCGAATGTAGAACAACCATGAAGTCTCCTAAAATCCCATGTCCGCTTCCATCAAAAATGGGGGGGAGGGAAGGGGTCAAAGATTGTCACCTAGCACTTTCTGTCTTATTTTAACTTTTTCCTCTTATCTCCGTCAAAAACCATCCTTCTTGAATTCCTAAAATACTAATATAATCGGCAAGGATGATTGTTTTATATTCTATCGAAGTTCATCTGATAAAAAAATGATAAACGAGTTGTAAATTGATCTATTTGGCGTCAATAAAGCGATATTTTCTTGATTTTAGTTCCGTCATCCCTCCTAACTTTGTAACTACTGGCAAATTAGAAATAATGTTTATTATATTTTTTGTACTCCTTAGTAAGAGGAATGTAAAAAAAAAAAATGTATTTTTAATATTTGCTGAAAAATGGTGGAGATACGTTATTTTTAAATAAAAAAATAAAAACGACGCGATTTCAAAGCTGCATTCCATCGCGGACTATTCAAACTGGGTAGTTAGTTATAGACTAGGAGCTTCACACCGTTTTATTTAACTGAAGGACATACATTTTAACTTAAGTAACAATTTTTAATTGTAGATAAATCTCATCTGAGCTCACAACTTCATTCTGTCGATGGAAAGCCGTAGCTTTCTATATGAAAATATAAATTTAAGTGATGAAATTTGATGCATCATTTGTCGTAAGAACTGACGTCTGAAATTTTTATATGGTGTAAAGAGTGTCTCCCTAAAATAGAATTCACCTCGACTGACGATGTAATCGGTTGCATTTCGAAAACTGACGACTTCAAAGTCTTCGAAATAGTCCTGTCGAAAGAAAGTTGGATGTGCGAAAAATTCAAATTCAATTTCAGGTTTCTCTTCGGTTATTTACGTTTTTTTTTGGTGATGCATCACGTTCCGAGATATTTACAAAGAATAGCGAAATTTCTGCACCTTTTTAGTTTTTTTTTTTTGGAAATGACTCCGAAACAGCATGCATTTTATCAACATTATTGCTCTCTGAAAGCTATATTATTTGGTTATACACTGTAGTTATGTTATAAATATAATAAAATTAGCCGTATTTAAAGAAATTAATAGATATAAAGAGCCTAAGTTGAGTGCGTTAGATAATACTCCGACGTTAGATATGACTCCGAAACGATTCATTTTATCAACATTATTATTCTATACAAAGTTTAAAAAATATAAAATCTAACGATTTTTAACATGGCTTTTTATTGTAGGAGCAACGAGTTAGCAGTTAGAGCAAGTTGACTGCTTATTTCATAAGAAAAAGCCGTTTTCGTGGGTTTTTTCCTCCAAAACTGATAATCTATGCATCTCTACAAGAAACTTATCATATTCGTTTTGAAAGAGCTTTAAATTTCTAATAAACCTCATGGAGATAGTTTAATAAGTGATAGTTTAATAAGATAGTTTAATAAGTGGCTGTTAAAGCTCACGGTATTGAAGACATTTTCAGTCTTATCATCTAACGTACACAACTTAATTCTAACTCAAGGCTCTTTATATCTATTAATTTCTTTAAATACGGCTAATTTTATTATATTTATAACATAACTAAGTGTATAAACAAATAATATAGCTTTCAGAGAGCAATAATTTTGATAAAATGCACTCAGCCGCATTCCAGCACTAGTGTCCATAGAGACCAGATACTCCGAGGGCGCCCTCAGGTAAAGAGATGTTTTCAGCTGGCATAAAGATGGTAAGCTGTTTTTGCACAATTCGTGTAACCTATCTATTCATTAAAATACAATCCACTGCGTAAAAGTAGAATGTTGCCTATTAAGAACTCACGAGAGTAATTTGCCTTGCATTAATTTATAATTTGTCTAAACATTTTGGTCCTCCGGGCCGGATATTCGTATTTCCCCTATTAATTATTTTTTTAATTATATGTCGTTTATTGCTTTGTTGAGTATTTGGAGGCGCCAGAGTAATATAAATTAATTTGTTTAAATAAAAATATTATGTTTCGGATTGCTGACTAGCCGATCTTGCTGGACCGGCTTACAATTGAAAATGATGCAATAATAAATTGCAATAACAAATTTTTAATTTACCAAATTACTCACATACGAGATTACTATAACATTTATTGCATAGGTTTTTTTTTTGTCTTAGAAAGCTAATATCACGGCTGAAGTGTTATTTATACATCAAGATTTTTTTTTAATCACGAACTGTGGCCCGTGGCACTTGGATGGAGGTCTCGATGCGGCCCGTGGGCCAAAAAGTTTGGAGAACCCTTTCCTATATTGTACCTAAAATGTTTTTAAATTTTCATTAGAACGTGGGGTATATCGCAATATTTAGCAGATGTATTTATTTTATTATTTTTTTGTTGGGGATGGAGTGATCAAAGCTTACGAATATCGAATATAGAAAAGAAAATTGGTGTTCATGAGTTTTTAATACAAAGTTTATCCATCTCCAGGTTAAAAACGCCCCATTTCCGAGAATTTTCGTAAATAAAAAAAAGTTGTAAGTTACTTTAAGATAAAACCATTCTCGAAGTTATAGACGGATGATAATAATAATTTCATAAAGAGGAGTAAGTCCCGCGAACTATATTCTTTAAAATCTATTTTATGACAGTGAGAGGCCTCTGGTTTGGGTCTAGCGGAACGATCCTGGAAAAAACAAGGTGCTTCCTCGAGGAACTAGGTGTTGATGTTGGGAAGCTCGCGATATTGGCCGAGAATATTATTTTGGACTCCCTAGGGATCATCCACTATCATTTATATAGTGATTGAGGATATCTTTTATTAATTATTATTCAATTTTAAAATTTTTCTAAAATCGTCTTATCTTTTTATCTACATTAGTTCAATTATTTTGGTATATACCAGTGCGATGTTGTATTGAGTTCCTGGCGTTTGACATTTTTTTTCCCTTAGGAAAATGTCTATAGTTTAATATGATTTATTGTTGATAATTTATAGGAGTATTGTTATGAAAAGGGAGAAAAAAAAGAAAGGAAAGATATGTATGTCATATTTATATATAAAAATAGAAAAATGTAATATAATAGTTATGGATATATGGATTGATAAGTATGCTGTGTATGAAGCAACCCTATGTAGTAGGCCATCATTACTTATAATAAAGTATTTCTCTCTTCGTTGGGATTCCAGTACCGGATGAGAGCCGAATGGCCTGATAGCCAAATAAAAAAAAAAAGAGAAAAAGTATCGGATGAATGCCTGTTAAAAAAAAAATTATCTTTGGGTCTTTATTTTGAGGGCTTTATCTATTGTCTGGTTCATGAAAATATCGTCGATTCTTAAAATATTTAAAATGCTACTAGAAAACAGTTATATTAAACATAACCTCTAAATTGGAAATTCGGGTATCTTCGCTTGAGTTCGGCATGTGACATTAATTCACCATCTAACTGGAGGAATCGCATATCTTTTATTTTTTCTAGGTCGCTGTCATCACCCGATAAGTTCTTACCGCTTAGCCTTTCTAGCCATCCTGAAGCAATTAGCATCTTCTATCAATTTTTAGAATTCGATTATAAATTAGCAATAATTACTAAACTTATGTAAGAAGATATTTATGCCCTTTGTGTCTGCTTTTATCCGAATGGATGTCTTAACCAGTGTTATGTATTAGTCCACGGTACAGACCCGTTTTTATCAAATAATTAACATACTGAAACTTACTCAATCTCCAGACTGAAAACGACCCATTTCCGAGATTTTTCGTAAATAAAAAAGTTACGATAACATGAAGCTATATTGTGTAGCTATCTATGAAAACTATTCAGTTGTTTGATTATATTATTTAAAACTAATCTTTGATTCCCTCCATGGTGTATTAAGCAAATTGTTGGATTTTCTTTCGATTCTATTATGAGTAGAATTGACCGAGTCTCGGAATGATATAACGATAACTCTGCAATATTATTTTTGTCTTATGTTTGTAGTATAGTTAGCAAGTTTTTTTCGATCCCTCGTTTTGTTATAATTCATTAACGTATGGAAATTAGTTCTCTTAGCCTGAAACCGTAAATTATACCTCAAGATTGAATACATGATTGTTGACCGTTGTATATTTTTGAGGAAGAAGATGGTCCGGGGTGGAGGTCATAAAAGGACTTAAAATAGAAAAAAAACCCTATTATTTCAAGCCAACGTTTCGACCCAACTTTGCAGGTCTTCTTCAGGGCTAGAACGAACAAGATAGAAAAGGATATAGAAAAATGTGGAAGTTACATGATATTAAGATAAAAAGTGTGAATTAACATATCAAAATTATAAACAGTGTGAATAGCAAGTACGTATAAATATTAAAAACAATAAAATATATGAACAGAGTAAACGAAGTATAAACAAGTAACCGGACCCTAAACTGAAATAAATAAATAGTATTGGAGGTTATTGAAGATAGAGAAAATTGAATATAATAAGGAGGGTGGATAATATACGTAATTATGAATATTATCCTACAAATCTCAAGGAAAGATTGAAAAAACCCTCTAATTTTGAGAGGGGGTTAAGTTTTCAATTTTTGGTAGATCACAACGGTTCATTATTGAAAATCATAAACCAAAAATATTTAAAAATCGCGATATCTCTACTAATAGCTTTGATTTCGATGAAACTTCCTTCAATTTTTTTTAGGAAATTTAAATACCTTTGAAACATGTTATTGACAAAAAGTGTATACTATTTGAGTTATTCGGAATTTAATTTTACCATCCCTTGTAACTTTTTTTCGAGCTTCTTTTCGTTGAAGTATGTTAAAAAGATAAATTTAAAGGGCGTCGAGAAAATGACTAGCAAAGTTTCATTGAATTCGGTACATTCGTTTAGGCGCTACAGTCTATAGTATCGCAGGCTTTTCGGCCGCCATTTTGAAAGTAAAAGGCGGATAGTAATGTCGATGAAGGAGGATCATCCTCGGGTAACCTCTGATTTTAAATCCAAATTTGAAAAAAAATCAATCAAGTAGTTCCGGAGAAAATGCGCAGATGGCGGACGGACACAAAAGTTGTATTCTTTTTCGAATTCTACGTATCCTGAAACGCAAAACCTCAAATTTTGAGAGGGAGTTAAGTTTTTTAATTTTTTTCATTATTGAAAATAATAAAACAAAAAAGTAAAATAATGGACATTTAATAGTTTGTAGAAAAAATAAATAAAGTGTGAAGAAATATCTGAAGATGTGGAACAAAAGGTGTTAGGAAAGTAGCAGTTCTCTTTTGTCAGTCAATTATAGAAGCTCCATTTTTTTTTCTGTCTAGTAGTCTAGCCAAATTTCGGTACCATCAGTAGACATTTTTTTGTACTGTGGATTTTTTAGTCAGTGTTTTACAAAGTAGCACACGTGTTGTCCACCACTGACAGGGTGCATCCATTTATTCTCATTACCAATTCTGATATTTTTTTTATGAATCAAGTTAAATATTGTTATTTATTCTGCAAATGATGAAATATCAATATAATAAAAGTTATTGGACTTAATTTTTAAAAAGCATTTGTCCATTTTGGGGCTCTATAGTGTGTCCGATCGCTATGTTGTGTACTGGCAATTTCGAATAAATCCAAACGAAATTGACCTGGAAATAATTTAAATTTAAACTTGGGTACTGCAGCACTTTTATATATTTCGGTTTCACTGAACAATTACAGATCACTTAATACAGTTTTATTATTTTTCTTCAGTTTCTCCTACATCTAAAAGTAAGCCTCATGAAATATTATGAGGTATCTTCCGAAACTTAGAATATTTCGTAAGTTATGGTTTTATTTATAAATATACATAACAGTTCAATTTCATTAAGTTTGAAAAATCCCGATTTGAGTAACGGACAATAGGAGATTTTCGGTCTCATTTTTATGATCAGTTTTGTTGTTTTCGTTGTTGTACTTTATTGTACAGCATTGATAAGTAAAAAAAAAAAAAAAAAAATCGCAGTTAACGCAAGATTTTTCTTTTTTTCTAATTCTGGCATTTATTTTGAAATAGGCAGTGCATATTTGTATTTAACTTCTGAAAAAATTGTAAAATCAATTTTGAAATTTCTATTGCAGGTATGTAAATAGCAGGGGTGCCCCAAAGGGAGTTACGTCCGCATTAAAAGTTTTAATTAAATTTTGTTTTGTTTTTTATACTTTTTTATTGAGAAATATTACAATCTGTCACAATTAAGGACATCTATAATAGTGTTCAGAGAGCACATTCAAACTCTAATAATTAAATTACATTAATTTTTAATGTGATTTGGAATTTTTGAGGAAGCACATTTTGATGGTATTGCAATTTTTGTTTGATACAATGCAATTGTTTGAAACAGCGTAACAACTACGTATATATTTAAAAACCAATGGTTCAGCTGTATTAGGATTCACTTGAAGTACCTAATTCTGTCCAGCACATATCGTTAGGTTTGATAAAGAAATACCGCCAAATCATTACTGTGGTTTTAATTTAATCATCAGGGCATTGTTAATGCGATAATTAAGTTATAAATTGTAGGGCATGAAGGAGAAATGATATTAGGTTGCCTCAAATGCAGTCAAACCTACAAATTTTAACTTTTGTTTTTTCTCCCTATGTCCAACCGTAGAGTTAGATCGCCACAGCGTGGGCCGCCGAGAAATGAAAAGCGACCGATCCAAATGGGAATCGAACCCACAACGTTCAGAACCTAGCACTCTGGGACCCACACCCCATCGAGCTCGGCCATCCCCTCCTCTCATTTGATATATAACAATTACAAACGTAATTTTAATTATGTTATTACTGGTCAATATTTTGATAACTATTAAATGTATAAACATTCTACAACTGCAGAGTAATTCATATTACTATGAAACTTATAATTTAAGTATTTAATCAAAATGAAAATATTATTCAACCTTGCCAATTGGGTTTGGGTTTCTTATTTTTGGGGTTAGGCGTTGGATCGGTCATGTCATAGTCATTTTCTTCGCGTGGCCCAACGTATGTCACTAAGAAGTGTTTCGCTAATTCATCCTTCGGCTCGTGCCATCCTGAGGGAATTAATATATTTAGGATCTAAAACTGATTATATTTAATTATAATTAATTCACGATAAATGTCTAACGGTTATGTAATTCAATGCGATAATGATTAATTTAACATAATAAAATCATTTAGCGTTTACATAAAGTATAAGTAAAGGATCAAGTAGATGAATGTGATAATAATAATAAAAGGCTTAGCGAACCCGAAGGTTCGATGCAGACACCACTAATCGCTTATTACACAGATTGAAGGTGATAAGTAACATTTTTTTAATTTTGAAAAGAATGAAAAGAGATGAAGTCTGAAAAATAGAGTAAAGTGAATATGTTGACGTTTTGGCACGTATGCTAGTTTTTCTAACTTTTAATAATTTATATTATATTACATATAAAAATATTAATTAATAATAAATTAGAATAATGAGGTAGTTTCCAGAGCCATGGCAACAAGGCCAGGGTTTCAATGGGTTTGGTAAAAGACTATGATTTTATAATCAAATTCTTTCAGGTTGTTAAAGGGGTAAAAGATTGTTGAGAGGAGTAGCTCTGGATCTCATGCTGCAGGAATAAAAATTAAAGATGACGTGTAAGACGGATGGCTCAGCAAATTTCCAATAAAAAAAAAACGGGGAAGGAATGCAGAGTAAAAAATTGAAGAACATCAACCACCGTTTGGGCACGTTTGAAAGCATAGTGTGTCATCCCGGACTTTGAGATCTCTTCATTCCTTCCTTACTGGGCAGGTGTGTTTTTGAACCAGGTTTTGTAGCTTTGGAATGACACTATATGTGTATTAATAAAAACGGCTTCATCATGAATTGCACTGTTTCAAGACATTGAGGGCTAAACAACTGAGGTAAAGCAGATCCTACATCCTCATGGGGATTGTTCCTTCAGGTTATGATCGATCAAAACCATGGTACCACAATGAACTTGTGGGAATGGTGTGACACGGCCCAAGTTGTGGCATCAAAATGTTTCTAGGGCACATTTTCTCGTCGTTTTGAATTTTGGAATGAAGCATATTTTTCAATATGGAGGAAATATCAAACTAGGATAAAGTGGAGAAAACATGGAACAGTCATGTACCATTGACCGGAAAGCTGCTGTATGAACGGATCACTGCAACCTCTGAAGAACCATCTTCAGAGAGGCCGTCGGGCTGAGCAGAAGAAAACTCATATAGTAGACCATTTATGTGCTAACACACTATATTAGTGTACCACTCTAGTATCCTAATGATCCCTTGCAGCATTTGACTACATCACTATACTTAACTCCATTCAGCTGTGAACAGAGATAGATTAAGCGGCAACTGGACTAAGCGGTTACCGCCTCGAAATTTTAAATATCGTTATTTAAATTAAATATTTCGGCAAAAAGGATTACAAAACCTCCATAAAATAGTAAAAATAAATAGATATTTATTAGTAGAATTTCTTTTTGAGCGTCCCAAAGTGTTTACCGCTTAGGTTCCTCACTTTTCTTGATCTTCTGGCTGTGAAGGGTTAACTTAGAAACAGGGGTGCACAGAAGGGGATTTCGTGGCGGGCATATTTTGACGGGTTTTGGAATTTTTCGATGGGGCCAAATTTCGACGGGGTTACGAATTTTAGGACTATGGGACAAAAGGAAAACATGGAACAGGCCGCAGCAAGTTTAATTGTATATGATCAACGATTTTTCCAATTCTATCTTAGCTTACTCTGTTTTTACAAAATATTTTGGATTGGGGGAGGGAGAGAGGAGCAGTAGGTTCTTACGGCATGGACCCTGGGGGTGGGGAGGGGTGAGCATCTATGCTTAGAAATAAATTCTATTGAATGTGAAATATAGATAAGGTTCAACCTTCTTCTAAATAAATTGGCTCTTGATCTAAGCCTGCATAGTCAATTATTTCTTTTCCTCTTGGTAATAAAATGTTGCTTCTATATTCTGATTTTCTAATGCAGTTGTTGTTCTCCCGTCCTATAAAAGTTTTTATGGCTGATTAATTTATTTTAACAAATATTGAATGACTTCTAGATAATCTAATATAGACATTAGTCCGAAAAGTAAGTGGATTACATTTGGAAAATTATTAGCAATGCAAACAGTAGAACTTACTTCTAAGCATTCAAAGTTCTGAACTAATGAACATCAATCCAATTTATCACAGATAAAACTATTTCTAAATGAATTTTTCGTAAGATGTACTTTTTAAAAGATATTTTGGACCATTTATAAATATAAGCCATTTAAGTATATAAAGTATAAATCATAGGTGAGGAACCTTACAAATATTATAGGCTGCATTTAAATTTGACAGTATTAATGCAAGCCGATATATTTTTTATCCTTCATTATTTGTTTAAGCATGTATTTTATTTGTAAAAAAGAAAAAAAAACCACTACCACCCATGGAGGGTCTTGGTTTCAGTACTATTTAGGAAAAGTACCGTTTCCCAGCCAACGGTTGTGCAAGAAGGTGATTTGACCAAGATCACGCTCAACCGCCAGGTTCTTAATTAACTATTTAATTAAGGGTACCCACTTTATAGAGGCTGGGTGTGCCCCAGGAGGATCTACTGTCCCTAAAATCGCCCTAGCGCCGAATGTATTTTATTCATATATATATTAATTTAAATGTTTATATTAATTAATTAATTTTTATTGCAATATGTATAATTAAATAATAACAGAGCCATATGTGTGTACAAGTTATTAAAAATAATAATTAATGGAAGTAGTGGAAATTATTATACTTAAAAAAAAAAATGTACATATAGGGTCAGTATATCTTTCCTGCTTAGCAATTGCTGATGTGTACCTACTTACCGGCAGGTCAATGAAATTGATACTCAAATATTAATTCTTAAACTCTCTTACCCCAAATTCAGTGAAAGCGGACGAGCCCTTTTTAAAATATAATTTTGCCAAGAAAAATGTGTTTGCACATGAGTACACGAAAGTAGGGGATGAAATTACATAAAACTGAAACTAGAACATTTTTGTAATTTTCACTATTGGGATAAATCGAAATAGCCGTTTCCGAATATAAGTGTGTTGCGGAAAATACTTTTGCCTATGCATGGTGACTATTTAAGTACCAACCTTATTTTTCAGAGTGGTTTTGTTCTTGGAGGTACTAACTTGTGTGTTTAGGTGTTGCTTAATTGGATCATTAGCAAGTAATCCTATCATGACAGGTCTCCCTAGCATCAACCGGAGTCCTTAATTAGTACCATCAGCCGTTGTTCCAGTGTCCAGCGGCTTCCTCTCTCGCTAAGTTTATATTTACTTACAAATTTTTTATGACCATTATATTAAAAATACAAGTACTCAGTAAAAACAAAATGGAAGTAATTTTCGAAATTTAATTTCTTTCATATATATTGTGTCCTTTCCTTATAAGAGTTCCTCTAAAAAATTTAAAATCAGGGTTTGAAATCGATAATAAAAAAAAATCAAAATCAAATCTGATCAATTTAAAAAAAAAAATCATTTGATGATTTTTATCAAGAGTGATTTTTACTATTGATCATAAGTGATAAAAATCATATCCTGATCATCATTTTTGAACAAAATTTTTACAATTAACAATAATTATAATTCTTGAGGGATATTTTTTTAATCAGAAATACATGTTTTTTTGTGAACTCTATGATGTACAATATTTTGAGTCTGGAGTAGTAGGTGGAGAATATCTCGCACGCCTTCCTCCTAAGAGATTCTGGGTCTTCCTCTCGGTCTCCTATCTTGCACGCGAGTCTCATGCGTCTTCCTTGCGACTCCGTTCCGATCCATGCGGAGAAGGTGCCCAAACTATCTCAACTTATGTTCCTCTATTATGGTTTCGACAGCTTTGGCGTCGAGATTGGCCGAGATTGTGGTATTGCGAATTCTGTCTCGTCTAGTCTTTTCTTCCACCTTTCGCAGGTATCGCATCTCTAAAGCCTGGATCTGGCTCCTGTCATCATTATTTTTAATCGAATAAATAAACATCAAAGATCTTTTAAAATTTGTATTTATAAATCAGGGATGATTTTTAGATTAAAAATCAAATATAGTAATTATTACATAATTTTATAAAAAAAAAATTATCGATTTCAAACCCTGGTTAACATATTAAAAACGAATTAGTTGATAAATTAAAAATAATTGTGATAATTGCAAAAGTACAAATGATTCCTTACCTCTATCTTGATTTTTTTTGGGGAAGGTGGGATCGATATATGGAGACTCGACTGACGGTAATTCGTGAAGACCCACTTGCTTGAGGTTGGTTTGGCGCCATGATTCAATCGACTGCATGGATATCAGCCACAAGAAAACTATCAATGTTACTCCAAATACTATAATCACCTTCACACGGAGCCCACGCACCATCGTGCTCCTCCCTACTTCTCTGTTTCTACCTTGCCATATGCGTCTGAAAAAAAAAAATCGGACTAAAAACATTAAAGAATATTGATAATTATATATTTAATTTATTTCTACGATCAGTTACAAAATAAGGACCATGCTTATTAACATGACGAAAAATTAATCACAAACAATCACCTCAATTCAGGCCAATTATAGGGAGGCCAGAGCCTTAATTGCGCAATGACAATCGAGTGAGATGTGTTTTCAATTTCAACCCGCCCAGGTAGGATTCGAACTGGCGCCGCTTCGAGAATGTTAATGTTTACGTTTTACTCGATCATCTCGATCTATATGGAATGAAAGGTGTTAGTCTCATAACAGCTAAGGGTCTAGTCTTCAGCAGTACAATGATTCCGAGTGAAGGTATCTACAAGTTCTCACGGGTAACCTCCGAAGATGCTAAGAACAAATTGATCATGTGCTGATAGATAATCAGAGCTCTATACTAGGTATAAGAAGCTATCGTGGAGCAGATTGTGATTCGGATCATATTATGATTAGAATTAAACTATGTCATGGATTGAAGCTTATCTACAAAAAGATCAAGTGGAATGGAACAGGTACAAATCTTGAAGTAAAAATCATATTACAACTTGAACTAATGAATAAATTCGAACCCTCGGAACCTCATTTAGAGATAATTGAGACAGGATTGAAAGAAATAACTAAGAAAGTAATAAGTTTTCAGTGAAAACGAATAAAGAAAAATGAAAGCCCTCGCTAAGCCAAAATTGATCAAGCTACTCTGGATAATTATATAGCTGCTAGGAAAAAGACAAACAAAATTAACCGGCAACAAATATATTGCAAACCATTAAAGCCAACTGGCGGGCTAGAGATATATGTGAGTTCTACGCAAACATAAGAAAGGGTGGAAAGAAAAGCGAAAGAAAATGGGTGGAAAAGATAACATTCTGACGGCTTCAAAAGTAAAGGTACTGATAATTTTAAAATTACTTTTCCAGCAGCATCTTAATCAAGGAGAAACTACAGCCGAAGAAGAAATTATCCTTACTGAGGATCTCGAACCACAAAAGGTTGAAAATTCAGATATATATTATGGGAAAAAAAGAATCGAAAGGCTTACAACAAGAAAGGCTCCATGGATGGACAACCCGTCGTTAGAGCTGTTGAAGAGGAGGGGTGGAGAGGAGATCCAATAGCCAAGTTACTATACTACTCAGGGGTAGTGGTGCCCAAATGCGAGACCTAGACTAGTGTTGTTCTTGCGTACTCAATCTTAGTGTTGGTCTTGGTCTTGCTCAAAAGTCTCGAAACAGTCTTGCAATTACCTATTACTATAGAGATATTACTGTATTTTTTTAGATAAGAGAAACCTAAGCCCGAATGAAAAATTAGAATAGTTAAGTGCAAAGTTATATTGGCTATACCAATGCTTCACATATAATAACTATAATTTTCAAATATTAGTAACTATTTTGTCTTAATTTTTTACTATAAAAATCGATTTTTTTTTACCAGTCTTGGTCTTACAAGACCAATTTCGGGCAACAATACTCAGGGCTGCTCTTCTCTCCCCTCCAAAGTCGATGGCACAAGAATCTACTATCACTTCTCCCATGATATTTTATTGCTCACCCTTTCGTTTAAAGATATTTCTATGGTGTATATTCGGAAGGGATATGCATTTTCGGAGAGAAACATATTTCTGAGGGGTTACCATGTTTAAATTTGTAGGATTATTCAAACCAAAGGGAAATAGGGGAAAATCATAGAACAGAACCGAACGGGTGTAACATCAACATTTTTCATACTCTTACTTTCCAAACTGTTTTGGAGAAGACTTTTTGAAACGTTACTTTGTGGGGAATGGTAGTCTCAGTTAAAGATAATATTTGAAACAGCTGAAATAAAAGTAAAAATAAACGAGACGCATTAATAAAGTATTGGCAAGAAACTAGATGCCCAACAAATGCTGTAGAACATGTTCCCGAGCATCAGGTTAGATATCAAGGATTCTCCATGGCACTAGTTAATAATCATATCGATGAAGATATATCTCAAAGTGAGTTTTTTTATTTAAGTGAGATTATCAATTTAATTAAAATTGGAATTAAATTTCATAATAGATGTAGGAATAAAATTTAGTTGGTGTACATATAACGAGTTTTATTGAAGATATAAATTAAAATATCTCCGAAACTAAAAATCGAATCTTGATACTGTAAGCGAGGGAAATGCATTTCATTCTCTTTATAATGAGCTATTATTTATAATTCATATTTATTATTATTAATTTCGCCTAGTCGATGTTTTCACTTCTATTGTGTTGTCTAACGCACACACCTTAGTATTTTTATCTTTCTTCATTTCTTTGTTTATTGAGTATTGTATCATTCTATCTATTTGACAATAGTTATAGTGAGGTAAGACCACAATCAGTCTATATATACATACAAATATAAAATAAACAGAAACAAAATAATAATCAAAAAGTATATACAATAAATAAAATAAAACAACTTAAAGATGAATAAATTTTAAAAAATAACACATACATACATACACACACTATTTACAATCAGACGAGCGAATTCCGAGCCAGGCTTGTCCCTCTAATTGTGGAGGGAAAATCATGCAAGGAGATTTGGATGGTGAGGTTCTGGTGAAATTTGAACAATTTTTCAGGGATAAGGTTTAGGACAAATGGAATATTAAGATCATGGTATAGGGTTTTGTTGGTTACATAAAACGGAGCATCGACTATTGTTCGAATGACTTTGAACTCTATTAAATACGTTTGATGTTAAAAAATTTTGCTTGACCCTAAAGTTCTATTTCTTTGGTCGAAATAGGTTTCAGGATTGAGGTTATCTTTTTAAAAATAGAAACGGCCATTTTATTAAAAAATAAATAAATAAATAGATCTGAACTAATTCAATTATATTGAAAATATAAATTCTAATCCCATTGTTTCCCATCTATTAACTCTTATTTTTTTATGTGTTGCATTAGCTAAATGCCGTCCAAGGTAATGGACTATATTACCATTTGGTAATACAGTGTCTTGTATAATCATGTTTAAATCAATGTGGATAATTCATTAATAATCAACACGTTAAAATACAATAATATATCGAAACCAGTTTTAAACTTTGATTTTTGAAATATCGATACCTTAGTAATAAAATTTTTATCTCTTTACCTTTAAAACATAACCCAAACACAATTTTTATCACCCAAACTCTTTAGTATTTATAAAATGGTATTGACGTAAGTAAATCATTTAGCTTTTAAACACATTTTCTTTTTTTTAAGAGTGATGATTAATTAACCTGGTAATTGGACATCTAGTTTTTTTGGTTTATTCTTTTTTTCCGATACTTTAGCGAACAGTGAAGTATAACTAGTGAAAATAGTGAAATGGTCTTAGACGACTGATTCATCAGAGGAGAAAGAATAAATAAATGGATGTATATATCGAGTTGAACACTTTGGACAAGTGAAATAACCTCACTTAATAAACAAAAAAAAAAAGTAAAAAAATTAAGCATATGACATATGGCATCTTCAATCTATGATATTTATAATTACAATATTTATCAGTTGAAGAACATCTCTGGGAAAGCACACAAGTCAAAAGCAACATTTCTTTTACATGAAAACGATAGGCTAAAGAAGACTTTATCTTATGTACTGCGAAGATGAAACAATTATTGGTTTTCCATATACCACCAAAATGTTGAACGATTTTCTATTCTCAGTGCAGTCTTCTGTTTTGGAATCCGTGAAAAATAAACAATGAAAGCGATTTTTGACTTTAGTGCTCTCTCACTGAAACTTCTCATTGACAATATCGGAAAATATTTCAGAATCTTCTTACCTAAAGATAAAATGAAGTTTCTTATGTGGGTGTTCAATAAAAAAATAACTGTATAAAAACTTTCTCCAGACCAGATTAAAATTAATTTTCTTCCCTATAATATATTTTTAAGATTTTAACAGATGGAATTTAGAAACAGTCTGGAAAATCGTTAATGTCGAATTATAGCTAATGAAATTATTTAGTTAAACTACGTTCCGATCTACGTTTTCAAGTATGTTAGTTAACTCTGTGTGTTATTGCTTAAAGGTGTTTTTTTTAGACGCAACACAGTAGGGCATAACCGGAAAAAAAACCCAAAAGTAAAATTTAGTTTTAAGAAACTTTTTTAATGGTCCCTTGAATAGTTGAAGAATATGCACTTGCTCTAATTTTTCCAAAAAGATATGTTTAGGGCCCTGCAAAGAGGTGTAAACATGACCTATTGTGCTCTATCGAAAATACTTCAATTGAAGCGTAAATTTTTTTGTTTTTGTGTGTCTTTATTTTCAATGATAAGCAATTGAAATTTTGTACAATTCATCAGATATGAGAAAAATGAAACATAAATAGCCTGTTCAATTCATTGGGTTGTTAAGAAGATTTGAGCTAAACAGTATGTATGCTTGTTCTGAAATAGCGAGAAAAAAAGATTGTCGGATCCTACAAAAATCGCTCCATCGATCTCCACCACAAATTAATTATTTTTATAATCTAGTTATCTTTGAAACACTTCTGTAAAAATTTCAGTTACGAAGGAGAACAATTGTGGCTTCAGTACAAGTTTTTGTCAAAGAAGACCGGGTCATTTCGGCCATGAACGGTCTTTTCTAAATGTGCGATTTTATTGATTGAATAGATCGAGGGTCATAGATCCGAACTTTGCTCCAATAATATTATTTACAGCGGATCGCAATGTTTATATCTTGTTTGTTTACAATCAGACTGTAAAACTTGTGTAATAAATGCACTTATTAGTTAAATTCCTGCAATATATGAGTTGGGCCATCATGGTGATATGAAAATGAAAAATAATTTCTTAAGCCAAATCTTATTGAAAGGAGAAACTATAAATGATTAATTAGTTAATTACCAACACATTTTTCAACAGTCAATATGGGATATCCCACACCCCAGTTGTTTACTTGACTCTCATGGGTACCTCATACCCCAGTGTGAAA